ATTTGGACCAGCCTGTAGAGCTGCGAGGTGACATTACTGTAAGACAACAGATGTGATGACGGTTTTAATAGGGGAAGTGGCAACGACGTTAATGTTAAAGGAGTATATATGGTGAGTCTTTATGACCATGAGCAGCTTCACACTACGTCTCGGCCAAGCATAAATTTGTTGAAAAGAAAAGTTGGCTTAACCAAGCGTTAGTAGGTTGCGCTGTTGCGACGAGGATTGTTTGTGTAGTATTGACCTATATGTAACACTTCTAGCGAGTCAAATCCATGGATCTATGCCTGTTGATATCCAGTGAAAAAAAACTACATACCTAATGTTGAAGTGGTGACAATAATGATTCAACAGATCCATGGCTTGCTAGACAGTGGGAATCGAAGAAAATAAAAACACAAAACAGAGTTCAATTCTACCAAGGTTCAAAGATACACGCACTGTTGTTGCCACCGCTGGGTTTCACAAGAGTGGTGAGATCTTTTACAATCCAATCTTGAATACAATCAGTGAATAGCGACCTTCGTACCCTATAGGCCTAGACCGCTCCTGATCATAACCAAACAGGTATATAAGCGAAAGAAGGATTCCTTTTGTATAAAAACCACACTGTATCCAGCACTTTACTATAAAAGTATTCCCTTACACCATTAAATTTACCCAGTGCTAAAAGCTAAAATGGGGGCTACTCAGAAACCTTACGCGAAAGGACGAGAGAAGGAATTTCATGAAAGGCTGCAACGTGCTCTGTCGTCTCCATCCTTCAAATTGGACAAGTTGACTATGTCTGCTGAGCCCGCAGAAGGTGATACCACGGAGGATGAGGAGATTTTGCAGGAAGAGGGTGAGCCCTCTGGGGCCGAGCTATATGATGACGTGGAGGATGCAATTTGCGATCGTGCCCCTCAAATGAAGGCTATGAGACCACCCCATGGGAGAACATTAAATGCACAAGCCCCGACGGATCTCTCAAAGAACCGGAGCATTGTGGCTTTTAGATGTATTGCAGAGTAAGTAGGAGTCTACATGTCAGAGCCCAATTTTGAGAAAGACCTGCTCACACAATCTAGGCTTGACAAGCGAGTGAAGTAAGACCGGCCCTTTCTACTTCTCCCTTTCATCGCACTCCAAAGCAAGACCTAATGGCTGATGACTTTACAGGTCTCTACAAAGGTCTTTCGATCAGCAATTTGACATAAACAAGACCATACAAAGCGACCTAGATGAAGCGCTTGGCCGCCTAGCTGATATGGAGCCTAGTTTGGCAACCCTCGAAAGAAGAGAGGAAGTTTCTGGAGAGACTCGGCGGACTGGACGGATGTTGCGTTCGCAACAGTGATCTGAAAGATCGTACATGGATGCTTGGAGCATTGGTTGTGAGTCCGGTCAATCCGCTGAGCCGAAGACCCTTGTGTACTCTATCAGGTTCAATAATGAGAATCACGGGTGCGAGCTTGGATCAAATCATGGGTCATGTATTATATACACTGAAGGATTGTGTGAATTATATGATAAGGTATATCAAGAGTATAGTCCATTTAAGATAAGATGAAAGCCATAGTACAGTATAACAGGGGCATTATAGTCATTATTATTTTATAGCTCCATTAGATTTGTTAGTATGCTTATTCCAAGCCCCAGCGGAGAACTCAGTGCTTGGCTGAGATAAGCAGGCTAAATCGCCCTCGTCGAAGACTACCTAGGAATGGATTTTACTATAATTTATTCAGTAAATAGATAATTTATGCCCGCTCACGGTTCTAGAACAACGTCCCTTGTGCGGATCATAGAAGCCAATTTCGAATTTAACTATTCCTTGGCACGTGATAGCTGGTTCCCTTGCTATGCCGGTCTCGTTGTCTGTTATAAGGAATCTTTAGCTGAATGCTACTATACTGTAGAAACCCCGTTGTACTGATCCACTATCTAGCCGCCTAAAAATGATTCGGATAGGAATCCCTGATCAGCTTGTACTTGAATCTTGCGTTTCATTGAGCAAATTGGGGATCCATAGGGGTGGCCATAACCTAGAACACTCTGGGTCTGTACTATTACACTGAGGAGGCTAAGATGTGGTATCTGTATGACTCACGCTACCCATTCACCAAGCGGGACATCAGTCAGCACGAGGATCTACAACACGCTTTATAAAAAATCATTCTTGGCAAAGTCTCTTCGCAAATCTGATAAACCAATAACATTTTGAATAATTTTGTTGGTATCCACCCAAAGCTCAGCACACTTCACGCCACAGATTCATACAAATTGGTTGATGCTGGAGGCTGTTCCATGGGAAACGGGAGATCACCCGATGATGGGAGTTCTGGAAGGGTATTGTGGCCATGAGTGCTCAGTGGGTCGGCCTCGGCCCATCCCCCATGGATGACTCCGGAGCCGGGCAAATAAGACGCGAGAGCTTTGTTCTCGAATACATCCGCCCCATTTCCAAATCGAGTAGTCATCGACATCATCTCACAGCGCACTTGATGCAGAAATGGTTGAATATCGTGCCAGGAGATTTGGCCCTGCATCATCCCATGGGCTGAATCTATCTGCTGCTGCAATTGGCTGACTTTATTTTCAAGTCTATCAACCTCAGATTGTGCCTTTTCCGCTGCTGCAACCATCTCCTGGAGCTTGGATGCTGTTTCAACCTCTTGACTGGCAATTTGCTGTAGCTCCTTGGAGTGCTGAGTGCGCTGATCCTCCATTTGTGCAACCATTTCATCGAATTCCCGGCCTACGATACCGATGATCTGGAAGCACTTGCGGTGACTTGGATCGGAGCGATCTGGACAACTACCTTTCGTCACACGGTGTGTCTTGAGGATAGTTAGCACAAGAGCATTACATATACCATAAACGGTGCCGCTGTGTTAGTGTATTGATTGTGAATGTATTGAATAATGAAATTACCCACTTGCCTGGTGTGAACGGGCGTTGGATTTGTCCTTGAGAGGACTTTGGGGCCTCAATGAAGGGTTATACATATAACTCTTCGGATTCTTTGTCATGATGGCCTTTCACTTCAGCGATGATTGAGTATACAGTAGAAACAGAGATTTAAAGAATTTTATGGTAGATAGACGGGGTGCTTGTCTTTAAAGGACAGCCTGGGTTGACGAACTTGTAGTTGCCCCTGCCAAGTATCGATCTGGGAACCAGGTTATCTAACATGCTAGCGCTGGAACAAAAAGACACCGCTGCCCATTTATGGTAACCATGCGGGGTGAGTGATTGACTGATCCGCAAAGAATGTACTTTCAGTTTACCTGGTGCTTGAATACTGCCAAGAAACTGCGCTGTCGCTGGATTCCCTAGTTCAACCGCGCAATTTCATTCCGCGTGGATCACCCAATTCAGAGAAACAGAGGCCTTCACACAGGCCTACAGTGATTCCTGTACCGATTCCTTGGCAAAACGATCGGTGGTACTCCAGGAAGACTCGTGTTCGAGGGTCCAGATTTCTCTAGTCAATTTTTCACCCTCTCGGCCTGTGGTGTAAACTTTGGAACGACTTGATAATGAAATACAGTCTCACCGGTTTAAAACTATGTTGCATAGAAGTTAAAAAGTCCCCTCTGCATATCCGATAACAGGGTTTGGGAAAGGGGAAGTTTTCCATGGATCGAAGGCGATATCACCAGTTTCAATTGGGCCGATAATAACCAATTCTGCGAAAACCAGGGACGTTGCTCTGCAGGCGTAGGATCGATTATTTGGAATCTTCAAAAGGCTAGAAAGTCTTTCCACTCAAAATTAGTCGTTTGGATCTACGGTGGTGGCGGTTGACATTGTACTGTACATACAGTCATTCTCGAAATCACCTTGACCAGTGTACTCTTCAACTCTCTTTCTCGGCCCTACTGCCAAGGCCTTAGCTTCTATTATTCATTGAGCCTACCCCATGAAGTTGCGGTCCGGTGTGATCTCCCCGAGCTTGCACGGCGATATTTAAACTGCGGGGCCCCTCAGCTTGATGCGTCTAGCCCAATAGATGTTCTGCGCTAAAGTCTTGGCTGCGGGGCCAAGAAAGATAATCGAAGAGTGTACTAGTCAAGCCAATTTCGAGAACGACTGTACTTCGGTGGATGATAGTGTGGAAATTGGTAAGCCTTAACATACTACAGTATCAACATCAACATAGGCCAATTTCCGCTTTACGTTGAAAGTCGACTATACTGGACGGACTTAATCAAACTCATCCGTACAAGTTATATTGATAATTGTCAGTTATCTGGCGCCAGTCATACGAAATTGAATATATAAGCAGTTTACTTCTGGCTTCCAGCCACCAGTAGAAATAGTAGGGCCGAAGATGTACGCTTGAGAGAACATGATCTCAAATCTGGCCGGTTTTCACAATCCAGAAGACATTACATGGCAGAAGGTCTTCAACGATTCTCCATTCGAAAAAGAATGGTACAGTCTAACTTTTCGGGATGGTCCAACCATAGACTGATTACTGCCGATCCAGACACTTGTCAACACACTAAACCATACCAAAGCGTCGCAAAGGACATCAATCCAGAATCTATTTTTTGATGCTTCGCAAAACATAGGCCATATTCAGCCAGAATATCCACAGTAAAATCCATGGGTCTTGAAACTCAGATATGCTTATCGACAGAGACGCCTTCTTAGCCCAATATGTACTGCAGCGTTATAATCTGCTGTGTGATTGCCAGGTACTCCTTGGCGATTGTAACATGGATCATGATGGGTTATTTGTCATGCTGTACCAACTCCAGTCTAGAGTATACTCTATCGACTAAAGCCATCACCGGAAGTCAATGAATGTACGGTGAAACAGTCCCACTATCAGGACCAGGCTTAACGGGACCATTAAGCCTTCGGTTTCCAAATTGTGGTTCAAACGTAGGCTATTGAGCCACGTGCAAGGCCATGGATAACAAGCCTGCTACACTTTCATTAGTACAGTATATCCGATCCCCGCAATGTAAACACTTGATTTATATTTTATTTCTTTATCATCTGAAATGGATACCACAATAGCTAGTCTTCCCCCTCAGGTAGGCGCAATCCTGATGGACAATATTGAGATTGTTGAAATTGTGTCCATGTTTTCAATCGGCGCATACAACGCTCTTGAGATAGCATTTGTGACATTCGACAAGTTCAAGCGTCACCGCAGCCTGTACTTCTGGAGCATGCAGGTCGCATCCTGGGGGATCCTGGTACATGCTCTGCCCGCCATGGCCCGGCTTATATCTCAAGCATCTAACCTTGCAACGTCAGTTCCGTTCATGATCGGATGGTATGCCATGGTCACAGGCCAGGCTGTCGTGCTCTACTCGCGCCTGAACCTGGTGGTGCAGCATCAAGTTACCCAGCGATGTGTGCTCTGGATGATCATCGTCAATGCCTGCGCTCTCCATATCCCCATGACTGTCCTGTTTTTTGGCCTCAACAGCGGGGACAGACGCTTCGCTACCCCGGCTGCCATCTTTGATCGCATTCAATCGACTTTCTTCAGTGCGCAAGATCTGATCATTTGCGGGATCTACATCCGAGAAGCAGTGCAATCCATGAAGCTGCTACTTGCGACTCGCGAACAAGAAGCTCGGCGAGTCATCAATCATCTAGTCTGGATTACGACGGTGATTGTGGTGCTGAACGTCCTGCTTCTTATCACCGAGTACAGAATGCACTATATTCAAGTCAGCTTCAAGACGGTAGTATATAGCATTAAGCTGAAGCTGGAGTTCAGCGTCCTCAATCGTCTTTGCCATCTAGTGCAGCCTCAGCCATTCGTTTTCCAAGAAGACCTCGAGTTACGTGGTGGGTCTGGTGGTGAGAATCTACGGCCTATACTTTCACAACCATCAGCCCCCTCAGAGACTGAGGAGGTCTGTCAGGGATCGAAACCGACCGGTCCTGCTGGTGAGTGGAGCCAGCATGTTTCTCGTGAGACATGTGAGATGACAGGACATGCCGGGGCGTATCTAAAGTGCGGTTCGACTCCGACTCCGCACAGTATGGAGCCAAGGACATCTCCGAACAGCTCGTCGGGAAATCTGCGCATCTTGGAGTTGACTTTGCCAGAATTTTCACCAAAGATCGAAATTTGGGAACCGAGTCGGGGGTAAATGGCTTAGGCTCGAGCTTATGTGGTCTCAAGGGCGATTCCGCGGGAAATCGTTTCACGCAGTGTTGCTACAGCAGGTCCACACAATAGCAATTTAGTTGTTATTAGCGGGCTGAGTGGGTCCGACTGTTGGGCGTTGATGTCTATCTCACGCTTAAATGGAATGGGTGACCACGCTTTGCCACAGAAGCCCAGCGCGGAACCAACATCGAGGATCAAGTCCGGACGTAATTGTCCGCACAAAAATCGATGGGTATGGTAAATTCTAGATCAGAACTTCGCCGGGTTTAATCGATACAGTATTTGCCCGGCCATATAAAATTTTATCTGATAATGACGCTACTGTGTGTCCTGAAATCAGTTGACGATTAAATGTCTGTAATTAAATATCTGTAGAGGATCATCTTTTGTAGTCTTAACAAAGTAGAAAGCTTTGTAGGTAAAATAGCCTATTTTATGACTTGAATGCCTGTTCTCCTTTGGTCTGATTCTTCTAGTCCTCTTTTAGCAAGGCTCCATCTCTACTGTGAACGAACTCAACTAATGGATATATTGCATTGATTGGAAATACTGAGGAAAATGCACTTTGGCAATAAATCAGCCATTTTTCAAGTTATTAATGAGCGATCTCAACTTTAGATATATGGTGAAACATCAAAATAACATATCGGGGCTTTCAATTCATTAGTATTCTAAGTCTCAACGGTATAAGCGGCCCCCAATTACTACTCCAGTCCTCAGCGCCGTGGATAGAGTGATGCAAAGGCATCTGGAGACTGACGTTGAGGGATAATTTGACAAAAATTTGAGGCTCACAGGGTAATCATCGCACTTCTCGCATACATCTGGTCTGGAACAAGCATATAAAACCTACATTCCTAGCTTCCTCGTCCCTATGGCTACTACTATTCTGACAATGGCCGTACGCGTTCGTAAGCCTGTCCATCAGCGGCCTCAGCTCGGTCCTCACATGGCTATGCGACTCCCTGAGTTTACCTCCTCACCACCAAAATATATTAAGCGCCGTGACAGCCATGGTATTGGAAATGCTTACGCTGACTCCTCTACCGCGTCCGGCTTGGGCAAACACAAAATGACCCTTCGACTAAGGATCCGCGGCTTAACACAGGGGCGGGAAAACCTTTCACTCCAAAAATATCCTTATACACCCAGTGGATGCCCTCCCAGTCAGAGACGCCAGCGAAAGTGTGCGATGCCTCACCAAGGGGCAACTAGGCTGAGTTGGATCCGACGACTGCGCCCAAATTCCCGGCGTTGTTTCCTGCTGGAGCATCACTTGAGCACGACGTGAGGCAAGCAGCGCCATTCTGGGGGCATACCAATTGCACCAATAATTTGCACTGAAAATTTCAGTCGGAGGATACGAAAGTGTGAGACTTTCAGATGATGGCACTGGTGGAATGTGGGGCGTGAAATCCAAGACTTGTTATGTGCCATTGTGAATTTAATAAGAGAGAACGTGTTCCAGAAACTGAGAGTCTTAAGATATATAGTAGGGGGAAATCATCACTGACATATTCTTGTACTGGGTTGTTCTTTAATGTCTCGGTAGTCCTGGCCGGGTGGGAAGGGTCGGAGAATTATATTAAGGTAGATTTAATTAGTCTTAGTCTTTGATAAGTTGTCTTTGATAAGTTGTCTTTTATCCAGTGACTAAGTAGGATGAATAGATTGACGATCTCTTTTCTTCCATCCGATATTACAAAGTGTGTAGAGTCCTTCCGCTTTCGCTGCTTCTTATCCTGCGAATCACCTCATCACTCACCAGGAACTGTAGGAGTGAAGCGCCAATGAAAGTGACCAACAGCTGTATCTAGTCAGTGTCAGCGCCATCACATTAGAGGTCGAAGCGGGAAGTTACCTCTAGTTCAATCATCCATGACTTCCTCACCATACCAATAGCAGCAATGGCTAGCAGAAGAGCTGCCATAAGGAGGATCGAGCATAAGATAAACGTCAATCTTCTTTTCATACTCAATGTCTCCCCCAGGATCCATAAATACCATATAGCCACCCAGAGATAATCAACGAAAACTGTCACTAGCCCAACCTGGTATATTGTGTTCCACACCAGTGCCCCGATGAATGCAATTGCTACTTTCGCGAATGTGGATAGGACGGTCCAGGAGATGAACATAATCAAAGCCACTTGCGGCAGGAATGGATTGCGCTTCTGTTGCAAAATCACACGTAGTAGCTTTGGCATAGTCAGCGGACTAGTATACAGTCGATCAAATGGAAACGCCTTGGGCTTACAGCTTGGAGCGACGGATTAACCGAGGTCGTCCAGAGCCAGATCTCAATCCAGAGCCCGGACTGCCCGCTCCACAGGGGGGCACTTAGTACCAAGAATGAAACGCAATTTGAAATATAAAATACCAGCTCCAGGCGACTGACCGACCACTGTAGCCTAAACCAGCAGTGCACGATCAATCGCGCAATATTGATCAATAGTAGCAAGGTGACTAAAGATGACTGAACTGTATGGGTGGAGGATATAGGGAACATCAGCTGGTCTGTCCTGAGTTGACAATCATTTTCTCATCGCGAGATAGTGGCCATTATATATCAATTCAAGGGCGGGAAGATACAATTTACCTAAGCTATGAGGTCTATATTCTCGGGTTTCAAATAGAGGCAAATAGGTAAGATCTAATATCCTTTCTATGGGGCTCCCAGGAACTATACGCTCCTGGGAGCCCTTTTTTATAGCTTAGCCTGAAGCATGCTCGGACGTGTGGCAAATACTACAATGTAGCAAGAAGCATCGGCTAGTGGACCCATAAATAAACAAACTATATTCTGGGCTATATTGACAAGAACATGGTGATAGGATAGATGTGTTCACTTTCTTGTCTTTGCTGAAATAGAAAATCTCGGTAGTTTGGAAGCGGTATACTGCGCAGTCGAACGTTTGTTCTTTCCACCTTTGAATACAAGCCTGGCCTGATCTTCATAGCTATTTATCTTTTTCTAAGTCGGTACGTAATCTTATACTGACACAGTATCGGGTGATTTCGTTACATTTTTTATTATGATATATCCACAATGTCTATACAAACTAAATGTAAGAGTGGTGTTCCCGAGCACAAAGGATAACTAGCTTACATTTGTCACGCTACGTGGAGCAGAGGCAAAGGTCAGTAAAAGCTGTATATGGTCTACTACTCAACCAAAGAATTCTGATTCATTTAAGTGATTACCCATGACCATTCCATCCACCATTTCCTGCTTCGCATCATTACCGAGGCCCGATATGAGTATAGACAAGGATTCATGGTGTTGATCTCTTAGCCACATAATCAAATTCGACCATGCTGATTCCAGCTACTTGATGTGAGATTCAAAGTCTAGACGGCTCACTTAGCCCTTTCCCTAGGAGTTGTAGCTAGCAAAAGCCTGTAAAACGGCTTTCGAGTAGGTCACCAGACTATACGTCATGACCATATGCGCTCCGTGCAGGCTGAGATACCACTTTGAAATACCAACTGCTCGCTCGAAAGATCGAAGAAGCAGAATGGCTACGCCAAAAGCATTTGTCACAAGGAACCAAAGGAAGGCAGTTGGTAATAACGATGCCGTCGGCGCCGGCTGCGCGAGTGCGTGTATTGTTGGCACCGAGCATAACAGCACGAGAGCTGTCATGTATCCGGGATACCGGATCGACTCGGTATCTCCTTGGTCCCCGGATATGGTGCTCGGTAACATCCTCTCGACAACCACCAGAGTCAATGCCGACGTGTAGCCCAGCTGCAAGAAGGGCTGCTTTGGAAACAAGAAGACAACGGTAGGCAACGCAGCCGCCCATATGAGAAATAGACCACTCTGGCAGATCGACCTTTCGTATCCCACCAGATCTCGGCCACCCAACGCGCTGAGGGTGTAATGGAATTCAACCCCTAGATACCAGATTATAAGGCATAAGCTGAATGCGGTCACCGCAATCGCATCAGTGATCATCTCCTGGGTTGTAGGGAATTGGAACAGGAGGAATTGAGCAAAGAAAATGACAAAGTAGCAGAAACCAAATGCACTGATAACAGCACCAATGGCGCAGTCGCGGAGGTCGCGTGGACTGGATGATGGCATTGTTCCAGAAAGTAATGACATGCTCTGCATTCTCTTGACTGTCATCCTAGGGATTCCGCAGCCATTATATAGCCTATAAGAACTGGCTCATCACTGCCAAGACGAATGTCACAACTGCTTGTTGATCAACGGCTGCGAGTCACTATTCACTAACAACGTTGGAGGCGTCCAACGGAGCGTGGTGAATACCTAAACTTATCATGTTGGTTCACCGTTTTGGAGGACGGCTCCGATGCACACCAAGAATCCACCCCACAGACTCCACCGCACTCCACCTTCTTCATACGTGGTCAAATTTTGCTGAATGCTGCTCTTCTACTGTACTTCGATCTAGTCCTCAGTTCCCCTCATGGATGATAATTTGCGGATCGTTCGACAAATTGGAGAACAGCAAGCTCACAACTCCTATCTTCGTGATTGTTACACGTTGCTCAAAGCTACTCAAGATCTGACGGAAAAGACAGCCGAAGACCTCCACAAACTCTACAGATCCCTTGATACGAGACCGGGATACACTGTTCACGAAATCATCCGGAAATTTCAAAATAATGTCTTGAGCCTCATTGAGAAGGCTTGTGAGTCCCAAGCCGCTTGTGAGGAGCTATGTCAGTTGGACATGTCCTATTCAGCGCGTGTAGTCTTCGAGCCGATACGAAGGATGTATACCGAGGCAGATGTGACTTTGGATGGACAAAAGACTACGGGACCTTATGATTGTACCTAGTAGCAGTCCCACTGGCCGATTCCACTCTTGTATCAACGAGAGCTTCCACTACGGGTTATGGGCGCTCATGGCACCTTACATACAGCTCCAACGACGGCAACGGCCTTTGGTACACTATATTTCCCACTTGTAATTCACTGTGCCAGAAATCAAAGTGTTTCAATAATATTCGCATTTATAGTGGAATTATTGATCACTTAACTATTAGTCTACATTTCGATCTTTGTAAGCCATTTGGTAGCATAGCACGTCCATACCGGGCTGGCATCTTAAGCTAGAGACCAGCTATTGCGGTAGCAGATATCTAATTTGGCTTGAACGCATATTAAAACAAAAGAATGACCCAAATCAACGAGGCTACAAAGGAAAATAAGACCGCCAGCCATGCCACTGCGAACATTTGCCCTCCAAGGGAGGCTCGAATTCCCACTTCGCCCAGGATGCGTTTAATCCCGAAAGCCAGAAGTCCATATCTCACACTGACCGAGATTGTGGCGGCCGTGATCAACAGTGACGAGAGCTGGAAGGTTAGCAAATTCCCCGGTGGCCGGAGTCAATGAACACATACCGTGCAAAGGATGATAAACACGGTTCTGCCGTGAGAAAATCTCAGATTCCAGCCCCCCTAGCGCAACCGCCAACATGGTCGTAGTAAAGCCAGCAATGTAAAGCCCAATGCCAGCTTGGACTAGGCCACGGTATCCGGATATGCCTTTTTGATCCAAGCTAGGAAGAAGTCCACCAAGGCTTTGCCGACGTAGAGTCCAGTATCGCCGGAAGGTTGAACGAGAATGAGGCACGTGGGTGCGAACAAACGGCATCTGCGCGACCCCGGAACTTGCAGTATCCCAGTAAGCCCACGGAGTAGTACTGATACAAACTGGCTTTTATCTCATGAACTTCGGCATTAACCTTTTCTTGAGCCGCTGATATGCTCTGTGAGGAAACCTCGCTTATATCGTCGCGTAGGTTGGATGTGGCAGCGGTCAAAACCTTGCTATCGCTGTCGCCAATATTGGCAATATCTGGATTGCGTACTCCAAACGAATCGCGAGTCGCTAAATCTGGGAGGGTCGGGAAGTTCGTCATATCGACCTAGTCACTGTTCATTATTGCCAGAGTACGTGTATTAGTGGAGCCCAACCTACCTTAAGGAAGTAAAGGCCGCGGGGGAAGAGGTCGAGGAGCAGCCAACAAAGACAAGACACAGACAAACCAAGACGGCTATGCTGAGGGAAATAACCACAGCAGAGAGCGTCTTATCTAGCCTGCCTTTCATCGAGAAACTCATGATTACTCGGTTACAACGCTTCACTTAGTGCAGAAGTGGGAGGAACAAATCAAGAGACAAGAACTAGAAATTTCGAGCATGGCGCGAGGCGAGTAGTTTATAGGGTAATCGTGGATAAGGCAGAGGTGAGCAGGGATGACCGCAAGTTATCAAATTAAAGACACCTTCTCCTTTAAGTTCCATATGCCTATCACCACTATGATCCTCACAAAAACGGAGGGCAGAGCATTGAATGATGGAATATGCGGGCAGCAGGAAACTCCTGGCCTCAGATTGTGCAGGTTCGGGTCAGAAATTAAAGCTGTTTTCACCAGTAAGGATCGTTGGCATCTGTGAACCAAATCTATAGTCTAGTTATGCGAAGGCAGCTGATCGAAAGTGCTATAAAGACCAAGGCAGACATAATTTGACGATCTGCAACTGCAGAGCGACGACGCTCGACGACTCCGGCTCAATGTCTCCCGTACGGCAGTCTCAGGTGGACGAAAAGGAGCGTAGGCTGTTCTTGTACGGCCGGCGTCATTTTCAGATCTCTGCCAAGGTGCATCTGTCAGACGTGACCTTTGAACAGGGATTTCGAAGCCGAATGGACAATCAGAGAAGTATCCGGCGATCAAAAAAACTTATGGAGATTCAGGGATGCCAGCGTCTTATGCGAAAAAATCATCTCCCGGTTATCATGTCCAGGAATGACTGGCGGAATCGCGTGGTGGTGGACCACAGCCAGGAGGACATGCCTTACTTGACTGTCGTCGGAGACTACCAACTGCATGCTCTGGATCATCGAAATCTGATAGCGGCGGCCTGTCAGTGGCTGGATATCGATGACCAGTGGTGGATTGCCGATATCTATGTGACAAATGATGGTAAGTGCACGAGTGGCCGTGAAGGAGAATCACCAAGCTTCCTAGACGACTAAACCTCTCTATAGACGTTGCCAATGCCGATTCCACAGCCCTCCATCACGAGTTCATCCAGTCCATGACGGAAAACTTTACTAATGACAATCGTCCGCCTGATGGCCTGATCTATGAGAGGATCAACTACTATGAGGGCTTCCTTGACGGCCCTCAAGATCGCTTGGCCGCCGACAACTGGTATGCGGTGCTGCAAGTGGTTGTCGGAAGCAGGAAAAGAAAATACCTCGAGCGCTTTTTCAAGATCGAAAAATTACATCTAAGTCTGAATTCTCTGCTTGTCATCGGAGGCCTATGGGAAGACATGCGCATCGGGGTCTTGCATAAAGTCACGGCCATGTGCTGTGATGAGGTAGGTCAACTCCCCTGGCCCAATTCCGTTTCAGTCCGGCTCACTCGAACTTATCTCCAGGCAGTTTCCTGCTATTGGCAAACAATCCTCACAACCTTCAACCGACTGGTCATGGGTAGACGCGAATTGTTATCGCGGATAGATGGAGTCTCAGTCAATCTCATCCAGTCTCGTGCCCCCAAGGTCTCCGACCAAGATTTACGATTTTTACAATCGAAGATGGATGACGGTCAGCTGTTCCGTCATTTCCCAGATGACATTCGCTATGAGTTGTGGGAGCAGCTGCAAGACATTGACTACCCCATCCCAACCCTAAAGACCTTTTTCAAGGACCGGATCTATCTCGAGGTCGCGCAAAGTGTCATGAAACAACTTGTGCCACCGCCAGTATGGGATAAAAGGCTCACTATTGACGAGGGTATATGCCAAATGTTTGATACTGCCGTGTCAATTCCCCATTCCTTGGGAGCTCATTACCTAAGAGAGGATCTTCTAGAATTTTGGCGTTTTAGCTTCCAGTATGGGTTTGAAATGACCGAGCATCAGCGTCTGAAAGGAACCGAGGGACATGATGTCCGCAACTCATCCAGTCTGATTAGACACCGGCCGACGACGCTCAGCGAATCAGACCTTTGGCGGCACTTGTATGCCAAATTGAGATCCAGGGGGTTTCGACTCCTGGAAGCCGGATATCCCGTGGAGCCTGAACCCGAGCTACCTCCTCTCATCCCGTGTGACTACCCGGAAGAAACCACCGAGGAAATTGAAGTCGAAAAGCGATGCGGAAAGCCATTTTCGAACACCGTCGAGGCGGACCGGTTCGCGCTGTCGGCCGAATCGCTGCAGCAAACATCGGAAGCAACACGGGTCACCGCTGGTTTTCTTCGAAAGTGGGTTTTCCGGGCTTTCTTCGGCTATTTGATGGAGAACACAGCCGTGACCAGTTAGACCACCGGCCTTATGAGTTGGCCAGATGGATATCCAATTTCTACGGTCGTGTTAAAATGGTTGCATCGTTCTTAATCAAAATACTTTGTAGGGGTAAATAGGAGTGTTTTACACCCTTCTTTCTTAATACTATTCGGCAGCTATGTATTTGTTAGATTTTACAATAAATCTTAAGCTTCTATCTAGGTGTATAGTATTAGTATTCCTGGTAATTCCATATTTTTATTTTATCCTAATTAGAAGCATAAGTGGCTCTTACTAGACATCAATTTCATATTCTTCGCGATATACAGTATTATCATTGAAAGTATATTAGTTACTAAGAAACCTATTTGTAATAATATGTTTTTTAATAAACAAACGAGAGATGAAAGTAGATGAACATACTTTAGCAGATCCGATTTAACAGCTCCTCTTGCAACGATGCAACCATTGTTAGAATGCCGTATCTCAAATTTTTGTCGACGACTCGATTGAGAATCGTGACACCTCGATAGTTGGGTGAACCTTAGCGACTAAGAAAGACGTATTTCCCGGCGCAGTCCCATTGGAAGACTTCCAGAACCTTGATAAAGCCCAACGGTGCACAAGCATCAGAATGGCAAAGGCGAGAATTCCGCCTATTACACTAATAAGTATCACTTCAACGCCTTGTCTAGACATCGTAGTCGACATGTTGGTGCCATCAAACATGACCCCTGACCTGGATGTCCCTGGAATGGACGAGTCGGCCGTGCCAGCGCCGCCAGTAGTTGGATTTTGAAGCAACGCTGAAGTAAGCGTTGAGACCATGTGATATTGTGAAATGGCTTGAGATGTTTCTGAGTCCCTTTTGATGCTATCGGGTATTGGAAGAGATATCTTGTCTTTCTCCATATCACTGCCTGAGCCTCTTAGTTCAGGGTGCTTCTGCTTGGTGGTGTAGAGCGGGATAGTGGAACCCAGTGGCGGACTTGTGGACTGTTGTACTGTATGAGAAGCCGTTCCTCGCAAATCTGATCCTGTCTCATTGCTGCGTGTCTGTGAGATTGACATGACCTGGCTCGTCTGAAGCGGCGTTATAGGATTAGTACTCTCCTCGATCACTTCGGAAGTTCCAGCTGCTACTGCGTAAGGAGGAGTCGGATCTCCTAGTGAGGTCCGAGTGCTCTCTGTACGATGGTCGTCGATTATCATAGCCTGACCCACAATGGGCTCGCTCATAGAAATGGAGATATCTAGGGAGATCGAGGCGGTCGCCGAAGCAGATAATTCGCTGGTAAGCCAAGGGGGTGCAGTAGACAGCACTGCAGGCTGCTCTGAGCTATATGTGGGATGGTGGGTGCCCAGTATGAAATGAGATGTATGCAAGGCCACGAGGCTTGATGGGAAAAAAGATCCGCATGATTGGGAGACTGAGTATCTGTCAAGACGTTTCATGAGAGTGGACATCATTGCGAGTGAGATACACATGAGGGATTGTAGGTTGTATGTTCCAAGCGTACTCCGTCCAGGACTGTTGATCTCCTGCAGGTATACCGGTCTCATCGCAATCTTAGCTACCGGAATAAGCTTCCCCAATCTCAGCACCGTATTAGAGACCTTTGATAGTTCAGGTCCCCTAAGCCTTGAGGTCAGTGCCGCGAAGACAGATATTCTCCGATGACCTAAAGAACATTGAAGTTCGGTGAGAGACTGACTGGGTGTTTCCTGCTTCCTGGTATTCCATCCTCACATTTTTGGAAGTAAGCCCGCTGTTGATGGTTGGTAGGCTGTGTGGAAGCAGAGGTTGCCGTTAGTAAATCACCGCTCACCTCACGTCGTGTAGAATAGCGAGTATACTACATTTATTTGAGGCGTCTGACCCAAAGCTCCCTTTTTGCACCTTCGAATCCATCCGCAGTTTCCTTCCTAGTTAGTGTTGACAGGGAACGGTGGCTTATGTTTGAGTGCTGGTGAACTTCATTTGAACGAAAGTCGTAAGGGGAAAGCTATAGAGCTATTAATTGAAATTTCCCATGCTCAATGAAATGTTCTTAGATAAACCCTTGGCTCAATGGCTCATCAGCTGAGCCGGGTCAAGCGGGAGCAGCTTCGAAAGCGCCTCGTCAACATCCAGCGCCGCCACCACGAATTTTGGGTTCTGTATGGTATCAAAATCTGGCTCGACATGGAACTCCCTGATGGACGACTGTTTGGCTACCACTCGCACCCCCACCTCCCATTGCCGGCTGCGGATAAAATGGTAGGCAATCAGACTCTCTATCATTAGAATGAGCGCTGATCTCCGAAAGGATAAGAAGCGTGTAGTCATGCGAACTCCCCACGATTATGGATCGACTGCTTATATGCGTACCGTCAAACCAAAGCGCCCCGCCCACAATCCAGGCCATAAGCGCAATATCTGGGAAGAACTAGCACAATACCTGGAAAGTGCAGAAGCAGAAGTTGACATCGTCGAATCATGTTGAGTAGCAACTCGTGCTCCGCTAGTCTTAGAATCGATATTTAGCAGGAGGAATAGACGATCGATTATACATAGTATATGGATCTTTAGTATCATGTATATTTTCAACAGCCTGATACTGCCAGAATATCTTCCTCTATATCTAATTTTACATTAACTATATTGAGCATAAGCAGGGTTGAATTATAAAATAATAGGAGTGTTACCAATTAATAAAGTATATAACCACCTGCTTCTGAGCTTTATATAGCTGACACTGGCTGACATGTCTATGGTTTAAAACAGAAGGGAAAAAGTAAATCACCCACAATCCATCAGGATGCTCGAAATGCAGTTGAACTCAATAAGATTAATTTGCAGTGTATATATGGCAGGTTTCGGCCCCTCGTACGCATACCTCACGGCAACCAATTAAAAGCGCATCATCTTAAAAGACGATCATTTGAGTGGAAACTGAAAGGGAACTTCAGTCTAGAACAGGCCTAAGTGCCCCGTCAAGACCAAGCTATCTTCAAAGTTTAGGAAGTGTCGAGGGACGTCGACGATGGCGGTGGGTTCTACCGTGTCTCGCGCTCCGATCGAAAGATACTATCAGAATACGTTATAATGCTTCCTGTGTTGCCAGGGCGCGATACAATACCTTGGTAATTGCTCTCGACTCCGCCGGGTCTCGTACCTTGAAGAGGCTGGGGCAGAGTTGCCTGTTAACTTTAGCGAGAGAGCATAATGTCTGAGCAAGTGGACTTACTTCTGACTTTGTGGAAAGCATTGCTGTCTTGAGTGGTAAAGAGGTCTGGGGATTAGTTGAATTAACCATCGTAACACGACAACGAATCGAACATACCACAGTGACCACGATGGCCATGGCACTCAAAATCAGCAAGGCAAGAATCATGATGATCCGGTTGCCTTGAGACAGACGATAGATGACATGCTGTCGTCTTTTTATATTTTCTGGGAATTCTATCGGATCAGATGAATTCCATCGGATCATATTGATCAAGTTGGGATCGCTCGGGGTGAAACAGTCAAATTAATCTAGATCACATAAGTTGAGGACCTTTGTTCAGCAGTCAGAATTTAGGGGGGGGCCATCGTTATCTCACACGCCTCATATTATAGAGCAACTACTGATGAATTTTATCAACGGTAGTATACTTCTTGTCCATCGGCTGCATAAAACATAGGATGGTGAAAAACAATATAGGTACCATTGACAAACGATAGATAAGAATATGTACAACTGTTTATATGTCGTCTCTGTTGCGTTCCCAAGGTTCTTACCATTTCTTCGATATGATTTCTTCCTACCCAGCGTGTACCTTTATGGGATATATGTAGTGATGTGCTGTTTTGAAAATCGAACCCATCCTAGCCTTCTGGATGTATCCTTTGTCTTGTTTATCTTTCCCTCGGCACTTGCGTCGTGAGGCAGCTGAAGATGTCTGTTCACCTCGGAAACGAAGCATTCGAAGTACAGTCATGTTGTAGTGACTATGAAGGAGCAGGGTCCTTTCAGACACGGTCTACTGCATCCACGGCAGCCACCGACGAGGTGTCTTCCCCTCCCATTCAGGTGAGGCCGCTTTTGCCACTTTGCCCCGATGGATGTGAGCACACGGTTCCTACATTCCATCAACCGCTTCTCATCCTGGGCTATCTCTGTGTGACCAGAATTATTCCAGAGGATGATGATGCGCTTTAGAAGATCACCTTTCGACGCGAGCAGGATTGGGAGCATGAATTTATTTGCAGTATGACCACCTTTTGCCTTGGTTGCTTTCAATACGCCGCACTTTGACACCGGCTGAAGGTCTTCACACGATGTCCTTGATGGATATTAAGTCGCAAATTCGGTTTTTACTCTACATACTCGGCATCTACTCTGTACCGCAGACAATGTTTTTGCAGGCATGCTTCCAACAGAGGAATTGCCCATATAGGTCTTTCGGGATTAAAGCGAGCACCATGCTGATCTGCCTTGCCCTCGATGTCATCCGCGCTGAAGAGATCAACGACTACGAGTCGCGAAGTTTCTGGCCGTAGGATGACTCGTTCCTTCCCCTAATGGTCTCGAGGCTCACATTGTTGCCCTTATTTGGAAATGGTAAATCAATGGCTTGTTTCAAAAAATAGGTCAGACGTCTTCACCAGGCCTTCCAGCGCGAAGAAATCCATGTCGCTTCAACAAATCCTCGGCATATTCCTTCTACGGATGAACAACGAATAGTAGCGTATTACGGACAAGGCTTCCAATCGTGGAGCCAGCTGCTGTTGCCGAGGATTTCTGCTGTGCTGGGGCTTCCCCAAAATAACGAAGACTACCTTGATGACTTCTTGATTGATTTTCTTGCCAGGCTATTCCATGAGGGTAAGGCAGAGGACCTAGACTAGCATCTTAGCAACATTTCTGAGATTGGGAGAAACCAAGGCTGGTAGGATTATTGTTACTGAGATATTCCACGTAAAGCTTTCCGGTACTTTGTACCGGCCCCAGTCTGGTAACTAGGTTATTATGAATTGACTCATTTAGATAGACTGAGCCTATTCACTGACAAACTAATAGATTGGTGTATCATGGTCTTTCATGTCACCGACCCTGATAATAGACTGATACGGGTCAATCAATGTCGGATTCCTTTAGAGATTGAATCAAAATTTAGGGCTCTACCATCAGAAACGGTGGGATCCATAATATAGTCGAGCCCTCTCGCGCTTTATGAGGCATGTGCCTTAAGAAGGGCCACTGTATCATTGGATACTAGCTGAGTGACTGCTCAAAATGGGGTGAGAAGGAGGAAATTATCTTTCTTTATAATGATTCATTTTGTCTTAAACTGCTTCTGCTACATATAGAAAATTGCACTTATTGGTGAGGATTTGTGGAGGCCTTGCGCCCGTAAAACCATTTAAACCTCTTGTTCGTGTCACAGCTCACCAGGAGCAATATGCCCTGCATTCATCCCTTGAGAACGCAAAGCTGGGCTTTCTCGAACTTCGCGAAGCTAAATGATATAAACCAGCATTGACCTATTTTCATTGCCATCCATTCCGGTCTGTTGTGAAACATGTTTCTCATTGGTTTACGCCTGGAATGACCTATTACATACGTTTGTCCAATTTGTTCGGTTACCCTGACATCTAGTTTGCTAATTCTTCTGCGATGCGGACCTGATCAAGTCAAAAGTCGTCGAGCTTGAATGACCTAGATTCACTTATTATATGAATTCGAAGAATCTTTGCGCCTCAAACGCTTATCTTGTACATAGATTTCATTAGGTTTACCCTCCCGAGGAGCGTGTCGTGTAACATCAAATTGTGGCAAGACAGAAAACAAATCACTGAGTTTGGAGTATCCGTAGGTGCGAGAGTCAAAATCAGGATATTTTTTTGTAAGCGAATTGCCGATATACGAGAGTTCAGCCCATCCGTGATCGTCGGAGGCTGTCTCTATTGTCGTATGTAGCAGATTTACCAAGTCCTTGTCTTCTTCGGCCTGTCTTACTGGAATGTGGTTCTTGGGCGTAAAGATTCTATCGGGATGCGGAACAAGTTCTTTGTGGTAAACAAGGTTTTCGGTACAAATAAATTTATCGCAAGCGGCGACGAAGGGCTTCGGTGTCTTTTGCTCCCCAAATCCGTAAACAATTGATCCGGATTCGCGAATACGAGCGGCTAGCCGAGTAAAGTCAGTGTCACTAGAGACGAGACAGAAACCATCAAAACGGCCCAAGTGAAGAAGGTCCATCGCGTCTTTTATCATTGCTGAGTCGGTCGCGTTTTTTCCGTGGGTGTAAGCGAATTGCCGGATCGGCTGGATTGAATGCGTGAGGAGCTCTTCCTTCCAGCCACTCAAGTTAGTGTTAGTCCAATTGCCGTAGGCCCGCTTGACATGAGCGGTGCCAAAATTTTGCCACCTCGGCCAGTAAAAGCCTCGCCGTAGACGGCATAGCATTGTCAGCATCAATAAGGACTGCGAGCTTCTGAGTGGTATCGCCGGCCATGACTCTGTGTAGATAAGAGGAGAATAGGTTGACGGATAATGCTTAGGCTTCTTAGTCCATAAGAATTGACCCCTGGCCAAATCATGTGTAACTAACCAGTGAGTAATGACATCGGCTATTGGCCCTTGAATCATCAGTAATGACACGTGACTATCGCATTTGGCCAAGAGGCCGGTCTAGTCTCGACAATGGTACGTTACTCCTTATAGGTTCTTAACCATGAGTACTTGGTCTCCTGGTGAGTGTCTAAATTATGGTAGATCATTATATTTGGAAGATCGGAGAAATGGTACAATACTGTCATCAACCACTAGAGCTTGTCGCGCTCCAGTCTGCCTATTCTTGCTTCACGTTGCTGTGATTTGAGGCTGGTGCAGATCAGGAACAGAACCGCACCGTCGGAATTAGTTCCTTGGAGATCTCTACAAAGTATCCAGTTGATTTTCAATCAAATTGATGCCCTATATGTATATAGAGCCTTTCTTATTCCTCTAAGCCAACTATTAATCTTCCTTTGAACTACAACAAAATCTTCCTACATTTCCTTGGAAATAGATAATTATACGCTCATATTTGAACAGTCCAATCTAGGTGACATCCATAGATCGAGATATTCTAGAATTTACGGGTTGGGGAACAATACATAAGGAAATGTGGGCCCTAGCGGTAATGTACCACTCCATTTCTCCGACAAGAAATAACATCTCAGAATACGGTAACCAGACTAAGCACATGAAGAGACAGGCAACTGAAGAATTCCAGTTAAATGACAAAAAAAATGACACAATTGATTGAGCTTAATGCTATAGCTGAAGGTCAATTGAATGAGCCTTCAAGGGGCTATTATAACAGTGTGTTATGACACGATCCTTCCGGTAATCAAGGAATATGAGGGGACGCGGACTTGGCTAATCCTAGAGAAGAATAGTAGTAAAGTTTTCTGTATTCGGTCCATTCGTCCTCGATCTTTTTGATTTTCGCTTCTTGACCTTCCGCATCATTGTTGAATTTCTCGTGTGTAAGCTGATGCGCCATCATGCATGTAAAAAGTATGCATTCTAGTCGATGTGCTTGCTGGGCCGGTTCGGGATGTGCTTAAATTTCCTGCGACCACCACCACGATCCTCGGTCATAGAATCCGCCTTACGCTTTTATGAACACGGGCTTTACTCAGTGACCTGTCGTTCAAATTGTACATCTCTTTAATGGAGTGTTTGTTCCTGATGCACGCCATGCCTGGATCCACGAGGATATTCCGTCCCGTCTTTACTTCCGGATCCGTACCTCTTGAGAGCAGCAGATAAACCATGTCAACCTTTGCCATAAAAAGACAGCATGCCAAAGTGCTGGCTGGCGCCCGTTGTTTCAGCTGTTAATGTCAAGATCAACATGTCAAAGGAGTTTCTTCACAACTCTTGGTAAAGTTTTCGATACATACATCAAGCCACAAAACACTTACAATACAGTAGCATTTTACAGACATGCATCTTGTTTGACCGCTTTACCCCTCTTTTTCAGCCTTGTACCGCTTGAAATTATTGCTTTCGCGCTTCAGCGTCATTTAAAAATCCATTTAAATTTGCTCCCAACTGTGCCTTTGTTTCTCCTCAGTCTTCCTGGGCCTCTTTTCAAGAAAACATGACCTTCAAACACGACGACTATACTGTAGCATGGATCTGCGCTTTGCCGCTAGAGCTGGCAGCAGCACGACTCATGCTAGATGAGCTCCACTCCTCACTGCCCCAGCCAGATACTGATCACAATGCTTATATACTCGGCAGCATCATTGGACACAACGTGGTCGTTGCATGTCTCCCATCAGGGGTTTACGGAACGACATCTGCGGCGACTGTTCTCGCTCAGATTCTGCCGACCTTTCCATGTCTTCGATTTGCGTTGATGGTCGGTATTGGGGGCGGTGTGCCAGGCAAGAAAGCAGATATTCGCCTAGGTGACGTGGTTGTCAGTATACCAACAGCGACCGTGGGAGGGGTGGTCCAGTATGACTACGGGAAGACACTCCGTGATGGATATATGCAGCGCACCGGATCCCTCAACAAGCCACCGCAATGTCTCCTTACAGCAGTGTCGCGAATACGCTCTGAGTACTTGCTTGAAGATTCTCCAATCAAGCGAATGTCAATGGAAATTCTTGATAAGCATCGGGCCAGCAGGCAAACCATCCGCCCGGATTACGACTGGCTATTCATGGCAATATATGACCACACCAATGGCCGACTGCTCCTCATGCGATAAGACTCGACTGGTACAGCGCGCAACACGAGTGAACCACGAGCCTCAAATTCATTACGGCCTTATTGCATCGGGAAATCAATTGATGAAGGATGCCAGGACGCGCGACTCTATTGCTGATAATTTGGATGTACTCTGTTTTGAGATGGAAGCAGCAGGGCTTATGGACCATCTTCCGTGCCTAATAATACGCGGTATTTGTGATTACAGCGACTCTCATAAGAACAAAGAGTGGCAAGGCTTTTCGGCTCTTACAGCAGCCGTATATACACGAGCACTTTTATCTTTTGTTCCGCTTAGAAAGCATGCCGCGCTTTGGAAGCAAGGTATGACATGCTTGCTTACAAAATCATTCCAAGGTTGGCTGATCAAGTTTTAGCCGTCGGATTTACTGAGAAGGAAAGGGCTCTCCTTGCAAAATTATTTATTACGGACCCAGAAGAGGACCTGAACACGTTGAAGAGGATAAAAGGAAACCGCGCGCCAGGAACCTGTAGCTGGTTCTTGGAATCCAATGAACTCCAAATTTGGTTTCGACGAGCAAAAGCTGTGAGCGACCTGGAAAGAAATGTCTTATGGCTCTATGGCAATCCTGGAAGCGGCAAATCCACAATGGCCATGACGCTTGCAGAGGAACTACCCGCGAAAGACTCTTTTTCTAAAGAAGACAGTATATGCTCCTTCTTTTTCTGTGATGGTAGCTCTGAAAATCAGAGGAAAGCGACATGTATACTTCGAGGTCTCCTGTATCAAATAATAAAACAATACCCGCCGTTTGTCGACCCGTTGATGTTCAAGTATGAAATGCAAGGGGAGCGGCTATTTACGTCATTTGATGCATTATGGGCCGTCCTTTTGGATATAGACCGGGCGTCTAAGGGTGCCGAGATATACTGCATCATCGACGCTCTCGACGAATGTGAGAACGAATCGCAAAACTACCTACTTCAGCAGATTAATCAATCCTTCAGAGAAGCAAGGAGAACCAATCTGGTCCCGTCCAGTCTGCACTTTTTGATACTCAGCCGTCCATACCCAGAGATAAAGGGTCGTCTATCCATTTTCAAATGCGTAGACTTGGGCTCATACATGGAGTCATCCAATGACCTGATAACCATGATCCGATATAAAGTACAGGAGCTTGCAGAGAGAAAGAAATACTCCGAGTCTGTTGCCCAGAAAGTGGCCCAAACACTGAATGAAAAAGCCGAAGGAACATTCCTATGGATTGGAATTGCCTGTGAGGCATTGAGCCAGGTCCAGTCCCGAAAAGCAATTGAGACATTAGAGACCTTTCCGCAGGGATTAAATGCCCTTTATCAATCTCTGTTTGATGCAGCCGTCGAATCCAGCGATGCTGACGATTATCTACATATGGTGATGATCTTTAAGGTTGTTACTTTTGCGCTGCGGCCACTGACGATTGTGGAAATAGCTGAAGCATGTCAGTTATACTTGGACAAAGACATCGGTACCCGCGTGCAGTTTACCCACGATATTATTGACATGTGCCGCTTATTGATAGTTGTCGACAATGGCTACCTGCGGCTTCTGCATGAGTCTGTGCGGGACTTTTTAATGGCTAGTGTGATTGAAATGACTCCTCTTAAATCTAATCATGAAATTTCATGCCGCTGTATTGAGGTCTTATCACAGCAATGCAGGCCAGGTTTGAATGGATCATCCTGGGAACGCAATCGTGGATTTCTTGCTTATGCGATTCTCTATTGGCCACAACACGCAAGCTTGGCTCAAACGGAATTTTCTGTCCAGAAAGAGCATGAGACATTTTTCCACGACGCTCTTGGAACATGGAATTGCTGGCTCGATTATTATGAAGAATTAAGGGAAAGATCCTGGAGCAGTATAGGGACGAATCTATCCGCAATACATGTCGCAGCTCGGTGGGGAATCATGCCACTGATCTTAAGCTTCCTCGAAAGAATAGAGGATAAGGGCATCCAAGGAAAATCCCCGCTGCTTATTGCGGCTGAGAGTAATCAAATAGATGCCATCCGTCTCTTGGTAGATTCCGGCGCGTGCTTGGACTCCTTGAGCGACGAGCATCAGAATGTCCTTCATGTTGCTTGCAAGAATGGTCACTTCGATGACCACGCAATGATTGAGTATTTACTCATCAACGGAGCCTCCCAATATACCTGTGATGAATACAACATGATACCCGTCCTCTATGCAATTGGTGACGAACGTGAGGATCTTGTTCGAACTTTTCTTCGAAATGGATTTGACCTAGACTATGGGGTTCAAAGGCGGTCGTGGCCCGGTCGATCAACGGAAAACAATTTTATATTCAGAATGAATGAGTGTCAGGGAGATTTAGATAGTGGACTAACAGTGCTCCACTTCTGTGCCCTGAATGCATGTCCCAGAATGAGCGCGCTCTTACTTGAGTATGGGGCCGATCCGAATGCTCGATCTAATTTTGGCGATACTGCACTACATCTGGGGATAAGGCGCCGGCTTCTCGGCCGTCGAATTGACGATGAATGGGGAAATGGACAGTACGCTATTGAGTCATTGCGTGATTTGATTACGGATCATGAAGGCTCAGAAGCCTCTGATATCTACCGAGCCATCGACGATGCCAGGATACGCCTGATAGAGACGCTCCTCGAGAGTGAATCCATCGATGTTAATATGACTAACAATGAAGGGGATTACCCTCAGCATGTGATCGATTTCAGTCGATCTAATGCGCTGTGTATCCTAGATAAACTAGTGGAAAAAGGCGCAGACGCATCTCAACGGAACCGGGCTCGCCAGACGTGCTTCCATCTCGCTAATAAAGCAAGGAACCTAGAGGTGATCGCCAAATTCGTGGAAGATGGTCATGATATCAAGCTGCGAGATGCCGACGGGTTGAGCCCGTTTCACCACGCACTTTTGAACTGTAATGCAGATGTCCTGCAGCTCTTTTCAAGTGCTCGCAGTTACGAGCTTTCGGAGGTTTGGTATTCTCTCGATCACCTCGACAAAAGTCCGCTACATCACCATGTATCATCTGTATTTTGCTCAGTTGAGGTGATTTGCCTCTTGCTCAGGCTTGGTTGCGACATCAATCAAACTGACACAGAGGGGAACTCGCCCCTAGGCCTTTACTTGGATTCGTTTCAACTGTCAATTCAAAAAGATGTATTCTGGCTGCTTTCTCAAAAAGGCGCCGATCTTCTCTGGCTCAATAAAAGTGGACAAAACTTGGCGCATCTTCTCATGCACCACCAGGGAATAGATACCGCGATCATTGAGTTCTTGTTCGAGACGGGTGTGGATCCAGCGGCTCAGGATCATGAAGGGAAAACATTCATACACCATGGAGCGATTCACGGTGCATTTACGAAGAACCTCTTAGATTTCCTTGATCATAAAGGTTTATTGAACCTGTCTACTCCAGACTTAGCCTCCAAAACCCCCCTCGACTACGCCAAAGAAGAGGTGCAGAGGGAATCACTAGAAGATCTCCCCTGGTGTGGAAGATGGGAGGAATCCTTCAATAATTTAACCGCAAAAGCTTTGTCGTGGTATGAAATTTTTAGCTACAACCATGATATGAGCTGACCGTTGTGCCAGATAAAGTATGATATAATGCTTGTTTAGGCCTGCAAATGACCGCTGTCACAGCCGCACGGCTCCAGACAGTACCAATACGCCAGCCGCGACCCATGTTGATTGTAAGGCTACATGTGGAGCAGAGTGACACTGAAACCATTGTCGAAAATGAAATTTGGCCACATTGTTTTTTTCATACACTGTAAATATCAGAAACATAGCGAATATTCCAAGTCGGAAACTCTGATGTATAATACTAGGACGCAAAGGCTGAGCATGATATTCGACGAATGAGAGCGCCTTCCTCACAAATTCATTCTCTGGGGAATTGTTTATCTGTTAATCTGTTCATACGTAGTAGCGTCTTCGAAGTGTATAGGAGCGTTGTCCCTGACTTGACGTCTTGTAAGTAGATTTGACAGGACCTTTTTTTAAAACTTTTGATCTGTCTGAAAAGAAGTGTTTCTTGCTAAAATGAAATACGAGGCACGCTCCAGTTGTCTTCTCACTCCAGTACAGTAATCTCTACTTCCGCCAGTGAGGCTCCAGGGCTCCTGGGAGCAGCCTTGGTCAAGCCCAATGTGGCAATTATGCAATTGTATAGTGGAGGCAAGTTTCTGGTAGAGAAGAAAGCGCAATCTGGACTGTCTCATCGGCTATAGGTGTAGCCATACAGCAACAAAGCAAACATGATGCCAAGCTGGAGCAGCAGCACATTTCCTCCATCACATGTTGCTCATAGGATCAAGGCGTTCCCAGGAGCTAGTGCGGAAAATCCCAAGGATTGACACGATACAAGTGAAGACGGACCCACCGCGCATCTGGGTTCCCCTGCACACAAGGAAGCTATCTTCTTAATTCGCTTACAGTGTCTATCATCCAGAGTTAAATGCAGTTTTCAGTGTTGAAGATTCATCTGAACTCATGAAGCTCCTGAAAGCGCCGTATGTTCGTGATAGGGATGTCCTATTCTTAGCCATTTTGACTGGCAAGAGCTATTTTGACGACGTGATGAAGTGGAACTCTTTTCCAAGCTAAGGAGACATAGCTTGAGAGGATTCTGACTCCCAATCAAAAACTTTCCACGCCGCTTGAAACTTCATACATGATTTCTGCGAAGCATTGACCGACGAGGACAAGCAGAGGGTGCATTAGCATTGTCAATCTTTCCTAGCGCCACCTGATCATCAGCCAATACATATTGATTGATCCACGATCAAAAGGCAGTCGCAGAAGTGGTCCATTCTGTTCTGTGAGGGCAAAGAATGACTAAATTCATTACATACCACGCACAGCTAAAGACACCATCACAGTGCCAGCGATACCCTAACAAATATTGATATGTAAATTATGAGCTTCCTCTGTTGTCAATGGCCAGCTATCGTATCTTCCAATGGTTAAATTGGGACCACAGAAGCAATTTGTAAAGAATCTTAGTTCAAGTCCTGATATATACATCAACCTATAAAGGTAACACCAAAAAAATTCTCTTTCCTTAGAGATCATTATCTCTCCAATCAGTTGGTCCACGTTAGGATTATCCAGAACAAACTACGCTTTCTGAAATAGATTCGACATATTGACGTAAGCGATCATACTAGTGTCGCTCAAGTCACGAATCGTCTGTTCACGATTATGGACTGCGACTCCGTTCACGTTATATACTTGAATAACCTCCTTACAGTTGATATCAACCGCAGTGTAGTATTTATAGCGGAATCGATCAAAGATATATGCCAGGTGGTTATTTGTAACCATCGATGTAAACGCATTTCCCCTTTGCTTAAGCATCCACTACTCTATGTGCTCCGCGATGATGGCGTCGGATTTGATGCTTTCGTTGACCTCGAGTGTTTTGCATCGACCTTTGAGATCATCAAATTAGTCTTTTAGGGATGGTGGCAAGAGGCGGTCGGGGGAGAAATGTTGTATTAGTTGTCGAATCATGTGATTTGAGCTGGCAACTAATGGGACTTTCGAAAATAAGACATTATCAACGGTACTCTGGGAAAATGAGCCACGTGACTTTTATCGGTCGCTACTATGCATGTTAGGTAGAGCCGAACCCGCAGGCAGTCCGCTGAATGCCAGGGGGGTCTACGACTGCTTCCAGGAACCCGGCCCCTGACCATGAGGGTCTCACGTATCTTTTCATGAAGAGAGCGTCTTCCTGATGAACCATCAATATGAAAGAAAGCTAAAGTCGACTCTAGATACGAGACTTAGCGCGAGGAAGCAAAAGAAGACAGCTTCCTCGCGTTCAGGGGAACCCAGATCCGCTATGTGGGTCCACTTCCTCCACTAGTCGTATACACTCCATGTCAGTCCTGACACTAACAGGGTGCTGCAATGCTGATTTCCTGCGTGGTCGGACCGACTGGTGAGATTGGGGCCGAGAAGGGGAAAGGTGCGGGCTTAGACCAAATCAGCCGTTTTGCTCCTGGGAGCGTGTCTGCAGCACCATCAATCAAGAGATAAGATGAGCCAGTCACTTACTTGCAGTACACATTATTAATACTCCGTAGCCCGATGAGTCCTGGGATCTATATGAGTACTACGACCTTGCTCAGCATCTGGATTCGCAGTGGCATCTGATTGGACACGTCTCGCGCATCAACCGGCTAAGCTCAGTGATTGATCGAAAGCATTATTTGAAAAATGTGGGGTCTAATTAGCAACGACTGAGATCCTGGGAGCCCGAAAGGTGGCTCACCGCGGAAGCCGAGAATCAGAAGCAGCTAACCAACGCAGGCCATTTCATGACAAAAGCTTCGCAGCAATTCGCTTACTTATGCTGTGGCTCAAAGAAGTGCTCTCCTCCATATCACCATGAAAAATCTTCTCCCTTTACATATGTCTTGAAGCAAGGAAAGCGGTAGTCTGCCAAAGTCAATAAGTTCCTTCGACTTTTCATCCCGTGCGTGATCTTACCGGTCAAGGACTCAATATCAGTCATTGATCTAGCGTAATGCCCATAAACCACTTCTCTAATTTGGTCAATCGATGCGGAACTTGGGTTTCCGTGCTTGAGACTTCGTCGAAACATTTTGACTTCGGACCTTGCTTTTAAGTATGAGCGCTGGCATAACCGTCGGGTCCGCCATGATTCGAGGTCATGCATTGACATCAGGAAGGATGCATCGCGGGAAATTGAATCCGTCCATTTTTGTATCCAAGACTTTGAGTCTCTCACCTCCCAGAATATTTCGGCACTCCTCCAATCTATGGTATTTTAGAGCTCTGTCAATATCTCAGGGCAGGAATGAGCATACCGTGTTTTATAAAAGAGGGAGGCTCTTCAACCCAAATATGCCACTCTGAGCGATCTTTTTCATCCATTTACAAGGGAAGAAGACTGTCCTCAGCGTATGTAATGCCGTTCATTAGGGAAAAGGGGTGTATTATATATGCAGTGTAGGGTGCGTTAGGAAATAAAAGGAATGATTCCATAAGCAGAGATTCAGTCACCGTGAGCCGATTCAATGTGAATCAACACTATCGGAGATCACTCAGTTGAGGCCCCCGCAGTCTTTTCACTCATGCAGCACAGGTGATGATCCCTCTTGTAAAAACATGGCTAAAAATTAGTGAATCACATATCCGGACCTTTATGATGGTTGTCTGTAGCTGCTATGAACTTGTCAAACCGCTATTTAGTATGTGAGTCTAGGTTGATTGTTTGACCCAGGTCACGTGGCTGGCAACTTCCGCGGCGACCTTGGTGTGCTTTGGTATTTACCATAGACAAACATTCTGAAGACCTTTAAGCTACGTAAAGAGAGGTGCTATGTATAGTAGTGCATTATCAGAGACTTGCCACCTACAATCATACATATGACTACGCCTATGTCGAGATACTATCTAGATGTGCTTCGGGCTGCGCGGGTACTGTAGGATGAATGGTCCGTAAAGACACGAGCACTGATAGCTTCTAGATATAAGTCCCAATCTTTATGACTAGCTCGTCAATGAGTATTTAAATAAGCTGCTTCCCAGTAACGGTGAGATCTACCTCAGAATCCAACAGTACTAACACAAGGGGAATATATATTTTGAGGCTCGGTCGGTGGCGCGACTATCGGAAAACAAAGCCAGGTGGCTCAGAAATTAAGTTGCCCCTATCTTTAAATAGATAGTTTTACGTATGCCCTGAACGACATTTTGAAGATTGAGAACGTATCAGCATTTTCAACTAATTTCAGACACAACCTTAGACGAAGTTCCTTTGCGTGGGGTAGAAAGATATTCCGAATCATGGATATTACATGCATAATTGAAGCTTGGACTTCAACTTCTAATTCTGTTGGCATGTTGAAAGAAAAAAGATTGTGAGATGGAATGTAACGACGCTGTTGGAATGTAACGACGCTGTTGGAATGTGGCTTGAGCCTATAATGCTCTAGATCGCATTCATCCGGCATACCAGGAATGCTTTCAGGGAGCACAAATTTGAGGCATTTGAAATCGTCTAATCTGACCTGACATGCCCTGGAGAATGTCCTGCCGACCCGCTACATATCCAGTGCAAAAAGCCAATGTTAGCCGTTGAGAGCTTTACACAGGGTCTCTTTTCCCCTCACTTCCCCTATTCACTTCATGCCTCCAAATAGATGAGATGGGGAGCCCTGGCAAAGCGACAGCTTATGTCCTGATCTTCCTAGGTGGCGGACTGGGCGTGTTACTTCTTATTGTATCAAGTTTAGTGTATGTTTCCACGGTATCAAAGATTAATGACGGGCAGCTGTTCATCTCGACCCTATTTGCATTCCCTGATATGTACTGCTCCGGAGCTGTGTAAGAGATACTGACTTTGAGTAGCCTGGCGGTTTATACTCGTCGACAAGGTCGTTTGAATTTATTGTGGGAGACAAAAAGGAAGCCAGAGTTAATACGAGGGTTCAATGGAGTGTCACGCCTCTATACCCTGGAACAATGCAGAAGTGAAGAAGATCCCGGGACAGATCTGACTGTCCTTCACTGGTAAGCTATTATTCATTCCTTGTTGTTGGTTTTCATCGTTCCGTTTCCTCAGTGGTTTCCTCGGTGATCGGCTAAGGAAAAGCCATGTACTGAACTGAAGGTTTACACCAGTGCAATATGCTTAGAGCAATTAAGCGGCTCACAGTCACAAGTAATCCGCGAATCACGTTGTCTGCATTCGTTTCACCGCGATTGTGTAGATAAATGGTTTTTGGGAGAGCACTTTGACTGTCCTCTATGTCAGAAGCCATGTTTTCCTTGAGCGACTCAAGTTCCGAGATCGCGACTCTGTACTGCAGAGCTTCAGGTACATGTATACGATGCAATCTTCGTGCTGCACCCACAATGCTAGGCGAGAAGTTTGCACAAGCCAATGCATGATGATATGATCTACTCTCTTTGATTGATTATTTAGCCCCACTGCCAAGAAACACTAGATCATATTAGGCAAAGCACCGGAATATCAATATTCCCGTATCGGTCTCGATACCATGGTTTACTGTTATTAAATACGCTACCTCGTCTTGTAACTGTATTGGCGATCCTAGGGAACTAGAATTTTCCATGGAGATACAAACAAGTCAAACACTAGAGGTTGGGAGTCCCTCAATAATCTAGTACCTGTCCCTTCCCTTCCACTTCTGCATCCAAGTGATGGTCTGGGAGGCTTATTCGGCACCCGACCTGCAAATAGTGACTTGCATTACTTGCTTACTGTCCTTACAGACTACCCATGAACCTGCTTATCACAATACTCAGCCTGTCAGCCACATTCACCCTGGAACCCACTTGGTAGAAACTGACACAACCATGTTAATAGACTCCTCAGTGGCATCTTTGGCCTTGGGGGGATGACTCACACTTCTTTCAACAATGATGACGATGATGCTTACCGATCTGAACTGCCCAATCTATGGGAACGGACTCCCTCGTATGCCCCCACCCCTGGTTACCCAGACCGCGAATGGACGCCATCAGTAATCTGCCCTTCACCCGTCCCTGAGGACATAATTAGTAAATGTTCACCTTCCCTTCATCAACATATATCTCACGAGCAGAGGTTTGATCCTGTGGTTGAATGTGCAGATGGAAGTGCATGGGATGAACAATCCTCGGACTGTATCCACTATCAGATCGAGTGGAGGGTTAAACTGAATAGTCGAGTTGTGGTCAAGGATACAAAACAAGACCTTATTCAACCACCTAGATCCTACTGGGAACAGATGAAAGAGGATGCTTGTAATATTATAGGGCGGAAAACAGCCCGTGGGCGACGTGTGAGACTAGATGATACTGACATGGTGTTATCGGTGAACTCCCAACGGAATATTGACAAACACTTTGAAGGTACTAGTATTGATTGGACAGCGGTAGAGAACAGTTGCTAGCGTGGGCTTATCTATTTCGTCGTGGCAAGAAGATACGGGTCCAGATATCGATCAACTACATAGAGGACAGAGAACCTCTTCCTTCTAGAACAGACAAGCGAGGAAAGTCATCGGTGACTACACGGATGCTCGCTGATCGAGATGCCCAGATTGACGCTGAGCAGGTCACCGGCCAATATTCCGTCTGGCGAGATGTGTATCGTGTTATGCGATGTCCCGGGCCTCCCTGTCGCCACGAAGGACAATACTGCTGGCAAGACCCAGAGGGAAAAAGGCACCACAGAGTGAAGACACACCATCTGAAGGCCCTCGTCAAATATGTGGAGCAAGGTGGGGTTCTCGAGACTCACGCCGATGTCCCTGATAGTGTTCGTGAGCAGCTCTATGCCGAGGAGAACCAGCGACTGGACAAAAAAAAGAAAGCTGCGGAGAACTCTACAACGGGCCCAGTGTGTCCTCCAATTAATATCAATGTCCTACCGGCTGGATCATCTCAACAATCGATACAGCCTCCTTCTAATAATGCTATGCCCACTGGGACCGGCTGTACTGAGTCAATCATAATCGACGGCCTGCTAGATGTCGCTGTGGACGAGTATACTGAATGGCAGCAATCGCGGGTGAGCAACGAGACTTTCAGGAAGAACATTAACAAAGCACGCGATGTGACCCTCGAAAACTGTCTCGACCTCATGCAGATTTATGAGGATCAAGACCCAAGTTTCTTTGTCAAGCACGGCGTGAAAGTAGGTGCCGCCCGGCGGTTTGTTCGAGACATTAGCCTTTAGGTGAAACGACGCAAAGAAGTGACTTGCAACGAAAATATTCATTTAGTATAGATATCTTACAGGGCCGCCCGAAATCAGCTTCACCTCTGACTTCCTTTCTTTTCTTTCTTGAACTCTTCCGAAACAGACTATCCCCTATTTGATGTAGCGTATTGTGAGGCGTTGAAATATTGTGCTATAGTTGAACACTCACTAAGTGGGCCTGTAATTTTCATGAAATTTGAATACAACTGGTTTGACAGGTTTGTCTAAAGGTTGTTTCCTCCCGCTAGAGCCAAAGGAAGGTGTCATGGTGTATCTGCACATTACCATAGGACGTGACACTCAGAAACCCGGCGTCCCTTTCTCAATAGTCCAACAAGAAAATGCGAGGTATCGGATTCAGCTGGTTCAGTTCTTCGACATCTAGATCCATCGCCTGAGAGCGGGGTAGACTTGAATCTGGGAGATCCTCTCCGGATCCACCAGTCCTCTCAAAAATACTTTGAGCAACAACCATGACGACTAAAATTTACCACAACGGTGTTAATCATGGATTTCAAGTAGGAGTGATAAATGGCAATATTCAGAATTTGACAATTGGTAAGTAGAATTATCAGTTTCTAAGAGGATGTGACTGAACTGGGAACGGCCTTAGGACAAAGAGAATCATTGGATCAAGCATGTCTTCGGGACCTACGGACGACCAATCCCTACGATGATAAGGAGCGTATCAAAAGAACCAGCGGTGGGCTGCTCAGAGACTCCTACTACTGGATTTTTGACAACGAAGCATTCAGAAAATGGCAAGATAACCAAAGCCATCGTCTTCTCTGGATTAGGGGTGATCCCGGTAAAGGCAAAACGATGCTTCTGTGTGGGATCATCGAAGAGTTGACACGATCACATCAAGAAAATGCGACAATCTGTTTCTTCTTCTGCCAAGCCACCGATATGCGCATAAATAGCGCCACTTCCGTCTTACGTGGCCTGATATATTCACTTGTCGAGAAACATCCCTCACTTCTCCGCCACGTGCGAGCTCGATACGACTCTGCAGGGAAACACCTGTTCGAAGACATCAATGCATGGAGTGCACTTGTGTCCATTTTCACACAAATTCTCGAAGACCCGTCTTTGAAAAGTATCTATCTTGTGATTGATGCTTTGGATGAATGTCGAGATGGCCTTCAAGACCTTCTAGATCTGATTGTTGAAAACTCAACAACCTATCAAGAAACAAGATGGGCTGTCTCTAGCCGTAACGAGTTCCAGATTACTGAGTATCTTAACTCTGCTACCCAGATGGCTCCGATCTCATTAGAGCTGAATGAGGCATCTGTGTCCGAAGCTGTTAAAGCATTCATCCAATATAAGGTGGACTCTTTGGCCAAGGAGAAAAGATATCATGATAAAATCACGGCAACTGTCAAACACCACTCATTAGCCAACTCACAAGGTACTTTCTTATGGGTTGCCTTGGTCTGGAAGAATCTTGATCAAACACCACAAAGGCATGTAATGAGGAAGCTAGAAATATTTCCGCCTGGACTCGATGCTCTTTACCGCCGAATGATGGATCAGGTTCGCGACTCAGAGGACGCAGAGCTCTGTACACAAATACTGGGAACTGTAACAGCAGTTTTTCGCCCAGTCACGCTTAGCGAGCTAAGCTCCCTTCTTGCAGAGCGAAATGATGGCTTTAATGATCTTAATACCCTCTTTGAGATTATCTGCATCTGTGGGTCATTCCTAACATTACGAGAAAGCACTGTCACGTTTGTTCATCAGTCTGCAAAAGGCTTCCTGAATAGGGAGGTATTCACTGAGATATTCCCTAAGGGCTTAGATAGTGAACACCACACAATCTTCTCCCAGTGTCTAAATGTTCTTTCCAAGACACTCAGACGGGACATCTTTGGTCTTAAGCTAGCAGGTACATCCACAAAGGATATCAGGGTGCCTAGCCCAAATCCACTAGCACCTGCTGAGTACGCATGTGTCTACTGGGTAGACCATCTCAATGCTTGCAAATATGATAAAATCTATAGACTAAGTATAAAGGATAAGGAGATTGTGGAATCATTTCTACAGAGAAAATACCTTCACTGGCTTGAGGCTTTAAGTATATTAGGAAGACTTTCAGATGGCATATACGCTATGAAAAGGCTAGAACGTTTTATTCTAGTAAGTTGCCAAGATGGTTTGAACATAGAGTAGCCTGCTAATATAAGTTCTCACAGGAGGAAACTGGATCAGAAGGCCTCTTGGAGCGAGCTCAAGACGTCATTAGATTTGTTCAATATCATAGAATAGGGATTGAGGGCAGCCCGCTACAGGTGTATTGCTCACCCCTTGTCTTTTGTCCGTCAAAAGGCCTTACTCAAATAGCTTTCCAAGAAGATAAACCCGATTGGGTTTTGAACTACCCTAGAGTGGAGGAAGACTGGAGTGCTTGTCTTCAAACTCTCGAAAGTCATAGTGATGAAGTCCGGTTCATTGCCTGGTCGCCAGATGGAAGCCGACTTGCATCAGGGTCTCATGATAACACAGTTCGGATCTGGGATCCAGCCACCGGCCAGAGCATGTCTACTCTTGAAGGGCATAGTGATTAGGTCAGCTCGTTTGCCTGGTCGCCAGATGGAAGCCGACTTGCATCAGGGTCCTATGATCACACAGTTCGCATCTGGGATCCAGTCACCGGCCAGAGCGTGTCAACCTTCCCTACTGGCCTTACTAGGTTCGTCGAATTTGATATCGCCGATTCAAATTGTCTGCACACTGATGCTGGTATGTTTTGCATAAGCTCAGTGGACGCTGTGACTCCTGTGCTTAACACTTTTACCCACCCTCCTAAGCAGGTCAGATATGGACTTCGCGATGACCGTTCCTGGATAACCTATGGTGGACTCAACCTCTTATGGTTACCCTCAGAATACCGGCCCCTTCGTGTCTCTCTATTTGCTACACATGAAAACAAAATGGCTTTTGTATGTTCATCGAATCGTGTCATCTTTCTCGCACTTTCAAACCACTGTCCTATACTTAGCCTTTGATCGATGTTTATATTAAAGTAGGTTTTTTTGAATTACTGTCTTGCTTTCGATTGTGAAATCTTTACCTATCTGCCCGCGGTGCTTTCCAATACTTCCTGTAGCCACTCTACTGTATGAGGGGGAAGGCATTGGGTGTTTCCCCTTGTGATCACTGCTGATCAATACCTGCACTTTTCAGATACAGTACATGAATACATCACCCGTTTCTGCCAAATTTTCATGGATGGTGAGAATTACAAGGTTAATAATAGTATATACCTCTCTCACTAAGTTCGTGGATCTGATTAAGTACAACAAGTAGCTCCCTATATTGTACTGTAGTACATAAGCTCAATGTAACTTGCACTTACAGTATTCTATATTTCATGGCCATCGAATAAAAACTATCCGCTAATATCCTGGCAGTGCAGCGTTTGAAATAATTTTAAGTGTTCAGGGCAGAAGCAGATTTCGCTAATGACTGTACACCGAGTTTTGGCAGGGGTGAGAATGTTCTGGGGAGAGAACGTGAATCAAAGGGGTGGCCAGACAACCAAGTTCCCCTTCGATTGATTTGTTTGCTATGTTTGTAATGAAGATGTTCTAGATGAGGAATAGCCTATACATCTTAATACAATATCTCTTTTCACGCGGTTATTTACAACGGTTCTGGATTACTGCCAAGAACGAGGTTAGGGGTATAACAAAAAGGTAAACTCGCTCTAAAGACCTTCCCCAGCATGGTCGAGGGGATAGTGTCGGATATTAATTCAGCATAATGCATGTCACAATTGTGAGTAGCCTTTGCCCGCCATATCGTATCATGCTGAGTAATATCACGGCCTCTATTACCTCATATACAGTCACAGATTGTTTGCCGAGACTGACTTGAGCCTATTAAGACTGTATCTTGAGTAGCTACTATAATGTCTTCTAGGAATTTAATTCTGTATTTACAGAAACTAGAATACAGTACCGTACATGTACTTTATGGGGAATTACTGAAACACACGCAGCCATTCCAGGCGGTGTCCATCCGTTTACCCCGCGTTGAGAGCATTACTCAAGTGCTTGGTTTCCTAGCATTGTTCATTACTGCAGAACATATACAATGGAAGCAGTCGGAACCGCAGCTTCTATCATACAGCTCGCTAGTGTAGGTCTGACACTCGCAAAATCTTTATATAGCCTCTACGATGAAGTTTCATCAGGCAACCAACAGGTGAAAGAGCTATCTTTCTTCGTCAGATCCACTTCGATCGCACTCGAAGAAGTCGGAAAGGTATTTGAAGAGGAAAGCAGAACGACGACTTCTTTGGTTTCTGAGAATTTAATCGCAAACGCCAACGATGTTATCTTCACATGTACCGAGATCTTCAACAAGCTCGGGGAAATGGCGCAAAACGGGCAAAAAAACACACTAAACCAATTGACCTTTTCTATCAAGAGTTCACGTCTTCGAGTGCTACAAAACAGACTGGAGCAATCTAAACTTGACTTACAGCTCATGATGCAAGTTATCATTTATGCTCGATTAAAAGCTGGGCCGAGGTGAGTACCACACTGCAATAGATATTTTGTATTTCTGCTTACGATGACCTAGATGTACTTTCCATGAGCCGGGTCAACGGCGAATTATTAAGCAGTTGATCAACGAACATGTTGCAGTTTACAAAAGAGATGATCTCCACGGAGACCGCCTGACAGACTCAGTTTCCGAACACAAGCCTCACTGGTATGTCATACAAAATTCATTTCTCTCCTACTGAGTCCATTAAGAAAAGTCGTGGGCTGACAATCCTGAAGCTCATCATCGTCTTTAAACTTTGCGTTGCGAAATGCAAATGACGGCCCTGAAAGTCCCTACAGAAATGATACTGCCCCCTCTCATTCAGAGGAGCCACAATCCCACAAGAATAGACCTTCAAAAATGAGCGGCTCTGATCAATCCGAAGACCAATCGTGCTCTGAAACGGACCGATCACCTAACCCTAGAGTGGCCAACATTTCTTATTGGTCAGCGTTATACCTGGTTTGTTGCCCTTGCCTCCGCCGAGAGAAGGCAATTCGGATGGAGGCAAAGCAAAATAGCATCTCGCGAGCAAATCAGCCCATGAGCTTGTGTGCTACCCAAGATCTCGGTCTAGGCTCAAGGCAGTCAATATATTCGTTGGGAGAAGCGGGAATTTCCATTGATTCGGTAGATGAGGAAACAGCCGACTCGGAGCTGGATAGGTTACTTCGTCACTGGACAACGATATACGACTCACCTTCGGTTGCCATCCAATAGAGCACGCTGATTATTCTAAAGAGATCATAGTCTTATCAATGTTCAGGCAGAATCTAGTGTCGAATCAAGGAGTGAAATAATTTAGATACAGTCATTCTCGAAATCGGCTTGACCACTGCCAAGGCCTTAGCGTCCATTATTTATTGAGTCCCACCCCATTAAGTTGCGGTCCGGTGTGATTTTCCCGAGCTTGCACGATGACATTTCAACCGTGGGGCCCTCAACTTGATGCGTCTAGCCCAATATATATGATGCGCTAATGTCTTGGCGGCTGGGCCAAAAAAGGCAGTCGAAGAGTGTACTGGTCAAGAACGACTGTATCACTTTAATTAGACTTAGAGCTTGAAAGGGTCATGTCAGCAGAACTTAGGGACATCAGCTTTCAACTGATCTCTACAGCTAGACCAGCGTGTCGAAAATGCCCCTCCGCGCTCTTCTCCCTCGCTCCAACAACATCAACACACCATTCGAGGAAATTATCGAATCCTTGCTCTGAATTTTCTTCGTAGGAATGCCAGTTACGCCAGATAAAGGCCTTGAGCTCAGCAAAAAATTCCTCAATAGGATTCAAATCAGGAGAATATGGAGGCAAATACACTAGCTTTACGCCAGCTTCTGAGCACATCTGTTCAATTCTGTCCGAGTGATGAAAGGATGCGTTATCCATCACTAGCACAGACTTCGGCTCGGGCCACTTCCCACAGTGCTGAAGTAGCTGCTCGATAAAATCCTCAAAGACGGATGCGTCAGTTGAACCCTGGAACACTCGAGATAAAACAATGCCGTCTTGCGCATACGCGGGCAGAATTTGATAGCGCTGATCACGATGAAATTTCGACACTTGAACCGGCGCGGTACCAAGGGGAACCAACCCGTTCGGCGGAAGCCTATCCGTTTATCACATCCAGATTCATCGACATAGACAAGGTGGTAAGACTTAAAGTCTGATATAAAATAGTGGTATTCGTCCCGAAGGTCAAGGTTGCGTTCTCGGGCCTTGATTCGAGCAGTCTTTTTTGACCAGCCTTTGGACTGAAGGGCGCGACTCACGCTAGATTTCGTTGCTTGAAGAGCGAATTCGTCCTACAGAAAAACCACCATCTCTTCTAGATATAAGGCAGGCTTTTCAACCAGATGGTCGCACAAAGCCTCAAGCATGAATGGAGCGATACTACGGGGTCGTCCGCCTTTATTCAGCGGTGCTTTGACGCTGCCAAACATTCTTATATTGGAAGAGATTCTTGAAATGGTGCTCTTGTTGCACCCAGCGGCCTGTGCCATCTCAGTTATAGATAGTTCGCCGCTGTGGATCATGTCATAGATAAGCTCATGTTTTGAAGGAGCTAGGTTTGGAGCCATCTTTGGTTAGACCACTCGTGATTGATTGTCAAATGCGCCTCCCAAGGAAAGCTGCTTTGGATGAGGGGCATGGAGATGTAACATGTATTGAATTTACAAGCTAATACATGTTTGAAATTACCACGTAACTTACGTACAAGGAAATACCCACATAGCTATCGGAATAACTCCTAATATAGACTAGTGGTTCTTGGCAATGGGCGTAAATAATCACTTAAAGAGCGTAAACAGTTGCACCAGTTTCGGGACATACTGTATTGTCCAAAGTTTTCTTGCTTTGGAGACATGCGAGGTGTACTAGCGGAAAATCTCACATGCTCCTGCAAGGACGGAATGCAATTCAGCAGACGTACTGTGTCTGGTGTCGATGCAAAGATCCCGCGGTCAATCGTCTATCAGTGTACAACAGGCGGGTGTTTATTCTTCGAACGCATGATGAATGATCAGGGTGGATTTCTGATTTATCCTGGTCCAGTCACCCGACATGATTTAATAGTTAGGGGGGTTCTGAGGGACCAGGTTTTACAATATGTATAAGCTGTTTCCATCTTTCAGTTTGGATACAAATATGGAGATATGTACTCATATCATTTTTTCCCGATCTAGTGTGGTGACTCAAAACTCGGCAACTCGGAAGAGGACAGCGCGGATTCTTACTATGAGATTATAAGTCATGTCCTCCTCAATCCACGACTCTCTCCTGCCTGACTTTATGTATGCAAAGTATTTACTTGTTTTCTTTGAAGTTCTCAAGTACAACAGCATCCGTGGAACTGTAGAAAATACGCAAATAAATGGTTTTCAAATTCAAACAAATTCAAAACACAGAGCCGGACGCCAGTAGCCGGCCATCAGGTGAGAAGGCCACCGCGCGAACCACAGCCGTATGGCCCTTGAGCGTCTGTATCTCCATACTCCATGCTGTGTTGACCCGTGGTAACTCTTTTATCCAAGGAGGAATTTTTTTTTCAAATTCACGACGAATTATTGCTGTTTCAGGTGCAAAGATCAATCCTGTCTTTCTTGGCTCCGCCGCCAAGAATTTAGCGCGGAACATCTATTGGGCTGGACGCATAAAGCTGAGGGGCACCGTGCAAGCTCGGGGAGATCACACTGGACCGCAACTTAATGGGGTGGGCTCAATTAACAATGGAGGCTAAGGCCTTGGCGGTGGAGCCGGGAAAGAGAGTCGAAGAGTACACTGGTCAAGCCGATTTCGAGAATGACTATATTGGTTATTCATCTGACACTCTCCTCATCAACAGATACCTTCACAAAATTGCTCTTAGAGACTACTAGCTCGTTTCCTAGGAGCACTTGATCTGATATGTTAGAATAAAAAGTCTCTTAGGATACAGTAACGAAATCTTTGTAGGAACCCATCAATCAAGACATAAGATAAGCCAGTCGCTTACTTGCAGCACACATTATTACCACTCTATAGCCCGATGGGTCCTAGGATCTATATGAGTACTAGGACCTTGTCCAGCATCTGGATTCGCAGTAGCATCTGATTGGACACGTCTCGCACATCAACTGGCTAAGCTCAATGATTGACCAAAAGCATTATTTGAAAAATGTGGGGTCTACAGATACGTGACTATGCCAAAGCTTGCGATCATATTAAGGAGGCGAAGGCATTGGTCCCAAAAGCAGAGTGGAAGTACTATATTGAAACTCTGGGTATCCACAAAGACACTACCATGTGTGTGGAGCTACTGCAAAGCCCCCTTAGGGAACTCAGAGCGAACCACATATGAAGGTATTGTCGCAATGAATTTGGACTCCTGAGATTGAGTTATCAAGCAGGTCGCACAAATTCACGCTGTCCTTGTTTAGAGATCACTTGGTGCAGTATAACTATCTTGTACTTATTTGATGGCTTGAGCCAACTCTAAAATCTTGATTTATTATCTTCTCCTGTTTCGCGCAGCCAGCTTACAGCTTCCGCCAAAGCTGCCGGTCGCAGTTCACCCCAGTCTGGAAGACCCTCTCATCTCGAGTACAGGAAAATATTAAACTTTGTCAGCACGCTGAGCAGCTTAGGGCCATAGACTATCAATTTACCTCAGATCCAGTTAAAGTCGATGGCGAAGACAGCTTCCACCCTTCTGATCGCTTTTCATTTCTCGGGCTCCACTGCCAGATTGCCATGAGATTAACACGCTTGGTGAAACCCGACCCACTTAGCGCAGTTAGGTTCCCTGAGCGCTAGGGGAAAGAGAGCTTCCTCGCGATGTCTTGTATCCAGAGTCGGTCTAGTTTTCGGCAACCCATCTGACAGACACAATGGCCAATTACGGACGTGTGAGGCCGTTCAATGCTAAATCATCTCATTTAATTCTGTTTATAGGAAGAAGGTTTTGGTGCATGGACTTCACCAATCGTTGACATCCGTTGCCAAGGTTCGCAAAGCTGGGCATGACCATCAACCGAGCATGGCCCACATCGGTGACTCTACATTATCAACAACGAACACCGAGTAGTGAAGCAACATGAGTCGTCAACAGATAGACGGTGGTCTACATTTAACATGCTTGCACACATTCTCAATTAAAGGAGCCACATCAATGACATTTTCCCCAACAACCAGGGCGCTTTCAGTTGCGTAGATCGACGGTAGCATGCAATGAACAGTTTTATCAACTCCAAGATTGAAGTGGTCTATCAATACAGGGTTGCTCGAAATCAGCTTCATCACTCTATTCTCTTCGAAATTCTTCAAAGTCTTGGCCTGACCTATATATTTCTCAAAAGAGTCTAGCTTAGTAATGATTGTCAAATTAGAAGCTAGCTAAGGCTAAGGGGCTGCCATAGTCTAGACAAATCCGGCATGGCGTACATGTATCTGCGAGTAGGGTTCAATTAAATGAATGAAAGAACATAATGAAACTGATCTCGAGCAGCCTTGTATCTCATGCTTGATATATTAAGGCTAGTATAAATTAGATTATCTCGCAATTTCCTTCATGGCCTAGCAAATTAACAAATATGGGCTCAGAAAACCAACAAGATATGTTTGGATGATTAGATCGGCGTTTCGACGACAGCAAATAATTTAATTGAATCTAAAGAGACAGAATTGAATATCGGAGCGAATACGAAATATGAACAAGATGACCAAGCCCTCTCACTAGCTGATGATGCAAACAATATACATGTATCCCTTGGTAATAAGTTAGGAAAAACAAAACAAATGCTCCAATGTCCCTCTTGGCCACATTTTTGTCAGGTGATCGATTAGTCACTGAATGGGAGATCTCCAACCAGTCGAGATGAATTTCCCCCTGCATATTTAGGTAGAAAGTGCGTAATCAATTCGGAACAGGATATGGCCACTGAATATCCAATGGCCATCCCTCTGGGGTGATTCGACCACGATAGCCAGTGTCGAACACAGGACTCGCTGGATCCAGAGTGGCCACGTACGAATTCCGGCCCCCACATTTTCCGTGTGTCAAGTAATGAGCGTTCAGATTGTCACGTCGCAGGAACCTTCGATAGCAATGAGGTACCCAGCAGGCATAGGGCTTTACTCCGCGATGAACCACAGAGTGTCGGTCGAGGGCTTTCCGGCGTTTGAAGCGGCTACGACAGCCCGTAAAAGTGGAAGCAAACGGTTTGTGGGGAATCCCATCATGAGTCACCTCATGCGTATTCCTTGAAGCAGCTGACATATTGCGGTCGTTCTTAAGCGAGCCTTGAGTAACCGACGGGGGTTTATAAACACACACACTACATCCACATTGGTCTTGAGCATTACATCCTTGAAGGATGCTGTAATGGTAAAGGCCCGAGCTGGTGCAAGCTCCAAATAGCTGTGGCATATGGCCGAAACACTCTGGAGGAAGATGGGGCGTGACCGGCCCTAGTGGTGGATGGCAGTGTGCACTCCAGTCTGGGCAGGGTAAGACGCTTAGTCTACTTTGTTCGCAGTCCTGGGAGAGCGAATAGCTTATGTTCCAAGAGCAATGACCATGTAGATTGCCTCTTTCGTCTGATATTGGATATCTCATAAGTGGAAATGTCTCCACGGCAGGGAAACTGAATTCGGTACCTTCCACCAATGCTGGACTAGCATTGTCGGTCAAGAGAGTATTTCGCTGCGTTAAGACATCCTCGTCCTCGCATGCCTCGTGAAGCGATGGCGTAACTGCCATTGTGAGGTCATCTTGAGACTGCGCTGAATTCAGAATCCGCTGCATATTTCATTTGAATGATGTCGAACGAGTGATGTCAATAAGTGATACTGTATAGACCCGCAGGAAGATAACTTTCGAAAGGAGTTGATAGCGGCAGCTTGATTGGAACAATGATCAGATGCGATTGATATAGCATATGACGGCCAGGAATTTTAGTTTCGAACAATCTAGATCTTTATTTATAAGCAGGCCAAGGGTTGTCTGTCCTAAGCGACGACGCTTAGGGACTCACACGCGACTGCCATTTGACTGCTGGGCGTAGTGGCGTGACTTTTCATGTTGAATCAGGGACGTTGATCCAGCGGGAAAAGAGCGCCATTCGTAGACCATTCGTAGACTTCCATATCGAGCCATCAGAACGACCATCGATGAAGCAGCTGTAGGTCTATTTTGAGGTGGAAGTGGCTTGTGTCAACACGACGACATGATTCAACAGTGTTTGTTGAACCTTTACGTATCTCGGCTCCAAAGGACGTTTGTCAAGATCAAAGGTTAACAATCAAAAAGATTCCACAAGACAGCACAGTATCAAAGGATCACCATGGATCATGAAGACTTGGGGATTTCAATCACCTAACGACTCCGTTCACAAAGACATAATATTTAACCAGTACCCTTGCCAATCGGATTTTGCCTGTCCTAGCTCATACTGCAGTGTTGTGCTGCTTTGAAAATCAAACCCATTCTAGCCTTCTGGACGTATTTATCCTTTGTCTTGTTTATCCTTGCCTCGGCACTCGCGTCGTGAGACAGCTGAAGATGTCTGTTGACCTCGGAAACGAAGCATTTGAAGTACAGTCATGGTGTAGTGACTATGAAGGAGCAGGGTCCTTTCAGACACGGTCTACTGCATCCACGGCAGCCACAAACGAGCTCTCAGAGACAAGTGAGGACCGCGCATTTGTGCTTTCCGATGGAGAGCCATCCAGGAGCGCGAGCAGCGCGTCAGGTCTCTCTGGGACAAACCACCTTCCTAGTGTCGAACAAGATGGTTCCTATCCTAATGAGGTGAGTACGCGTAATGAATTGGACTGAGCTTCATCTAATCAAGTACTAGGTCTGTCGTAAGTGGCCCGTCAATACCATAGCAAAGCGGCGGGTGAATGAGGATGGCCATCTTGTCGAGCAGTACCTGGTTCTGTGGTGCTCTTGGGAGAGGATTATGCCTGCAATGATACGATCCCAGCAAGAGTGACCGTTTTAATGATCAGTCATGTAACAGGACAATAGGGCAACTGTCCTTTCCGCTTCAGATATGAGGCCCGAGCAAGGAAATGTTGAAGTTTAGGAGTTTTCCGGGCTGTCACTATGGTACAGTAATGCTTCCATTCGAGCTACCTACTAGTAAGAATTTCAAATAGAGGATCCAAATATACAAATTCTATATGACAAGTGGTGAGAAAGCTCCAATAGCCTTGATTTATAGCAATATACATAAGTAGATTATATACCTTTATATTGATCTCTAGGATAGAGGACTGGTAAGGAAATTTGCGTCTGCCATTGACGGAACAAACTGTACAGTAGGCGTGTACAAATGCCACGTAAATTTAGCTCAAGGGTTATGTACAAAATCCGAAGGATACAGAGAAGGCATAGTAGGCAATGCCGCCAAGGGAGATAGAGTGGACGAAGCAGAGTATGGAAACGGCTCTAAGCGCGGCCATACGGATAACCGAAAGTGGCAGCCCGGCATCACACAAACGGCATAAGATACAATGTTAAGTATCTCTTGTCGTGTGTGCTGAAACTTCCAGGACGCTGTTTCTATCCGAGGGATGAAGAACAGATGTTCGTCCACCACGCCTCTGGTAAATAGATCCAGCTGCGCAAGCCGAACTTCCAACCAGCCTATTTTCTCTGACAAGAAGGCTGAAATGTAGACGAAGATATCCTCAGGCTTTGTCGAGAGAAGCAGTGGGCTCGGCCCCATCCACCGGAAAGCATGATTGCTTTTGGTGTTGGAGTAGAATAAGCATTCCACAATGGGATCTTGCGCACGATGTGCCATGGTCTTTTCCGCATGCGAGTTTTCGGGCTTGGTCTCGTCAAACTTTGTCGCGAGGCACGGAGGCGGTGCTGGTAGATCAGACTCTTTCCAAATCTGGTGGAAATCTAGATCAAAATCATTTTCTAATACGTTATTAGCAAAGGTAGCTCGCAGAGGCAGGCCATACGAACCATTCCAAATATATTCCATGGTGTTGCTCAGGTGCTGGCAATTCGATCTCAGAGCTCGCACAAGAAACAATTCACAAGAAGAGAAGACAATTTGCCCCATTTGTATGAAGGTTAAAAGTGATTTTTGTGAGTTAAATATTCTTTTTTTCTTCTTTTTTGGGTTCGTTCTCATGGCGTTCAGCATCACCAAACATTCATGAATCACCTCCACTGAAAATAAACTCGGTGATCGATCAACACATTACACATTTTACATTTTGGCTCAAGACTTTATCCCAAGACTAAATAAAATGCTGTGGCCGCCTAGCCCTCTATATACATATCGTCTTTCAACCTCATCTATGAGGCATCAGAATCGCTGGTGTAAAGGGGAGATGGGTACGTTACGAATGCGGCTGAGCTCCATACGTGCTCCCAGGAGCAAGAATGGCTTCCGGTAGTTTCTCAAAGCATGCATATGTAAAAACCCATTATCTGTGGCAAGTACCTCATGAGTGACGGTTCATTCAATCCAGCCCGCACATTGCTATACCTTCCGACCTCACAAATCAGGCAGGAAACCAACATTGTAGCATTGTAGTACCTTCGTAAGCATGTATCGGGCTCCTGGAAGTGCTAGGAAGCAAGTGACTGTAATTTCCATCTCCCGCCCCATTCAGATGCTGGATTCTAGCAAAGTATTCTGACAATGCCTGTGAACTGTCTCCCAGGACCGGTGGCTTATCGCCGCATGGTACGATTCAAACGGAATCGTCCAACATATTGCTTGTCATGATGAAGGGGTAAGCTGCTAGAATTTGGACCCCAATTCAACACATAGCCCATGAAGTGAGTGAGGAGCTTGAGTTTCCTAAGATTAAAGTGCTCCCGGGACCTACGTTGGTCTACTTTATATGCGGGTCAACAAAAACATATAAATGGAAGCTTCATTGCACTGTCCACGTCCTTTTTAACCCGTCATAAAACTTCGCCAAATATCTACAGCGAATATGCTTCATCAACTCCCAGCCGCGCTGCTTTACCATATTTGTGCATATCTCGACAAGCCCTCCCTATTCAATCTATGCTTCTTCCATAGAAAAACATACGCAGTTATTACAACAGCACTTTGTCATTGTCTTGGCTCTGTGAGAATCCCGCCACTCTACTATGCTGTTTCACATCAGAGACTGGATATTGCAGAACGATGGATCCTTCAATATGGTGCGAGTTTAGACTCCGAGTACGGTAGAAAGTCAACTCTCCTTCTGGCTATTAAGCTGAGGTATCCACAAGCGGTGGCTTTGCTCCTCAAACACAAAGCATATGTTGGCTATTGCTGTGACTTCAGAGGCCGCGGTCTTCTTTCCATTGCGACTGCCTATGGTACAGTCACCATAGTCAGGCAGCTACTCCAGCAACCGGATATCGATGTCAATAATCGCTGCTCTGCCGGTATGACAGCAGTCATATATGCTATAGAGCACCGCCAGTATGCTATTCTTCAACTACTATTATTGGATCCGCGAGTAGAGCTCAACGTGGAGAACAATGTTAGGCAAACCCCTCTGCATTTTGCTATTAGCAAGGAGGACTACTTGTCTGTTCAAATCCTGGTCCAGAACCAGCGGGTAAATGTGAACTACCCTAACTTCAGAGGCGACACCCCCCTATTGTTGGCTGCCCGGAAATTCAGTGATCATAACTCCACCAGACTCGTTGAGTCTCTCCTTCTCAATTCAGATCTCAACGTGAATTACCAGGACTTCAATGGTCGCACAGCTCTTTGGCATGCTGTAAGTGGTAGGAAAGAGAGATTGTTGCGACTTCTTTTACGCCAGAATGGTCTGAAGCTCAATACGGCTGATAGATCGGGCGTAGCGCCACTAGCTTGTGCAGCCGAGGCTCCGTTTTTCAGCGCTGCCTATCTCTTGTTGCAACAACCTGGCATACAGCTCAATGCACAGTCTCGACGAGTGATTCCCCCACTGTGGTGCGCATGCCGTGCAGGGCAGTACCAAATAGTTCGACTTCTTCTGCGACAAAAGTCAATCGATGTCAACCAAAAGAGCCCCACAGGGACGACTCCACTCCAGGTAGCCGTCATGTTTGGACATTCTTCCACTGTTTCCCTTCTTCTCCAACACGATTCTGTTTTAGTAAATGAGCCTGGCCCTCACAAATTTACTGCGTTGCTCTTCGCTTCGGCAAACGGGTTACGCGAAAGCGCTGAAAATCTATTGCGACATCCTGATACTGATTCTACCACAATTGATGACCAAGGACGCACGTCGCTCTGGTGGGCACAGCATGGAGGACATTCCGAAATTGTTCGACTTCTTTCCAGATAGGCTTTGCATGAAATGTATCTACGGTTGTCTTGAGTAGAGTTGGGTTTGGAGTATCGAGTACCAGAGCACGATAGGTCTATAAGGTTTTGTGTAGAGTTTATTTGATGCCTGGAAAAAACTTCTCTGATTCTCAATCTTACCCACCCATATAGTAAATTGCGTAAACATACTACAAGGCAATCTCAAAAAAGTTTCTTCTCGTGGTAGATTCTTTAGCACCCAAAGCAGTATCCGTTGTCTTCGATATTTTCAGGGGATGGAATCTGAGTTGGATTCCATACATTCCGCCAAATTAGAACTTTCTCTAACCATCATGGTCATGAATTTCTTATCATACCAAAGAAGAGTCTGAAAATCTATAGATATATACAGAATTCCCGGAAATCGGTGTCACCCCCTAAGTTATGGTGTTGCTTGTTCATACTCCTCCTAACCTAGCAACTGCAGTTACCTAAACCAGTTATAATGGCAAGAAAAGTCTATGCCTGGCAGCGTAAAGGAAAGCTGCCCCTGTCGGATAACATGGTCATAAACTCTTTAATTCTTGTCAAGGGCTAAAGGCCACGGCTAGCTAAATACAGACTTCGTTACGTATTTGTATCTCCTCGGTACAGCAGTTCCACCTCGTCGCGATAGGCTACATTTAGTGGGCTAACAACGCACCAGTGAGAATGCAGCTACGCTATCTGCCTTCCCTGCTTTTCTCGGCGTCCTGACGCTTATGCATTTCCATTTGTTTCCTCGTGCCCCTGCCCGTTATTATCTTCCCAGTGTTATCTCTGAAACTATATTCCCATATGTGTTCGTCTGGATCCTCTCGGGAAGGGAAATCTGGGGCCGCCCGAGGCGGCAGATGAGGATCGGTCGTATAACGCCACTTTTTCTCGATTGTACGGCGTGCGTCTGGTGTCATTGCTGTTATTTTGTGTGCATATTGCTCCTGCAGATGGAGTTGCTTCGAAGGACCCAGGACTTGCCGTAGTCGGGACACGAAGGAAGCTTGCATGGATATGCCCATACGTGTCCGGAAGGGAGGTCAGCATCAGCATTATCAACCTTATCATCGAATTCGGAAGGAATAGAAGGGATAGGATTTGAGGTAGTCATGCTTTGTTCGCCAGCTTGTCTTGCTGGAGGGTGGGGAGCAGTTTTCTGTTACGCTTTGATTTCACAGCGCGGGGTCAATGACTTACGACAACACGCACGGGAACCTCGAACGAAGATGATCATGTGACTTGCTTCAATGTATTCTTGGCGACAGCCAAAAGCACCCTACCATATACTGTAACATCTGTCAGGAAGTTTACATGTTTGATGCAGAACCTGTAATTTTACAGTATCATGTGATTAGGGTTTGAAAGAGTAAATCCATGTCAGAGACATGGAAGGCAATAACAGGCGGCACTGTACATATAGCCGGGCTTTCTCCGAGTCTAAATGCCCTTATCAACGGCGGGATGCTTGCGCTTACAATCGGATAAGCGTGTAAGCCACTTTTGACAAAGCAATTCATTGCCTTCGCTTTCGTATTGGCGCAATTTCCTGTATATCTCTCTGTCTATTGAACCTTTCTCGTTTGAATACTCTTCGACAATTGACGTCCTGAGAGCATCGCTAATATCTACCGAAGATGTCAACATCAAGACGGAAAGGTAACTTCAAATACTCACCATGGAGATACAAATCGACGGTCCACCATCTTTCAGCAGGTGCCAGCACCTTAAACCCTGCATGCAAGCGGTGTCGCCCATAGAGGCCTTGTAGTTGACCCTTTGAGAAGGATAAGAATGGTATATCCTTTCCAGAGCTCAAGAGAAGCGAGCGAGCAGGGGTACCAGCTCTATTCAGTGCTTCTGTCAGAGCCTCCTGGGACAAAGTTGCAGGTACATAGTTGGAGAGCTCGAAACGTCGACAGCGACTTTTGCGAAAAACATCGCATAATCTTTTCACATTATTTTCATCTACCCACTGGAATTTGACGCCCCAAATTCAATTTCCGAAATCTTCACCCGAGCAGTACCTTGGTATTTAAGTCTTCGCTCGTCAGACTGTTTGACTTCATCTTCAGTAAAAAAGGCGCGCCGCATCGCGGAATTTGTTAGAACCTCTTGAATTATCTTTGTTTTCTTATGTGATTATCCAGACAACATTGAAAGGGGCTTTCAAGGCATACGTCAGTTCTAGAGGGGTTCGGCTGGTCTTTTAAATAACAGACCTATCGCACAGGAAAATTCAAAAATCTATCTTCGTAGCAACAGATTGATTGTAGGGTTGCAAGGGTATCACTAATTAATTCGAAGTTTGATGTATGGCCCCGCTTTCAAACTAGCAGGGATCATTTCTAGGGTCGCAGACACGATAAATTGCTTTTTTGGCATCATGTGCTCTGTGCTTCGATTCTGTATGATAACTAACTTTCATCTCCTCCGTAGTATTCCTCAAATATTCCACGAACCGATGGGTTTGTTTTTATTTGAATCGATTATTTCCATGCATTGACACGCATTTTCGTGGAGACATTAGAGCCCTCCGATTGCTTTCTCTCTCTCCTCCCCTTGTTGTTTTTTTTTCTTCAAAAAATCGCAGGGATTATGCCCACCCCTAAAGCTGCCAATATGCCGCAGGGCGAAAACAAACGAGTCACCCATTTCGACATCCCTCGAGATAAGAGTCTTGATGACCAGCATTTGCCTACGGGTACAAAGGGAATCCATTTGGACCAGAATCGCATTCGACTAGAACGCGAACTGAAACGGGACAACGGCCCATCAACATTATCCAGAAAACGAAAAGAAACCTCAAACGATGACACCTTTACAGGTATCGTAAAGGCCCATAAAAAGACTGGAATAAGTACTCGGACCGAATCACCTTGGATCTACTTCAAGAAACTCTACAAGTGCGATCTTGCCGGAGAAATGACGGTCGTAGTAGATAAGTCCAAGCCGGGAGAACTTTATTTTCTCACAAGCTTCTCTGTGAATAAATTAGATAAGCTGAGTGAGCTTCTCCACCGCCTTATTTTCACTCAACACGAGAATATTGCCTCGGCGATGACATGCTTTGTTACAAAAGATGGATCATCAACGATTGCTGATTTTTATCCCTTGACACTTGGGAATATTGTGGCTTGTCAACATTATCCTGATGAGGAGCAGCTGAGTGCGATCTTGGCTCAAGTTGAGAAATAACCACCCTGTGTTGATTTCCCCTTTTCTGACCTCAATGGCAGGTTTTAAGTGGTCTTTCATTCATTATCTCTCGGGGTTTACATCATAACTCCCTGGAAAGCTCCAGTATCTTAATGGACACAAATAGAAATCTCAAGATTGGTAAGAATCAGGTTCAGAAAATCTCTTTCTACCACTCTAACAAGGGCTTTAGGCCGGCTCGACGAATGCGTTTCTCGATCAAAGGGCCAGTCTCAAAGGGCGGATATAAAATCTGTGGGGAACATAGTAATGTAATTGTTACAAAAATATGTGAAGGACGACGGCAAAGTTGGCATCGACAACTTGGACCGCTGGCCGTCTGATTCACTTCCAGTTTCTTTCCTCTCGGTGACAACTTCTGCCGACTCGATAAAAACTCTCATGAAGGTGTGTCTATCCGAAAGCTTTTTCTCAAAAGAATCCCCGCTCACTCTTGAGTCTTGAAGCACCCCCTCATAACCAAAATTCGTTTTCGTAAAGAGGTCCTAGTGTCTCTCGCGTGGTTTGCTCTGCATTCAACACGAACCTTTTGGTTATACACGCCATCGTAGATCTATATTTTGATTTTTTCCATTTTATAGTTTGACAGTTCCTTGCAAGGAGTAGTACCCATGTCTAGAACATATTGCACCTCCAAAGTGGTCTACCACAACTGAAGCCACTCTGTGCTTACTAGTAGCTTAATTCAAACTTGAAAGAATATACATTGATAGATGCAAGTGCCTTACTGGAGTACAATTGTGATACTCATAATTGTGTACAATATATTCCAGATGTCACTGCTACATTTCGTTGTCTCTTTCCTGAGCCCTTAAGTTACAATTGGTACTCAAGTTCTGCCATGCGAATATCCTGGTCCAGATGGCCACGGATGATATTCCGCAATCGATCTCGGACTTGGCCTACCGAAGAAACTTTCCTTTTGTTTAGTCTTGACATCTAGAAGAAAGGAAAGAATTTTACACTTACCCATTATAAGTAATTTGCCCTGGGTGTCCCTTATACGTGATGTCTTATCAATGTTCTCGCCAGACACCTCCCCGGAAATAATTGATGAATAATCAGGGACTCCTTGATAGAGGAATGCTCGTTCATGTCTTCCGAAAGGGATATCACGCAGTTTAGCACCCTCTCCAACATAAATTGATATGCTCAGAATCTATTGCCGTCGTTAGATATTGCGTCGGTGTAAATATAAAGCTCGACCCACGTAGCCGTTATCCAATACGTCATCATCTAGAAGGTCATTGAGTTGTTCCTGTACCGCAATTGCGGTTTCTGAATCATTAGCGTGGTTCATTCTTTTCACCGATTGATAGCATACCGCGATTTGGAACTTGCCACAGAAGATGCACTCGACGAACATGAGAAGTGCATGTGTTATAACCATGGATCAGCTTTTTCGCGTAAGGCAACACAGCTGAAAGACCAGCCTCATTCGCGACAAGAAGGACAGTTTCGTAGCTTTCAACAGGCTCGCTGAGCCCATGAGGACCACTATACACAGCTAGGCAGGAATATCCCCTAGGACCCGCATTCTGTACTTGGTGTGCAAGCGTAGCGGTCAGGCCTTTTCGTGGCTGGATCAAAAGCTCTATTGACGATTGTGGCTTTTGCGACCAGGATATGATGGTGAATGGATGCGTCTGCATCCAAGACCCCATAGTGGCTGAAGGAAGCCACAAATTGATATACTGACCGGCCTTTACTGTGACTGGCCTTGGCAAAAGTAGACGGATATTAAATAGGGCGCCCGCTTTTTCTCTGTCTTTGACCAAGTCGCAGTTGCTGCTTGATAAAATTGCTCGTGGACATCCATTTCCTGAAAATATACCATTCCGGTAAAGCAACTTTATGAGGTACGTACTTGAAGTGGTAGCAAAAAGACTGACTCCTATCAAAATATAAAGCTCCGGAAGTAAAGAGTCTTTTGGGATATGTCTCCAAATACCGTAAACACAGACTATTGTCAGACCTTGGTGTACTCGAATGAAGATTTCAAACGAAATTCGCCGCACGAGTGGGAGAGCCGTCAGACCAAGGGCCCCTAAGCAGCCTGCAGCCTGTTATTCGGCTAAGAATGAGTCTTTGCGCAGTTTAATTGACATAATCACTCACTATAATCACAAAAAGCTTGTCACCATCTGAGACTGAACTAGAGATTTTCATATCGGAGTATAAGGCACCGGCATGGAGAATGACTAGTCCTATAGCCATCCACCCTGAAGCTCGATGTATCTTCCGGTAGAGTGTCAATGAAAGCCCCAAAAGGTCTGCTGAATGGCTTAAATGGCCTGCTAGCAAGGGAAAGATCATGTTCACAATGGAAAGAGATCCAGCACGTCGCCCAACGCTTTCTAATGAAATTGTATGTGAGTTGTAGAAGAGTACGACAGAGTTCAAAGTCATGTAGACTAGATAGAAACAAACAACAATTCGTGACCACGGGCCGAAAAAATAATGGCGAGAAATGACGCAAGGATAGACCATATGGCGACAAAAAAAGGCTCGAAATGCGTCTCTCCAGTGCGAAGCCATGTTTAGGAGTCTATGCGTGATCAACAGCAGAAGTAAAGCACCCACGGTTATTGCATATATCGTAAGTGTGTCCATTGCCGAGGTGTTGAGATATTCAAATGAGCTGTCAGCGTAGATTAAGAGAAAAGACTTAATAGAATTAACATTCACACGTAGCAGGGGATATAAACAGGATTGACTCACTGATGAATATTGTTATGGAAAAAGACAAACAAAACTGAGCTTGCATTATGAAAAATAGAAGTCTTCCAAAAACAATAGGTGGAAAGCCATGGTTTCAAGAGGATCCTTTTCTAGTAATTGGAAATTTCCTGTTTGAATACCTTTTCAGAGTTTAGGCTATCTAATTTACAATTTCTGGGTCCCTTTCTTATTCTGCACACCATGAAAGGGCGGGGACAAAAATTCCATGGTCTACTCCCAGATCTACACCAGTGACGGCCCGTCACGGTTTTCTGATTGTTCGTTCTGGCCCTGCGACATTGTTTCATGGGGTGCGGGCTGTTTATGGCCTGTAACAGTGATTCATGGATTGCACCTTTGCTCCATATTTCAAGTTGCGGTGTTCTGTCAGATAAAGCATTCCCCTTGAAGGTCAAAACGGTATAATTTCAAGTTAATCTTGCCATAGTCTAGACCTCATAGTGTTATGTACGAGCTTTGCAGTTGCGCTCTCTACAGATTCTCGACTTGGAAAACCTTGTCACTATTACGCCTACCCTAGAGCGAGCGATGGAGGACAAACACTACTCCTTCAGAATGAATGTTGATCAGCTCAATCCTTACAAAAGACTTACAAGGGTACTACTGCTGGGATCTGAAATCGAACCTTGGTCCCGGGAACAGTCTCTTGTGCCCAAACAGCGACAAGATAGATTTCCAGTATCTTCACTGGTGAAGTAACATTTAAACTTACTGATAGCCCACCAATACGTGGAGAAAACTTGTTTCACAAGCTTAGAGGAACACCCCAGACCCATCTCACATACATGTTCTGGTCATATAGATGATATTCGAGCACCGGTCTATGTCATCAATTATCAGTCTATCCTAAGAACGACAATGTGTGCTCAGTGTGGACCATCACTTCAGCTAGGCTGGCATACCGCTGGTGCCAAACGGATGAGAGCAAGCCATTTGATGCCGCCCATGCATGCGACCCAGCAACAAGCCCCACTCTCAGTCCATACCCCACTGCGAGATGGAAGCTACGACATAACTGCTCAGAACGAGACTCTTCAAATTGGCCTGTCGATCGCGATTGCTTCTGACAATATTGTGTTTGTGGAAAAGCTTCTTCACCATCCTCAGATCAATCTTTATGATACATCTTGCTCAACAAAGAGCCCAATAGCTATAGCGCTTGAATATCAAAGACATGACACTCTTCGTCTGCTCTTGGATCATTGCCAGATTGATCCAAACGCCAGAGACAGCCAAGGCCAAGCACCACTACATCTAGCGGTCATTTACGATGATCCGATAGCCGTCCGAATCTTACTGGAACATCCGAGGGTTGACATCAACTGTCTCACCGCCGCGGGGGATAGCCCTCTGCTACTTGCAGCCAAGACTTTCGACGGAAACAGGGCCAGGAGTCAGATTCTGCATGATATTGTGTCCATGCCTGACGTTTTGCTAGACCAGCGAGACCGGATGGGACGTTCAGCGCTCTGGCATGCAGTGAACACAAGCAACATTCTGCTCATAATGATGCTATACCAAGACCCACGGACTGAGGTTGGCATGGCAGATAGAGAGGGTATCACACCATACGTTTGAGCTGTATGAAAAGAAATGTTGCATTGTCAGACTCTTTCACTGGCTTGATGCATACAGAGCCTGCTGGTTGAGTAGGGGTAGATTGAGTATCAAGTGGCGTTGGAAGCTGATGCTTCCGCATCAAGCCCTTGTCCAAGGTTGGAACTATCTTGGTGGAGGTCAGTTTATGCAGCGACTTGGCACCTTGTAATGATTTGCTATCTGGAAAGGCACTACACTGTATCAATACCATTATGTTGAAAATGTTTGAAGTTCAGACCAGAGATCTTGCATAACAGGGAGCTTGCCCGCATTAGCCAAGTAGAGCGAAGTCAAAAGGAAAGTCCTTTCTAGATACGTACAGTCCACAGGGCTGAGTGGCCAGCTTGTCAATTCTCGGCAAAGGCGGCAGATGCCAAAGTGAACCCCCGTAAACCTTTCCGTGCCAGCCGCCAAGAATGTTTTTCGGCCTGAATTTACTCCGGGTTACCTTGATCCCCACGTCCCCCTCTGGTGAGCCTTGTAAACGAACATTATTTTGTGCAGGCCGGCCTTGTTGGCCACAATTTCACTAATCTTCCTCCTGTACGGCCTGCGAATATTGTACAGACTTGTGTCTTTGCCAGACTGTTGATTTCCCAGGATACTCGATCGCGTTCTCACAATGAGGGATAAAGCGCTCTCTCTGGGCAAGTCGTGCATACACATGGATTATTAGAAACGGACCTTCCCTGGTGACTGGTGAGGGGATTTCTGTACACCCGTCGATAGCTGCTCTTGATGCTTGTATTCACCTAATGAGGATATGATTGGACCTCCACGGTGAATTTCGCAGCTAGCAACTAATCAAATGGTCCCAGGTAGCCCAAGATTTGAGCCAGACGAAGTGTAAAGATTAAATAAACGTTGAAGAATCTTTTTCACGCTTTCCTCAACTATTATAGATGGTCATAGACTTACATCCAGGGCAGACGTGTGGCATATGATATCAGTCCCTCAGAGCTTCATATCCACTTGTCAACCGCAAAATATGACCGCAAACAGCGGATCATCTCGGCACACTTAGATCGATGGAAACCAACGAATTCCTCTGCTGGTCAATTTCTGCGGTAATGCCTGTCGCTTCACTGAGAGTCTCAACATATTGTCCATGCGACGTGCATTACGGATGTTCCAGCATCGCTGAAACAACTACTGTTGATCAATTCCCGATGGAATGTATAAAGTGACTCAGGCTCTCCCTTATTGGATGATGTTGGTCCGTTCAATCGAGATACAGCCCAATGACCACTGGAACCATTGCCCAATCAAGCAAGTATGACGCGGAACAAATGCTGGAGAATAAAAATTGATATCACAGGACACCACGGCTCCCAGGATCACTCCTAGCGGAACCTGTGCATCACGAAAGATTGTCTGATGGAGCAACATCAAATTTGATTTCTGCATTCCAGCCTAGCATCATTTCTGAATCAGTCACTGAATGTGAATGTCGGCTTTGGCAGAAGCCCCGGTGCACTTCCTTGTGGGATACGTCTACAGAGTACACTTCAAATCATCCACGGAACGAAGGCTGCCTGTATCAGGTCCAACATATGCCTTTTATCTACCAACTTGCTGGGGCAGATGATCATCATATGGCGTGGTGCTATTGTCTAGTATCACCCAGCAGGACCTCGGTCATGATACTCAAGGACCTACTGTTCAAAACAAGGAGGAGCATCCGAATTCCTGGGAGCTGGCTGTCGCGAGACCCTTGCTTCTTGGTGAAAGCCTCACGAAATCGCAATATAAATTCAGTAGTCACCGTAGTCGCAACATTAATTTGACACACCTCAAATACACAGTCCAGACATTTTCTGGTGGCTTAACTCAACTACTCTTTCAACATGACCACCCTGCCCTGCTGGGACCCCCTGACCCTTTGTGAAATGGGAGCCGGCCCTAGCGGTGATGGTTCGTTCTGCTGTGGGATAACAATCCACGGGACGCCTTGCAAAAACACCATACGGATGAAAGAGCTGAAGACAGGCCGGGATGACCTGAAGTGTCTCTCTTTTTATCCGTTTGATTCTTCGGATCTACAACCTTTGCTTTGCAGTATTGCCAAGAGCTTCCTGTGTACACGATGGCACCGAGCGCGACAAGCAGAGTCTCTAGGGAAGCAGTGGTATGATACGGCTATGCGTAATTATGCCATATGGGCTCTATCCCCTGCTGATCCTCAGCCTTCATTACCGGTATCGTCTTTGCATGGTATTGGATCAGAACCTGCTCCCGATACATCCCTACTGGACGGAGACGGGTCTCTACACTCAGCCGAAAACGAAGCCGTGGAAGTCTCATCCATCGAGACGTCGATAGTCACCGAGGAATCACAGACCACCGAACCGTATATCTCAACCACCATGGTCCGAGCAGATTATGTTCCACGGGACGTACCACCTACTCAACCAGCTATTCCCCCATGTGCTGGCGATATCCGTGCCGGCGTCGGGGAACTGCAAATCGCAAGTGTCAGTCTGAGTGATGAGGTTTCTGAAATTCACTGCACGTTTTGCTTGGCTGAAGATGGCGATCAGGCGGATGAGTGTGTGGTATTACGGTGCAACGAATGTACAAGCTTAGCCCACTTGGTCTGCGTGAAGGAGTGGCTGGAGAAAAGGGACTCGGGATTCGATCAATCTTGCTGCGTGTGGTAAGTGCAAGTTCCAAAATGGAAGACTGGTTGGTGTCCTAACGTTTACCAGCCGAAGAAGAGGGACATTGGATGCGCTGGTCCGTTCACCAAGGGTGCCTCTGGCATCTGGTGCATCCGAAGGATCATTCACGGCTTCAGTTGATGAAAACACACTCGGCCCCGTATATCCCGATATTTCGAGTCTGATTGACGGACAACAATCCGAGCCGGTGGTGACGAGACAATCATCTCGTAGATTGATGGATCAAGCCGTGAGACAAGGTACCCGTCGGTCGGCTAGAGCTGGCAATCCTACCGCACCACAGCCGCGGAGAGCCTCGCCGGTCTGAACGATTAGCCGGGCAGCGTCGTGGCTGAATTCAGATGTGAATTTGGATATATTCAAACTGACATGCGGGATTGAAACGGCCAAGACATTCTCAATGCAGCCCACCGTTCTCATGGAAGTGGGTCCAACACATGTGACAAGGTAGCTTTAGTGTGATACTCCTAGATGGGGAGATGTCAAGGAATATTCGCATGAATGTGCTCAATCAGATGCCGAGATATGGAAGACAGATTTGAATTTTCAAGTAATCCGCAATTTAATCGAGAGGTGATGCTGATACATAATAGCCAGCATCGAATCTGCTTGTGCCTATTCTACTGTAACGTATTTAAATGTAACACCAAACTCGGAATTGGCTTCTATAATCTAAGAAGAGACTCGGTACTTGGGACCAATAAGGAAATTCGAGACCAGGATTCTCATTCTCGCCCATGGCAACATGGTTGAATCCCCTATTGACTTAGCCTGTTTTTCCAGCCACGACACTGGGACAAGCTAGCTAGAATATGGAACGGGTCTGGAATACTGTATTAATATTCTTGAACTGGTGATACATTAGTTGAAAAGACCCGCAGAATTCCCAAAGCAGGCTAGCCGGCCTTGGCCCTATGGCTTGAAAGTGTAAGTCGTTGCGCCATGTTCGGGAGCGTTGTAATTGAATAAGCTTCTGAGACACCAAAGGCGTCGCGCATTAGCCAAAGATCGCTTCGAGCACTGGGCGGGAGCTATCCCAAAGTCATGGCAGATCTACCGACGGAATGGACCGAGCTCTCTCTCAACACCCAAAAATCCATAGCCTGCATCAACGAGGAAGAGACCCAGGCTGGGGCCGCTGTTAAAACCTACATTCTGTCCTGTGCAAATAGGGTGAACCCGAGCTCGAGATACCATCCCTCCGGCTGAACCTGTCCTGGTTTTCTGTATGCTATGTATTGAAGAGGGGAACACAGTGATATGTAACCAGAATACACGGGTCGAGGTAACATAGACGTATGCCAACAACAACCACCATCAATCCACATACTAAGTGTAGGGACTGACCCCTGGGGTCTGATCAGAGAGGTATAGGAGTGTGTATTCTTCACTAGTGCCTTACACCGCTATAGGCATCTAACGTACATAAATACATCCCGGAGGCACTGAGTGTCAAGGAAGACAAAGGAAACACTATCATGCAGATCTATTGCCGTATTGGCTATGGGATTCGGCACCAAGTCCGGCCACACATAGAGGGGGATTCCTCTAGGGCCCGACTTACACTCCTCAAGTGTTAGTCGCTGTATCAAAGTGAACCAACTCCTTGTGCTCTCTCCTTAGTATATCTCGCCTAGCCCACAGGTGTCACCCTAATCTGACGAGTTCACTACACTGAGGTCACATGTAGTAGGAAGGCCATCCTTCCCTAGTACAATATGTATACTGGAAATTAATCTTATTGGCTTTAACTATATTTGGAGCGTCCCAATGGATCATAGGTGGTTTGCTTACTCCCTTTCATTTTGAAAAATAGATATATTAGCTAGTGACGGCTACGGAAAGCTTAGAAACAGGTCATAATAGGTGAAAGTCCTAAGAAGCGGGCTCAGAGAACAATGAAAAGAGGTGTGCTGTACAGTTCAGGTAAGCCCTATAAAGTACCCACATTTCCCCTGGCCAAATCTGCCAAGGTTACATGCACCCATGCGCTACCGTTCAATGATCGGGACCCCAGCAGCGGTCTTGTGTGCCTATTTAAAGCTGCATTCCTTGACGCATTTGACGATTGGTTCGAATCGACGAGAGCGACTATGGAAGGGGCCAAGCGTCAGCAAGCTAGATCAATGTGAAACCCAGAAAACATTTGTCCGCCACTAATGAGCACCGTCGCTCAGAGTTTGAAGGCATAATATACCAAGATTTTTCTTTTCGTATTATTAGTTTGTATTCTGTCTTGGCATGCTTGCGAGACAAAAGCTTCACGATGGTGGACTAGCTACACAAAATAAATTAGATAAACTTGTGTTACAGTATCTTGTGTTAAAAGCGACATAGTAGCGACAAACTACATGCGTATGGACTATGTATATATGCATGTTCAAAGAAATCCTAACTCGATATCAAATTAGAGAAATTGAGAATCCAAATATCCTGGCTTGTCTTCTATTATTTCCTATAGAACAAATACAGATACGTATAAACTCGTACAATCGGAACCAATTATAAGAGGGTTATGATATTGAAGGTGCTGGATCGAGTTGAGCGATCCTGCTAGTTTGCGGTGGCTAGCTGTATAGCCCGTACGAATGCTTCGGTCCGCTTTGCATACAAAGACAGTATCACAAGATCAAAGCACGCGCTGAATCATTAGTCCGAGAAAGAAAAGGTGGTAACCGTCTCCTGCAGAGTTTCATATTTCTTGTTATCCGGCAAAAGCTCAAGCAGCCGTCCATTCCATCCTTCGTATATTATCGTTTGGCATTACCGAGTTCCAATTTGAATTCCTCCTATCGCCTCTAGTCTTTGCCTATTGAAGCCTTCTCTTGCGGATCACAGTCCACCCGGTCACATATGATAATGGGCCTTCTTTTTGATGCATTGGATGTAGTTCCCACTTGTCTGCCTCTGGGGTACGCAGAAGCAGTTGCCAGGGACCTATGCTGGTCTTGAAAGTCAAGCCACAGATTGGACTAAGGTCACCTGGCATGGAAAGTCTATGCTTCACTCCGCAGACATCCGACGACTCGATCATCTGGATCTTTTTCAGCGAACTTGAAGTATATTGAGTCCTGATGGCTCTTTTGTCGAAGAGCCGTTTCAGCTCTTTCTTGGGAAGCTCAATGGTTTCTGTGGAGACCATGAGATTTTTGATGTAAAGAGTAATTCCTGGAACACGCAGATCATGCCCTGGACCTAACGCCAGAGTAGTCCGGGGAAGAATGACCTTGTGTCCCTTTTCAAGATAACGATAGTCCTCTCTCAGCGAATTGAAAAAGACATCCAGGTTATAGCTCAGATCACCTGTCCAATCGTTTGGTGCTAATAGAATGTGATGATGTTTTGGGTCTTTGACGTCTGGATTACCGATGCTTGATAAATTCTTGCCGATAAGGATAGGCCCCGGTGCTTTAACATATGGTGACTCTTGCAAGAGTCTCTCGGCGAGATTGAGCCATTCGTCTGTAGCAAAAATGGCCCTCCACAGGATATTGTCGGCGCACTCCCGCTTAGCACCCTGATTGGCAGCTTCTTTGGTGGCGTTTGGAGGGCTCCTTTTTGCTATCATATCGAATACCTCTTGGGGCAATCGGTGGAATAGGCTTTTGCTTCGTTGCATTTTTGGATAAGAGGTGTTAGTTTGATATAATATCACTGCTAAGGACGGAGAGATTTTTGACTATTCATAAGCTTTTAAGCTAGTAGAATTGACGCAAGCCAGCATTATTCCCAGAAGGTACCATGTCTCGTAAGTTTATTTATCGCTTTTCTAACTCGCGGAAGGTAAATTAAGAATGGGATCAATAGTAGCGGTGATACGAGTGTGCATGAACGATCTTTCCCGGTCGACTGCGCGCTCTGACGTTGATCCAAGATTATGACTCCACAGGCTATCGGCACATACCATCAACACTCACGAAACATCAATGCTCACCAAATATCAAGAAGTCCGCGGTGGAATCTTATCGAAGGGAGAGCACTAGAGATACAATCACTCATGTATTGAATCATCGGTTCCAGGCTCCACTTAAGACTATTTTTGTCAGCTTTCAAGAGTGATTCCGTGAATAGTACAGTAGCTGGAACGGGAACGGTTTATTGCGAGGATGGAGGTGAAGACCTTCGATTGTAGGTATTGGTCTGGCGGTAGGGAATGTTCTTGCGCCATTGGCGTTGGTTGGTTTGGTGTCTGTGTACCAGCGTCGGTGGTTAATTTCTTGGATGGTTCATGTTCCGCAAAATTTTGTAAATGAGAGGGGGGGAGGCGTCGATTAAAAGGTGAAGTATCTTGGTAGATTCGAGAGTTTGTTCAGCTCGCTGTGCATGACCTCCCATACACAGTCGTTGACGTGTAAACGTTGTCTTCCTTGAATCCTTTGGCGCTGCAGGCTTGCCAGGCGTATGTACGCTTCACAAGCAAAGCAGTGGAATAAATCGTTGAAGGGTGCGGACATTTCATAGTAGTAATTTTTCCAGGCTATTGGAGGGGATTGACACCATTGACCACTTTCCTTTGGAATGACCGAGCCAAGGCTTCAAAAGTAGCATAGAGAGCTGCAATCAAGTATTTTTCTCAGGGCCATGAGTTGAGGGGCGTGTTTTCAACGGGGCGGTGGTGTTCGCGAGTTTGAGGCACAGGAGGGGGGGCGGCGAGTACGCAGTAGGCTTTTCGTGCTCATTCTGGGGGTTCCTTCTCGTGCCGACCGTATTCAACTTACAGTCCATTCATTGTCCCTCTCCTGAATATCTAAAGTTCCATCCTGGGTTACTTTTACACAATTTCCGGCTCTTAAGTATAGGCGCATGGATCACCAATTTGTGTAATAAACAGTTTGAACGTTCATACGCTCACTTTTGCTCTCTAGGATAGAAGGATTCACAGCCAAGGATCATTGCGAGAACTGAATATAAAAAGAATCAGAGGGACTGGGGCTGATACTGATGGATTCAATCTCTCTTCCTCTGTTCAGTAAGAAACCCACAGCGAATCCTTCCATCGGAAATATTCCTCATGAAAAGGCAGCGCATTCTGTCTTCTGGGACCGAACCAAGGCCAAAAAGAAAAAAAGAAGAGATACAACTTTCCATCTCAAGACTTTACCCAGGGAGCTTCTTGATCATGTGATGTCTTTCACTTCCATATTGTCTTGGCCAAGTATCTTATCCGTTTCAAACCGCCAGCCATGGGAGTTAGACAAGCCCAGTATTTCACTCTGGTCTTCTCTTTTCAAATGCGAAAAATGGCTTGAAAAGATGGTCCAGGAATACCAGGCTAAGCCGGTTTTGGTTGGCTCTGGTCTTGACAACCATTCACGTGGCACCTACCTGATCCTTCACGTTTGTGCCGCTAAGAAAGGCTCATCATACGTGCGCTTGTGGAAACTGTTCAAGGAGTGTCTCCAAGAGCATACTATCACTGCAAACGCGGAGGTCATATTCAGTTCCGGCGCTACGCTCAATGTTCAAGACCTCCTGATCGACAGTCTTGATGGTCCTGTGCGAGTCCCGAGCGCGAAAAAGATCTTTCACTTCCGAGAGGGAAATCCAAAGATACAATACTCGTTTTATAAGGCGCCACGCGTTCGCAATCTCGACTTAAGTTATGTCTCCAGAGATCGTGAGGACTGGGACTGGAAGCTCAGGCTCATTACGAGTGATGAACAGGGGGTTGCAGTCACTGTTCACTACCGCATGGAGGTGAATGCGTTGAAAGTATCAGATGATTCGTTTTGGAAAGGTGTTATCCAAGCCGCAGAGAGACGGAATTAGTAGTAGTGGAATCGAAGCGGATGTTGCGAACGAAGGCACCGGGTTGTTTCTCTTTCATGTAAGACACCTAATTTGTCAGATTGATGCAGCACTCCTGTCTGGGTCTTGTGGGCAGCCATTAATTCCAGCGATATCAGAGCTCTAGCGCAAAGGCTCAAAAGTAAGATGGCAAACCCTTCTAGACAATCGCCTGGCCAGAGAGCCAACAACCAGGGATTTCAAAGCCGTCCCACTGCCGTGAATAATTGAGATCTTGTTGAGTCCTGTCGGAGAAATGGAGTGGTGCATTAGTAACTAGACCTTCCTTCGGCTGTGTTTCTAGGGAATAGTCTTTCTAGGGAATAGTCGGGTGCACCAGTTATCTCAGTCTTGACATTAGTTGATCATTGAGCGGACACAGATATAAACATCTTGCCAATGAATACCAAATTATATTCAATTTACAGGTAGCTGCAGCTCCTGGGAACATTCTTCGTCGAAAATTTGTGGCGGAAGTTCGAAGATACATTCTATACATACATACCGACGATCTTATGACATAAACATCCGATATTGATGCTCGAAGATGCCCTCTATGTGGCAGGTTATGCTACGTTCACCTATAGGGATCATCGCGAGCGCACGCTTCCTACGTAAGAAACATATACTGTGTAAGAAGACCTGGTCAAGCAGCTCGGCTGGAAGTTCATGATATTTGCCGTAGGTATCAGTGCAAGAATTCACGATAGTTGCCAAATGATCTGGAAGGTGTACTTAATCTTGGATCTATAATTCTTATTTACAGTTTACACAAATAGAATGACCAACGTAGGTCCTAGGAGCGTTTTGATCCTGGGAGTACCATTCCCAGCATTCCTGCGGGAGTGGGGCCATTGAGTAACTACCGGGTGTGATACGCTTAGGGAACACCTCCCCGAAAATTATCCTTCTCTGGCAACCTACACGAGGACCCTACGAGGACCCTATCATCACAGGTGTACATCATCCGTTTACAGCCCAAATATATCTGGAGAATGGGGCACTCAAGTGGCCCAAACTGTGTTCTTTTTAACTGTTGGTATGCCGCAACAAGCTCCATCGGTCCTGGGAACTCCGCACTTTTAAGCCCTTCACCTGATACGCTTACGTAACACCTCTGACAGAACACGGGTGCAGAACTAGCCCAATTGGGTTAGTTCAAACCACTATTGAATGGAGAGCTCTGATTGGTCGAACCAGAATGGATCACATGACCGATCAGGTGATCTCCAGGGAGAATTTATGTGCGTAATTATCAGAATGAGAGAATCAGACCTGTTGATACATCCCATTGGCGACCGCCTACTGCATTAGACATTGTAGTCTGTCAAATCTGCTCATTAGTAGTCAGCAATTACATGTTTCCTAATTAGGATTAGTGTTACTGTGACCAAAATCAAGAGATGCGCTAATCCCCCGTTTGGACCCAGGAAACCAACAGCTGCGCCCAGGAACTATCTGTGGTCCTCTGAGGATCTCACGTATCGTTGGATGAGGAGCGTGTCTTCCTAATGGATAATCAATATAAGAACCCTATAGTCGACTTCCCAGAGGTACTGAAATACTGCCAAGAACAGGGGTCAGGGGTAGATTAACTGTAATAGGCATAGTGCGTTTCGAAAGAGGTTTCGAGAAAGAATCTCTGTGTGTAAGTGGTAAGACTGATTTCGATCCTCCCTGTACTCCTCTAAAGTACCAGTTGGAGACTCCTCTAAGGATTTCGAGCAGTTCTGTACATATAGAGAGGTACCAGTTCGGCGACGAGAATCGAGACCAGAAGCAGCGGTACTTAGCGGAGCTGATTTCGAACGGCACTTGACCGACTGTATAATTGAGGGGATCTTTTGATCTCTCGGAGAAAATGACGGGACGGGCCGAGACACGAACCCCTGAACCGCCCGACCGCGAGGAACACGAAAATTCACCACCGCGATTACCGAGACCGAAGCGATCAGCCGGACCGCCTAAAAACTATGCCCAGGAACAAGAACTCGCTACCGAGCAGAGTAGCGCGCGATTGCAACGGAAAAAGAAAATCCAGGGCAAGCCAGTCGCCCAACGTGAAGCGGGGGCCTGGGAGTCTTCCGCGGAGAGCGAGGACCCGAACGCCTCGGAACTGCTAAAGGAACTCGTCAAACTCAGAAAGGAGATCAGAAGACGAGACGAGTTACACAGGGAAGAGCTCCGAAAGGCCAAAGAAGAATTACAGAGAACCAAGGAAGAATTTAGCGCCGCCCTTGCTGAGGTTCAACACGAGTTACAGACTCTGGCAGAGAGACCCCTTCCAACGCAACCCCCCCTCCGAGCCATGCGCGCACAACGGCCACGATGAGATCCTCCGTGAAATTCAATCCCTGCGCGAGGAAATCAGCACCCCCCGCTCCCATAAGCTCCCCGTCATATGCAGATGTCGCGCGCACACCTCCCAGCAGCTACCCAAGCAACATACGAACCCTTTCAACGTTGAACACGACTCCGACCACCTACACCGACACGCTATATTGTACAATAGATACTTCGAAGATACTCGAAAACGAAAACCAGAAGATATCTGCGGGCTCGATCAGGGCCGCAATCGAGACCGAGATCCGAGCAATGGATGGTCACACTCTCTGGCGCTGTCGCGCGGTGACAGTGAGTCCACGAAACAACAACCGGATCAGAATCGCGTGCCGCGACGAAGCCGAGCATCAGCTGGTCAAGAAAGTGGCGGAAGCAAAGATCGGGGCCGGTGCCCGGGTGCTTCGCGACGATCTCTACCCGATCAAGGTCGATAGTGTAAGGAGGACGGCAGTGTTGGATGAAAACCATGACGTCCTGTCAGGAGCGGCAGCGGCCCTGAGCGAGGAGAACGACACAAATGTTGCCAAAATCATGTGGCTGAGCAGCAAGGAGGCCGCAAAGCCCTACGGATCGATGGTCGTGTACTTAACCAGGGGGAGTGACGCACGGAGGCTCCTGGCCGATGGCTATTTCCACGTTGGAGGAGAATCCGGGACGACCAGAGTTTTTGAATATCGGCCACGACCAGTGCAGTGCTACAATTGCCAGGAGATTGGCCACAAGGCATTCCAGTGTAAGAACGTCCGGAAGTGTGCGAAATGCGCCACAGAAGGCCATCGTCACAGTGACTGCGACCAAACGATTCCAAAGTGCGTCCCATGTGGAGGCCCTCATGAATCGTACAGCAAGAACTGCCGGAAGCTCTATCCATCACGCCATGAATAATTCTCTTCGAATAATTCAGCTGAATGTGAGGAAGCAGGGTGCGGTGCTTGAGAGTTTAATGAACGACGAAGACACTCGGAACGCGGTGGCACTAGCGATTCAGGAACCCCAAGCGAGGAGGATTCAAGGCCGGCTCTTGACCACCCCGATGGGTCATCACAAGTGGACAAAGATGGTACCCTCCACCTGGAGGGAAGGGAGGTGGGCGATCCGGAGCATGCTCTGGGTCAACAAAGAAGTGGATGCGGAGCAAGTCCCTGTGGAGTCTCCGGACATCACAGCAGCGATGGTCAGGCTCCCCGAGCGACTGGTCTTTATGGCATCAGTCTACGTAGAAGGAGGAAATGCCTCAGCTTTGGACGATGCGTGCAGTCGTTTACGCGACGCGATCACAAAGGTACGACGGGACACAGGTGCGGTGGTGAATGTCTTGATTGTGGGTGACTTCAACCGACACGACCAGCTGTGGGGTGGAGACGAAGTGTCGCTGGGAAGACAAGGAGAAGCGGATCCGATCATCGACCTTATGAATGAATTCGCACTCAGTAGCTTGCTCAAACGCGGCACCAAGACATGGCACGGCGGGGGACAAAGCGGAGACTGCGAGTCTACCATCGATCTCGTGTTAGCTTCAGAGAATCTGGCGGAATCCATAACAAAATGCGCTTTACTCGAGACAGACCACGGCTCGGATCACTGCGCCATTGAGTCCGTGTTCGACGCCCAGTGGTTGGGTCCAAAGCACCAAGAGCGACGTCTGCTGAAGAATGCACCATGGAAGGAGATTAATGCCAGGATCCAAAGCGCTCTAGCCATTCTTCCATCAGAGGGCACGGTGCAGCAGAAAACAGATCGACTCATGGCCGCGGTGTCGGAAGCGGTGCACGCTCTAACGCCGAGGGCGAAACCATCACCCTATGCGAAGCGATGGTGGACAACTGACCTCACTCAACTCCGTCATATATACACGTACTGGAGAAACCGCGCTCGCTCCGAGCGACGGGCGGGTCGAAAAGTACCTCGGCTGGAAAGCATGGCCCAGGATGCGGCCAAACAATACCACGATGCCATCCGCAAACAAAAGAAGAAGCACTGGAACGAGTTTCTCGCAGACAACGACAACATCTGGAAAGCCGCCAAGTACCTCAAGTCGGGGGACGATGCCGCGTTCGGGAAGATCCCGCAGCTCACAAGAGCAGATGGGACCACTACCAACGACCACAGGGAGCAAGCGGAGGAACTACTATCCAAATTCTTCCCGCCTTTGCCAAACATCATCGAAGAGGAAGGGGTGCGACCACAAAGAGCGCCGGTAGACATCCCTGCCATTACCCTGGAGGAGATCGAGCGGCAACTGTCAGCGGCCAAGTCGTGGAAGGCACCTGGTGAAGACGGCCTACCGGCGATCGTTTGGAAGATGACGTGGCCCATAGTCAAGCACAGGGTCCTCGACCTCTTCCAAGCCTCGCTGCAAGAGGGCACACTGCCTAGACAGTGGAGACACGCGAAGATCATACCGCTCAAGAAGCCAAATAAAGACGACTACACCATTGCAAAGGCATGGAGGCCGATTTCACTCCTTGCGACACTCGGAAAGATACTCGAATCGGTGGTCGCAGAGAGGATCTCGCACGCGGTGGAGACGCATGGACTGCTCCCGACGAGTCATTTCGGGGCCCGGAAACAGCGGTCTGCAGAGCAAGCACTGGTGTTTCTGCAGGAACAGATCTATGCGGCGTGGCGCGGCCGACGAGTGCTGAGTTTGATTAGCTTCGACGTCAAGGGTGCCTACAACGGAGTATGCAAGGAACGACTGATCCAGCGAATGCAAGCCCGAGGCATACCAGAGGTGTTGCTCCGTTGGGTTGAGGCATTCTGCTCGGAACGAACGGCAAACATTCAGATCAACGGACAATTGTCGGAGGCCCAAAGCCTGCCACAGGCGGGACTGCCGCAGGGCTCGCCCCTGTCTCCGATTCTCTTTCTCTTCTTCAACGCCGACCTCGTGCAACGACAAATCGACAGCCAGGGCGGAGCAGTCGCTTTCGTGGATGATTATACCGCGTGGGTGACTGGACCAACTGCACACAGTAATCGGGAAGGAATCGAGACGATTATCAACGAGGCACTTGACTGGGAGAGGAGGAGCGGAGCGACATTTGAGGCTGACAAGACAGCTATCATACACTTTGCTCCTAAGATGCGTAAATTCGACCATTCGCCATTCACCATTAAGGGACAGACGGTGGTGCCCAAAGACCACGTCAAGATCCTGGGTGTCTTGATGGACACGAGACTCAAGTACAAGGAACATATCGCGAGGGCAGCGTCCAAGGGGCTTGAAGCAGCGATGGAGCTCCGGCGACTCCGGGGTCTAATCCCAGCAACCGCGCGGCAGCTGTTCACGTCGACGGTGGCACCGGTCGTGGACTACGCCTCCAACGTCTGGATGCACGCGTGCAAGGATAAAGCCATGGGGCCGATCAATCGAGTCCAAAGAGTCGGCGCGCAGGCCATTGTGGGGACATTTCTCACGGTCGCGACCAGTGTCGCAGAGGCAGAGGCTCACATAGCTCCCGCACAGCGTCGATTCTGGAAACGGGCCGTGAAAATGTGGACAGATACTCACACCTTGCCGGAAACCAATCCTCTCCGCCGGTGTACAGGTCAAATCAGAAAGTTCAGACGATATCACCGCTCGCCGCTTTATCAAGTAGCCGACACGCTGAGGAATATCGATATGGAAACGCTGGAAACCATCCACGCGTTCACCTTGGCACCGTGGGACGCACGCGTGCGCACAGACGTCGCGGCAGTGCCGCACTCACTGGACGAATCGGGCGGGTCTATGCAGATCGCAATCAGCGGCTCGGCGCGGAACGGGCTAGTAGGGTTTGGGATCGCGATCGAGAAGCAGCCTCCTCGGTACCGAAAACCGAGACTGAAAGCCCTTTCCATCACACTGGGTGTACGATCAGAGCAAAACCCATTCTCTGCGGAGCTCGCCGGAATGACACACGCACTGAAAATGCAAGTGGCACTGAAGAATTACAGGATTACGCTACTCACGAGCAACAAAGCGGCGACTCTCACAGTCAGGAACCCTCGACAACAGTCGGGCCAGGACTTTGTGGCTCAATTGTACAAGTCGATGGAAAGAATGCGAAGGAACGGCAACCGGATCGACATCGTTTGGGTCGCCGTAAGCGAGAATAACAGATTGTTGGGCCTGGCTAAGGAACAGGCCAGGACCGCGACCCACGAGGACGCTCTCGTCCAAGTACAGGTGCCGAGGATGAAGTCAACGACCCTGAATCTCGCACAGTCCCAGGTGAACCCGGGCAAAAGCCTGCCAGAGAATGTCGGGAAACACGTGAAACACGTAGACTCCGCGCTTCCAGGAAAACACACTCGACAGCTTTACGATCGCTTATCGTGGAAAGAAGCAAGCGTGCTCGCTCAACTCCGGACGGGCATGGCCAGACTCAATGGATACCTCTCTCAGATCAACGTGGCTGAGACAGATCAATGTGCGTGCGGACAAGCCAGAGAAACGGTAGAGCACTTCCTCTTTCGCTGTCGGAGGTGGACGGCGCACCGGACAAGACTACTACAATGTACGGACACTCATCGAGGCAACATATCCTACTTTCTCGGCGGCAAGTCGCTGGCCGACGACCAGAACTGGACGCCAAACTTGGAAGCAGTGCGAGCCTCCATACGGTTTGCAATCGCCACGGGTCGACTTGACGTCATATAAGGCCCAACAATACGGACAACCTTTTCCCCCAAACTAACCCCTTCCGACCACCTTGTGCCGACGACGGTAGACGCGCTTCAATTGCCGAAGATGGGATGTTGAACACTTGAAGAAGCGCCTTCAAGCCAGTCTGCCCCAAATTACTAACCCACAAGGACTCCTGTGACGTGAATAATTGAGATGATAATACACTGGGACTGTTTTATGTATGGGCTCTAAGGAGACACAGCATATATGTCTGGGCATGTACATTAGATTAGTAATAGTTGCCCTTTCGGCTGAGCCGCCGGGCGTTAATGAATTGTGTGTGTGTGTACTCCTCTAATCCAGCATTTCAACACATTCGTAGTCCGTCTCACCTCTTTTCTGACATGGGCAACATATTTTTAATCTACACGTTTTCTCATCCAATCATTTTCATTGCTTCATCTCTAACACCTGCTATCCCGTCCAAGCTAAATTGAGCTGCCTAGAGGCCCAAGCAACGAAGTCATAGCTGCCTACCAAACTTCGTACAAGTACGACTGTCAAGCAACTAGCGCCATATTTTTCAAGGCCAGCGCAATTCAATCAGTTATACTCTTCAGAGAGGCCAGGTGCAGAAGGGTTGTAGTGAAGCCTCATTGGCTTATTCTTTTTATCACGCCTTATCTGTGAGTCAAATTGATATCTCCCCTTACAAGTTTGCACTATTTACTAGCCTCGCTAACTCAATCTTAAGTGGGGATGTTGTCGAGAATTCTTCATGGACTGATCATGTCCGCTCCCTCTGTGTTGGGCACGGGCTATTATCATTTGGACGACATTATTTGCTACCAGGACCTACAGGCTAGCGCTCTCGATGCCTATCTCATTATCAGGATCTTTTGGAAAAATTTCGGAATCTGGTTTATTGCAGTACTCCTGTTGGTTGTGACTGAAAGAGCGTGGGGTAGGGGTTCCATGGGACCAGACCATCGGGTAGGGCTAGAACACGTGAAACAAGCACTTCTAGGTCGTCAGGATGTTCACTGCGCAGTGCTTTTGCTCGAAACCTATACGAGCTTCAAGTCAGAGAAGCCAGAGGGCTGGAAGCGTAGGCATGTAATGATTCAGGCATTAATACAGGCAAACATCAATACGCCAGGCTCAGATGCTAAAGCTTGCCCCGACACGAGGGTGTCGCGACGGAACCATCGGAGCGCGTGGATGCCATGCTCCCAAACCGCCACCCACGTGGTGCTTTTTGCGATTCTTTTTCTCTGCAATGTGATGAGTACCCCCTACGACCGCATTCGTCAGCATCTTGGTATATATTCCAGGTTTTACCATGGAATTCGGGAACTATATTCATTTCGGAAAACTGTTTATGAGAAATATCCAGATGCCACAACTGAGAAGGTTGGAAGCGATGGTATTTGTATAATTTGCCAGGAAGAGATGGACTTGATCATGCCAGCAGTCAATGGTGGAGGGGCTGGTCTCAAAGCCGCACTCGATGTTCGCAACGTCTCTGGCCAATTTTCGCCTAAGCTATTGCCTTGTGGTCGTCATGTGTTACACTTTGATTGCCTTTGTATATATTTATTGACATGGTCGCATTGTCCGATATGCCAAACCGCACGGCCAGTCCCTGCAAAGACCAGCCATATAATACTTAGATGGTGGGTCATGTGGCTCTGGCAGTATCAATACAGGAGTTCGTTGTGAAGAGGTGTTCCAACGGGAATGTATGGGATGGCGACCGCCGCGATTTCGCCTCAGCAGGTAAGTTTCCTCCTCTCGTTCGAGGGGCTTGACTAATCATCCAGTTTAAACAGAATCACCCACGGTCTGCCAATGCTGATTTGAAATACCTCCCGCGGACAAGAGACTTTGAGTGATATGTGGGTCGCCTCCTACTGGCCATCGATTTGGACTTCTTATCTCCTAGATCTCTGGTGGCTAGGAAGGATGCTGCGCTGACTAGAAGCGATGCGATATAGCATTCGCTGTGTCCGTACAAAACTTCTCGCTCCACGTTCGACAGAACCTACTACGGTCTTCCTACCTCCCTGGGTCAGAAATTCAGTATGGGATAGAGAGATTGAGTTTTTATGAAATAGATCCACATAATATGGCGTTCCACCATTTTCCACCACCACTCAGATCAACAGTAGTGTATTTACGTTGCTTTTTGCTTGGAAGTATACCTCCATTTCTGGTGCAACTCCGAAGCTGGCTATGATGTCGTTTCCGTACCGATGTCACTTCGAATCTAAGGGCTTTATGCTACCGAGCACTAATTAAGTGATATGGAACCCGCTTTTCCTCAATTATACCCGGACCTCATCCGAGCCGCGCGCATAACCAGTACCGGTGATCTACGAGCCCTGTGCAGCCTGTTCGTTGAAGATCGGGTCTTCTCCGCCAAAGCCGTGTCTAAATCTCCTACCTGGACCTGAGAGATTCCAATTAGGGTGGGATTTGGTCTTTGTGCGGTTGGTTGTGATCCAAAAAGAACCGTCACGCTAGCTCATATTTCGTAGTTTCAACTTGGGCTCGCACCAATTTGGCAAGGGGATCCATGGTAATCTGAACACCACGGCAATGCAATGATGGCAGCTCGTTGCTCTATATGGGAAGCCTAAATCTGGTGGATGGATTTTGGACCCGTTTACCATATGTATAGTATATCATTTGGAGTGCAATTCTGGAGGCTGCTTGTAAATTCAAAGGTTTATGCGCATATGGTAAGCAAACATTACTTAAAATCCTGGCAGCATACCCCGATATAGAAAGAGATGAATAGAGATATCAAGCCATTATTTCCGTCAATAGTCTATCATAAGTATGAGGAAATTTGTACCCGGTCAAAAGATGGATGAGTGCAAGAGCGTCTTGCTCAGACTCTTTCAAGCCAAAGAACTCCGCCCTGGCTGTCCCTTTACTGTCCCACAACCTGAGAGTACTATTGCTTTCATGGTGTGTCATTTCGATTTCCCAAGAGGACTTGTAATGGTCCGTTGTTATACCTTTCAGATCCCCAATGAGAAGATTGATGCGGTAAAAAGTAGCGAGGAGGATATATGGCAGAAGAATCCTTTTTGACGAATACAGCGATTGAGGACATAACGAGAGTATAATCTAGAGACCTGGGTGGGCTCGAGCTCAAACTGTGAGGTGACACCATTCCATCGAAGATCATCATCGAACCAACGAGCCAACTGATTCTGGCCTCGGGGTACCCATGCTAATGATGACTCTGTTGAGGGCACATTTGATAAGACCCATTTACTTTCGATATCTTCTTGCAGCAGCGCAGCAGTCTTCTGCTCTATACGGGTGAAGCGATTATTGCTACGTATCACAATGTCTCAATATGAATTCATCAATGCGAGGACACAAGTTTCCAAAAGCTTGCCAGTTGTTCAAGGCTCCTGATATCTCATGGAAGTATTCCTGCTGGTTTGAAGAGCTCAGAGCACTGAAATCCTCATGTGAAAGCAGCTGCAACTGCTTGTTGTCGAAAAGATGTCTTTCGGACTGAAATCGCGCTCTGTTGTCTCGAAAAGCCTGAGTAGAATTCATGCAATGACACTCGGAAGAGGCAGTGGATGTTGAAATGGCGTTGGATCCATCTAGGATGAGGTTTTGTGGTACACTTTGAAGGCGTCCTTGGTCTAAGGCTCCAAAAAGCTGAGGTTTGCTGAAGTCGATGGCGTCTGAATCAGGATCTTCAATGTCGCTAATCATGATGGGGTTCAATTTGCTCGAACCTATAGGATCATTCATATTCACAATGATGGTTCGTAGCTGAATGTAATTTTCGATGCTGTAACTTTAACGCTATGCGAAATTGAAGCTTGAGAGAGACGTGACTGAAGCCCTTTATAGTCTTGAAATCTAGTTTGAACTCAAACCTGATTTCCGTTCATCAATATGAAAATGAGTAATCAAAGTAATTTTCCTGGGAGCTACTGTATGTCATGTACCTAAAAACCTAAACCGTTCATTCTTGCGGTAAACTAGCAATCAAAATTCTTGAATTCCCAGGAGCCATAACGATATCTGGGAACTTATACAGCACAGTGATCATTATACAGTCGTTCTCGAAATCGGCTTGACCACTACACTCTTCGACTCTCTTTCTCAGCTCCGCTGCCAAGACTTTAGCGCAGAACATCTATTGGGCTGTACGCATCAATTTGAGGGGCCCCGCAGTTTAAATTTCATGGTGCAAGCTCGGAGAGATCACACCGGACTGTAACTTAATGGTGTTGGCTCAATAAATAATGGACGCTAGGGCCTTGGCGGTGGGGCCGAGAAAGAGAGTCGAAGAGTACACTGGTCAAGCCGATTTCGAGAACGACTGTAAATTCTTATTCAAAAAGGTGTATAAGTCTTGGCTTTATCACCAAATGAACAGGCAACTACTATAGCACAACGAAGGGGTGCCTGCACGTCGGGTGTTGGCAGCCTGGGGCCCGAGGTGTTGCCAAATCGAGTACAACTTTAATAACGCAGGCTCCATTGCTGCATGGAAGCTCAAAGTTATGTACTAGCGGGCTCAAAGCGATGAGGGTGAGCTTGATTTCGCAGATGTCCCTGCGAGGAACTTTGTTAAGGTAGATTTGACCAAGCTACCTGAATCCCAACTCGAATCGCAACATCCACATCAACATCAACATCAACTCAACGTCCATACTCCATTTGGGTCCTTGATGCCGGCTGTGAGAGCCTGAGTTTTAGGAAAATCCATCAAGATCCTACAGGGTTACATACATGGATACTGTACACGGGAGCATCTACTTCCGTCATACTACAGGACAGAGAGTCTCAACGGTTCATATTTCGAGGTTTTACTTCTCAACCTAAGTTGCGTCGATCATGATCACTCACTGTTCAACGTTTAGAGGTATAAACTCCAGGACCTACACTCTCCAAGGAAATTCCTGCCCAATCCTAGACTTCATCGTTTCTTCAGCGATTTCTGAGTGCCTAAAAGTCAATGGTTCATTGCAGACTTTTGCTTTCTTTTTATACGCTTCCCAACCTTCCTGCCTTCCATTTGGACAAACCTTTTTTGTTGTTCCCAGTCGCAATAAGCTGACTAGCCTTATTCACTGATCTTCTTGGTTGCTGGAAAATGTGGGCTTACATTCTGCTTCTCGTGCTAACGAGCATGTCTCTCGCCTTTCCGACCGACTTCGCTGTTAAACGCCCCACTTTCGGCCTGCCCGCTTCCAATTTGGGCAGTTTTTTGGATGTGGCTGGTGAAGCTTTTGACCTGGTTGACACAGCCCTCGGCAGCAGTGCTCATGCCTCGATGGACATCCCTGCTGGTCTAAGCCCCCAGGGTGCGGCTGCGCTGGGAGGTAGTGCTCTCGGATGCAGCGCCAGCATCATCGACGTTGGCGCCCGCGAGGAACTTAGATCCTGGCTGGCTAGCCAGACTGGCATCACCGGTTCCCTGAAACCCTTGCTCCAGTCCTGGTGTGAGAGCGAAGGCTCCACAACGCTGGGTACCGATGTTGTGGCTGCTCTATCCGTCCACATCCCTACCTGTGCTCATATTGCCGCTAAAGGATTGTTGTACATCACCGTCGACGGCATTTTCCCCGCTGGCGAGCATCAGGAAGCTTCAGTCCTAGATACATCTGACCAAGAGTCCCTGTCCGCATTTCTATCTGCTTATGACAGCCTTGGCGCTGATATCCATGCTGGGCTCAGCGTCTGCGCAGCTGGTGGTGCCGCTATCAGCTTGGATGCTCATTTCAAGGCCTCCCTTCTCGCTTGGACTCAGGCCTCTAACTGCCCACTCAGTGCTAATCTGCAGCGGTCCGTCCTTGCTTGGTGTCAGGGTAGCCGTGGCGGAGATCTCACTACGATCAGCTCCTCCACTGACTCCACTCTAATTACTTTCTCAGTTGGGGCTTCGGTTGGGGCTTTCGTCGAGGAGGGTGGCCCCCTTTCCGCCCACGCTCAGGCCGCTCTGAAGAACTTTCTTGATACCAGGCTGGCGACCGATATCGACGCTAGTGTCCTGGCTGGGCTGACTGCTTGCGCGGCTGGAAGCTATGCTACTTCCATCGATGTTGATATCCGTACCGCAGTCGCTGCCTGGCTCTCCAGCTCCCGCTGCTCTCTGGGCGTCGAGCTGAAGGCTATTGTCTTTCTTTGGCTATCCCGAGCTACTTCTGCTGAAATGCCTCTCAGCCATCTCAGCGGCCCGGCGGCTGATCTTGCCGGCCTACCCACCGAGGATACCGTGGGATCTCTCAGTACCATTCTCCGCGCAGCACTAGGTCTCGTACGCGCCGGTGGGAGCCTGTCATTTCTGTCCTGGGAGACTCGCGCTGAGCTGGCTGCTTTTCTAAGTGGCTGCACCACCATCGATATTGGCGCCAGCTTACAGCTCATCCTAATTGAATGGTTCACTGGCTGCAGTATCCTCGACGCTTCGTCTCCGTCCCTCTTCGTCTCCGGCTTGCCATCTTCTACATTAAACATCGCCAGCACCAACACTACCATGAGCGCTGTTGCCACTCCCTCTGTGCCCGCACAATGTGGTTCTTTTATATCATGTCTTACACCTTCCAGGTCTTTAACTACCGGTCCTGCTCTTTCAATTCCTCCCTCTGGTGGCCTCACTCCCTCGAATCATGCTGGTGGCGTCACAAGTACCTCAATCACTCCTAGCCAGCCCGCTATTACACCATATAGCATTCCGTTCATCATCACCAATGACATTAGTGTTTCCAATACAGCTTCCCCTGGAGCTGAAATTACCGACACACAATCCTTGTCTACAACAGTGGACAGTCCTCTGCCGGACAATATATCTGGTTTGGGGTCGGGGTCGGGATTAGGCTCAGAATCATGCTCAGGATCGTCGACATTGTTCTATACCACATATACTCCAGCTCCAACTCAGTCTCCTCTATTCCCTGTTGGCGGCTTCGCCTCCGACTATATCACCACTACCATTACCGTTACGAAGACAGTCTGCGAGTGCGAGGGAACAAATTCTCCTACACCATTTCAAAACGTCTACACTTAACTCATTCATTTTGCCTTTTTTAAGACAAGGCTCTTAGAGAAAGCACGTTATATAGACCTTCAATATGTTTAGACTCAATGAGAGGCTTGGGCTGAGCATTTGATATAATTGCTCCCAAGTCTGATCTGTATGTTTATATTTCTAATTCTGACTCTAGGCCTATCTAGAACGACCTAGATGATCACCATCCTATTTAGGCATTCTAGTCAACTATCTACGATATCATTATATTGTAGTAGCAAATATCAAGTACCAAACATGGACGACATTTTAAGAACACAGCTCGGAGGGAGCCATTATTTGGCCATTCATGTATTGCGGCTCCGCTTCATCGTCTTTGAGTCGAATCGAAGAGCGAGAATTTTGAACGAGAGTCATTGAATCTGACTATCAAATAAGGCAAGCATGACGATGGGGCCACATCGATCTGTAATGCAATCCTGCCATTGCCCGCTAAAGCCTATCGCCCAGAAATTATTCAAACTGGGCGACCTCTTATTTACTGTTTAATTATGAATGTGAATTATGGCACAGCAATTCAAGACATACTTGACGGTGGATTTCTTGCACAAAATATATTGAGAAGCCGCGAATAGGCTGGATTTTGATGAGCAAATAAATAGCTCCTCTGACTCAAGCCCGCTATTGGTGCAGAAGAGTATCTAAAGAGGCCATTTTTGGATTTGTTGGGACCATCCCGAAACGCAAATGCGCTCAAAATCAAGGATATTGAAATTCTCTACTCTTCGTCTGATAGAAGGTCAGAATTTAGCTGGGTCTCCATGCATCCACCTGCCTTGGTCAGGGTCACTGGGATTGCATGAAAATCAGCTTGCAATCGCTCCTCCCAGAACCTAATGTAGATGGGTGGAGAGTCTGCAGTGATTTCAACTCAATATTCCTTAACGCGTCTCCTAATTGATACAACGGCGAATGAAGATATCTTCTGAATAACTTGATGCACGCTCTACTCAGGTGGGGAGGATTGATTTCTGGGAGGGCATAAATTCTGGTGCATTGACAACGTCGTCCTCGGTCTCCGCTACGCCGGTTGCGACTATAAGGAATGTCCTCACAATCACTTGCGTGCCTATCCTTTGGACTCAGTTGATCGACCCGATGGCTTTACTGAATCTTTGGAAGCGTGCATCCACACATTGGAAGCGTAGTCCACTGAGTGGCTCCCGTCGATGTGAGTAGCTGCCGTGCTGTTTCTGGCGATAGGCCTCAGATTAGACAGGGCTCATCGTTACCTTAGGGCCCTCCGACCCTGACCTTGTGAATTCTTCGTTGTGCAGTATTTGATTAAACTGCATAGAAGCAGAATTTGCTGACATACTCGAAGAGGACATTAAGGCCCCATTCTATCGATCGTTTCATCAAATCTTGTTGTTGGAATCAGACCCAGGCCGGGTTTTGCTATCGCTAATAGCATTTTCTTGGTCTTAATGGGGATTTTAAGGCAGTCAAAAATTTGGGAGAACCTCTTACACCCCCGAGCGCACCAACAGCACACTCCACTGAGACCGTATTAGAGGTGACACATTCCACACATATGAATCACTCGCAAAGCATTCCCTTCCTGAAGCCAAAACAGAAAAATGTCGGGCAAGCAATCCGAAAATTGTCCTTCCACACTCTTTATCCGTTTATGCTGCACTCTTGCATTCTCTCTTTCTGCTGATGGTCACTGATAAAGGTGCTTCCATGTTAAAAACTGTAATTCCGTCTCTTCCTTTTATCCAAATATTGTGCAGTCAATGTGGGCAATCGAGCTGCATCTTGTGGAAGAATTCGGTATCAAAAGCCAAGTAGCTTTTGATATTCATCTTAAGAGGTTTCCCCTGTTCATGGTGAATGCGCTACCGTTACAATGCTGAACCTGAGAGCCAACAAAATGACAGAACTTCTGAATTTTGCCGTGAGCCTTTTGATGATTCGAATGATGGCACATCAGAAAAGCCTCGAGATTTGAGATCGGTTTCGCACTGCAGAATTTCAAAATACGAATAAAAGTCCCAAACCCCCCAAGCCTGACTCCATCGTAATCCAGGAATGCATACGAGATAAAGAACAACTCGTTTTATTCAGGAACGAGATAAGAGTGTTTCACAGGTGGAGTAACGGACGCCGTGAATATTCACTCTTAATGTCTCTTAGACATAAGGGGAACACTAATATTTCATTGAAAAGTACTCCAATCATTGGATAGAATATAGTACTTTGACCTTCTTTGGAAAGAAATCATGGCGTGAAAGTCCAAAGATATTCCCCGCAAGCGCAATGGAAACCAGAATGTATACTAACCACAAATCATTTCCCCTAGCACTTGGATATTTATCATGGTTAAATTCATAGAAATATTCAAAGAATTCTCGCAAGAGCCATCTACTCATTTGAAAATGTCAGACATAAATCTGGAGCAGGGGCCGACGAAAGCCACCCACTTGACTCAGGGACAACTGAACTCGTCGTTTTGATATCGAAACACTCAATAATACGAGCTGTCATTCTTCTGATTTCTGCCAGGGATAACGCCCGCCCAGGACGGTTTCGGGGTCCATAGAGGAAGGTAAGCATGCATATACGTGATGCGGCTCCTCCCTCTGGGTTTGCGGCAACGCAGTAAAGCGTCCAAGCTAAGGTACCCGCTGTGCTCTCAAAACTGCGATAACCGTCAGCAATCGAATGTAGACAATGTTTAATGAACGTACCCGGCTGCAAGGGTGATGACAACCTGTGGAACGATCTCCTCTGGCGTAAAGTCCTTTGAGCATGCAATTTGAGTCAAGATGTCTTGCTTAGATATATCAGTCGACTTGAAAGAAGTAGCCTTCTCTGTGATTAAACTTTTAAGACGTGTCTTTAGCTTTGCATGAGCATCCTCCATTTGTCGGTCTACCTTGGATGGGAACATGGAGATGAGCCAAGATGGAGCAGAGTTATGCCACATAAAGTGAGACTTCTTCAGGTCGTGGGCAGAAAAGAGACACTGAAAGATATCTATTATTTCCATGTTTTGGCCGAGAATGCTATTAAAGTCAATACCAAGGGCAACGATTCCTATTACATCGAGGGTGATCAACTTTGTAAGCTTATTCAAATTCAGAGTAGCAGGCATTGACTGCTTCCCATCGCCATTGACGCATTTTTCTGATAGGTGGTTCACGATCTGAGTCGCTTTCGAAGATATGATCGGCTTCAGTTTGTCAACCTGTCGCTGGTTGAATACCTGGGCAAATGATTTTCGATTTTTCTTGTGCTTCTCGCCTTCCTGAACGACAATTTCTTCTCCGAAAAATTGGATTGTCCATCTGCGGAGGCCACTGGTCTTTTGGAATAGATACGACCGATTGGTGAGAACGTCAGATAGACTCTCCACATTGGTAGGAATCAAGTATTCAGCCCCCAAAAGTCCAAAAAAGTGAAGGATACCATCATTGGGGATTATGTTAACCCATTGAGTGATTTGGTTTCCCAGTGGCTGGTCAAAAATAGCTGACGCATTCTGGAAAAAAGAGCTCTCTCCCTGGGTGTCTTTTAGAAATTATATCCACGCGAGATAAACATCCTATGATGTATACCTTAGGCCCTGGTAGATCGTTATATAGGCTGGACCATTGCCGACCGAAAACTCTCCATCCAAGAGCTATCATACAATAAGATCCCCAAGTACCGCAAAGCCATGTGGCGAAGAGCCCTACTGACTCTAAACCAACACCAGACACACGACACCCAAGCCAAGTGATAGCCGCCCAGAATGACAGACTTATCACCAGTGTAGATCGAGGCGACATCTCGATTGGACGATTGAACATGCGTCGCTTCAGTCGTTTTGTGGCAGGAGGTGGGTGTGATAGCTATGGGTAGAATGTATCCCAAGGAAGCAAGGTTATATCCTAACCCCAAGCTCAAAAAGTCGCCGGGCGCTGGAACTTATTTAACAGTAGTAGCTTACCCTTATGAATTAATCGGGAATGTTGAGACTAGGTCCATAATTTAGGAACGGACCCGCATTTGTGACCATTCAAAACAAGATAGGTTGAACACTGTTATTTGAGCATAATCGATGGCTTATACGGTAATGATTGGGCCGAAGATATGAAGACTCATAAGATCAATAGCCATTGAAACATCCAGAGCATAAAAAATGAGTTTATCTATCAAAAACTAAGCTCAAAGAGCACGTTTTCTAACCGTTGAATGACAAGAGGAGACTTAATTATCCTTAGTTAAGCTAAGATAAACAATTTTGAAGCAGAAGTTGATGAGACAGTTGCAAATGACTTGATCAACAAGCGCTTTAGCTGCAGCACAGTCAAATAGGGGTGTGTTTATCCGTGCAAATTTCACCATTGGCAGATTCCACCAGGGTTATTGGATAAGATCTGAGTTAAACGATTGTGAAATCCCATATCTTGCTGCCTTGATGTAAATCATCGTTGTGTGAAGCTGGGGATCAATGGAATACTGGGAAACATGAGCATTTTTATATTTTTGGTTCGCCCTGGATATGTTGTAGCGTGAACCGTCTTCTCACGATAGGCTTAAGGCTACAGTGGCTAGCCTGAACCAACCAAGATTAGTTGTAACCTATAGCACATAATGTCACAGCAATACCCGGGACGGAAGTGCCAAAATATTTAATTAGTATTAGAATAATTAGCTTAGTATGGAATCAGCCAAAGATAGTATCTGATACACATTTAACGTCAAGTGAGGAATTCCTTGCTCTCATATGCCCCGGATTAAAGAGCTCCTAGGACCTATGTTTGTCAGTTCTGCTTGCGCATCAATAAAAATCTAACCACGTAAGATTTTTCAAATTCTCCATATCCTTCGTGGTAGCTTTCTGAGGCTCACGAAGTATCTGCACAGAGTCATTCTCCGAGTCAGACTGATGTGCCAATCGAATTGTTCCAAATTCCCGGCTTCCCATGGCGTTCCTGGGACACACTTGCAAGCTGCCGACATTGCTCCGTGAGTGCGAAAACGAGGTGTGATGCATCCCAAGCAAGGACCTAGAATGCAGTAGGGCAACTTCCCATCGCCGGTCACCAATGACCTTACGATATCTGGATACGTAGTCCCGGGCTGAGGTTACTTTCGGCAGACATACGCATATACGCATATCATGTCTACGCCCAGTTATCAAGCGGCATTGCCTCGCTAAAAGGCCAGTTTTACCAATCATCAATTTTGAATTTGCTCATACAGCCCTCTAGATTCCAAAGCTCAACCCTGTCAGTCCATGTCTATATTTTTCAGCAATGCCCTCTCCTCAGGAAATTTACCACCCTCTAGCGGCTGCAGGGCTACTCGATCCTGCCAGCCGTGTCGAATTGCCAAAAAGTAATGTAGTCGGGGCCTTCCTTCATGCCAACGCTGTCTTGTAGGTAGGGCTCCAAAGATGTGCTGTTATAAGACAGGCCGTCCAAACTCGCAACCTCCACCGCCGAGGCTAGCATCATCAAATCCAGAAGAGCAGGCCAATAGGTCAACGAAATACATCAATTTGAATTCCTTGGACGCCCACAGTCCTCAAAAGATTGTTCCCCTCACGGCTTTGAATGGAAATCAAACTAACGACGTCGATTTGGACGCTCAACCCTATGATAATTCGTCTACTTCTAGTCCCCCTACTACCACGGCATATTCCAAGATGAAACTCTCGGTGGGTCAAGCCCGTCCTCATTACTATGGGTTGATACGCGCTTCTAATTAAAATACTCAGGTATCGCTTCCACCTCCATTGCAACATCCGATTCTTGATCCCTACATGGCTGGGAGTGAGGGGCCGCACCGGATAGATCACCAACTCTTGTTGGTATTGAACTATCTCTTTGTCCGTGTCATGCTTCCTTATGACGAGGGTGCCATATGATGCATTATCTACCACCACTCTACTGACTAGGAAAGAACATTCGTCTCACAGTACAACAGACTTTTATCATGGCTACTCAGTACACGTGATGCTTTGATCCAAGCCAATTCTTTATACACTCTATCTGTAGCCGACATAGAGTCGCAAATTTAATGGCTCTTTTTTCTTTCAGGGAGATATAGATCGTCTGGCTCGAGCTTTTTACAACCATCCTTCCAAAGCGAAGTGTATCCATACCGGCCTTTTGGAGTAAGAGCGAGCATGGCATTAATCTACCTCGCCTTCTCAGGAATACAGCCGAAAGACGTACAGGATTACAAGTCCAAATACATCTGGCCGTATGGTGAACAATTTTACTCGTTAATGGCCTCCAGATTGAACCACTCGCCTTTATTGAAAACCCATATCTGCGTTTCTCAGTTGGAGGCCATGGTACACAGACTCCAAGCTTTACATCCAGAGGAAGTTCATGTGGCCCTTACAAGACGCCAAAGGATCTGCCTCGACAAGGATTATAGCATCGAGGAGTATTATCGGCAGGCATTCCTCTCGCTGCATCTAGGATTGCTGCCCAAAATTTACCAGCTCCTCCAAGAGCCCGTATCGACTGCAGAAGTGACCATGTGCCATTTGGCTCATCTCTATGCCGAGGCTTTCCAGAAAGCGCCATCCGTGGAGGCTCTTGAAGGCATGTTCACAAGTACTCCGGAGATTTTGGACTCAAAACCCGATATATAGAACTGTGGTCATTGAAATGTTCCACGTCAGACTGTTCCAGCAACTGAAGCAATTGAATTTGGGTAAGTTGTTATCTTTGAATTGAATCTTCATACAAGCTAATACCCATTGGTCTCCAGAAAATCCCTCTCATATCATGGTATTTCACGTTTCTCCCTCACAAAGTTTATTCAAGGGTGCAAGCCGAAGCTACATGCCTGAAATGGAGCCCCATCTGATTTCATTCAGTGCGAATGGGTTTCACATACTGTAAGAACCTTGTGATACAATCTGTCATAGAGATACAACACGCTGTCTGGGTGATTATTGTTTCATGTGACGTGGCAATCTCGGAAGGATTTCAAAGCTTACTTGGGAGCCTCCCTTAATCAATAATACCTTGGAATACAAATCGCCTCTCTTTGATCCTCTGAAACATGTCATCCTCCCATCACACAAGTACTCACATACGCAAAAAAGAATAGCCCTAGAGGATTCACAGATTTCCCCTATTCAGGAGGATGAGCTTATATACAAATAGAGTAATTTTGGAATAAATTGACTTGGCGCGACTTGAAATTGTGAATAATTTCACAGCAGTGGCATCTTCCCGATGTATGTAAGTTATTCTGCCAGCAATATCAGGCGATAAGTCTACGAGATGAAGATAGACTGGTTCAAACTCTCAATGTAAGGATATAGTTCAGCCTACAAGAGAAACGGTTATTTAAACAATACATCCAGATGGTGAACGATACTTACACCAACTAGTGTCGCGTGTGCCACGTTGATTTGGCCTTTTCCTGACTTGCAACCAGGAGGGACTGAGATAGTGAAATTTTGGTAGGGAGGGAGGAAGTCCTCATGAGAGACGGGGTTGAAATCGCCGTTGTACACAACAGTGCCCATATTCTCGCTAGCAGGAGAGCAACTTCCATTAGCACAGAAGGAGAAGCCAATAGCAACAGCCATCTCTTTGGAGTTCGTTAGGGAATTCTATATGCTCGAATTAGAGTGAGTCCTCATGATCAAAAATCAGGGAATAATAGTCACATACAGGGCGCAGGATCTGGACGATGAGATCACTTCTGGCAACAACCGTCTGCCTTTCTACGGGAAGCCTAATGGCAGCATTCTGAGCCATAGCAGCACTAACGAAGACAGTAAGAGCAGGAATGTACAGGGAGGATCGAAATCAGATTCACCATTTGCACACAGAGATTCTATCTCAAACCCTCTTTGAAAACACGCTATACCCATTGCGGTCGCTTTATCCTGACTCGGTTTCTTGGCAGTATTTCAGTAAAATTGTAAATTACAGCAAAAACGGCTTCCGTATTAGGCTTGTATGGCCTTCCGGCCTTCCGGCCTTCTAGAATGTTGATCATGAAACACAAGGGTTATTTGAGAGAGGGAGTCTTGGCGCCATGTTGAGAAGAGAGCTCTAGATAGGGTAGACCGTTGGCAGGGGCAGTGGTCGGCCACTAAGGATTGGGGGCGACTCCACCTGCTCACCCTTGCTCACCCCTCTGCTCAGTGAGCAGGTGAAATGATTTTGGGTAAAAAGTCCGGGGAATGCTAGGTATTAGGAAATGCACGTGATTTGGCAATCTCACAGTCCCTGGGAGCCCCGCCCGGCGCGTGTGGGGCATCTCAAAGCTGCGGACCTCATGAATGTGATTGCAGGTTGAGAAAATCATGCATGCGTTAGTTGGGGATCTCATAGTTTCTATTCGTGCCATTTAGAACGGGAAAAGGGCGATGAGATGGGATGAGGCTGGTTATCGCGTGCTGGTGCTGCACTTGGGGCCGAGTAAGTTCCTGGAAGGTGCTAGTTAGTCTCACCGTTGTCAGGACCGACCGAATGTTCTATGTGGGTTGCTGCCAATCGATTCCCGTCTCTTAGCGCCGCGAAAGTCACCTGATGATGAACCTAAGGTACCCCTCCTCCAGCTGAGTCGCAGACAACAAGGCTTCTCATGAACTATACTCCGTAAGAGGCATCGTTATTCGACTATGGCATCGATAGACTTCGGTGGCAAGAACAATCGACTCTATATCGCAAATAACCCCGGTTGGCCTCTACGTGAGTCAGGGGAGCGGGACAAGCTCGCGACTGTGACTAATCGCCGTATCCTATCCTAGTGCGACCGGAAACTCCACCCGGCCCTCTATCAACTATCCCGTTCCCTCGGGATCCGGACTTTGTCAGTCGCGACATACTACTTCATCGGATCCACGAGAAAAGCTCAGTGCCAGGGTCGAGAATCGCGCTGGTTGGCCTTGGAGGTGTCGGGTGAGTGGAAAACGACTAACTAGTATGTGATTTATTAACTACTCATTGCTTACAACGGCAAGAAAATCACATCTTGCCATCGAATACGGCTACCGGGTTCGGTTTGAGTCGCCAGCAACATGGGTCTTCTGGGTTCATGCGGACAACGAAGCCCGGTTCGAGCAAGGTTTCAGGGATATCGCAAACCAGGTTAAAATTCCAGGTCGTCAGGATCCTAAAGTTAACAGGTTCGCACTGGTTGAGAACTGGCTCCGGGATGACAACAGAGGAAAATGGCTATTGATCCTTGATAATTTCGATGACGATCAACTTCTTTACCAAGATCCGATAAACAGCCGAACAGACGCCTTGACAAAACCACTCTGGGAATATGTTCCTAAAAGTCGGAATGGATCTGTGATTATCACGAGTCGGACCAAAGAGGTGACGTTGAAGATAGTCGACCATAAGGACCTTATCGAAGTTAAACCTATGGAACAGTCTGAAGCGCTAGAACTTCTCCAAAAAAAAACTCGATCAACCAGGGGAAAGCCAAGAGGGTCAACAGTTAGTGAACGCGTTGGAGTTCATGCCGTTAGCGATTGTACAGGCCGCTAGCTATATACGAAATCGGGCACCTCGCTGTTCGGTATCGAAATACCTAAAAGACTTCCAGGGCAGTGACCGTAAAGCAACAGCGTTATTGATACAAGAGGCATATCACTCCTCCCGGGATTGGGAAGCAAAGAACTCAATTCTGCTGACGTGGCAATTATCATTCGATTATATACGCCAGACCAAGCCATCTGCAGCGGGATTGCTTTCTCTTATGAGCTTTTTTGATCGGCAAGGAATACCAGAGAGCCTTATCCGGCATCGACCTAAGGCTGCCTATATCTCTGATCCAGAGCTCTCTGACGACCCTAGCGATGGCGAGATATCTGAATATGGTGCTGACCTTGAATTTGAAGATAATATCAGAATGCTGAGAAACTATTCATTTATATCTATCAGCAAGAATGGCACTTCATTCAGGATGAGCAGGCTAGTGCAATTAAGTACGCACGCATGGTTAAAATCCCATGGAGAAATAGACCAGTGGAGGGAGAGGTTTATCAGGAATTTGTACCAGGAGTTTCCTATTGGTCGATATGAAAATTGGGGGAAATGCCGGTCGCTCTTTCCTCATGTTCGTTTAGCTATGTCCCAACGGCCGAAATCACCAGACTCTCTATTGAAATGGGCCACATTACTTTATAGAGGTGCATGGTATGCGTCGCAAAGCGGCAGCGTCACGGAGACAAGAGAAATGGCAGTAAAATCAAGAGACCAAAGAGTGACTTTACTAGGTGAAGAGCACAAAGAGGCTCTTGATAGCATAGCCATGTTGGCAATAGCATACCGACTTGATGGCCAGTGGGATGAGGCTGAGCAACTTGAGGTGCAGGTTTTGGAGACTCGCAAGATGACGCTCGGCGCGGACCATCCTGATACGCTGACAAGCATGGCCAATCTGGCATCGACGTACCGGAACCAGGGCCGATGGAATGAGGCCGAGCAACTTGAGGTGCAGGTCTTGGAGACTCGCAAGATGACGCTCGGCGCGGGCCATCCTGATACGCTGACAAGCATGGCCAATCTGGCATCGACGTACCGGAACCAGGGCCGATGGAATGAGGCCGAGCAACTTGAGGTGCAGGTCTTGGAGACTCGCAAGATGACGCTCGGCGCGGGCCATCCTGATACGCTGACAAGCATGGCCAATCTGGCATCGACGTACCGGAACCAGGGCCGATGGAATGAGGCCGAGCAACTTGAGGTGCAGGTTTTGGAGACTCGCAAGATGACGCTCGGCGCGGGCCATCCTGATACGCTGACAAGCATGGCCAATCTGGCATCGACGTACCGGAACCAGGGCCGATGGAATGAGGCCGAGCAACTTGAGGTGCAGGTTTTGGAGACTCGCAAGATGAACCTTGGCGTGGACCATCCTGATACGCTGACAAGCGTGGCCAATTTAGCATCGACGTACCGGAACCAGGGCCGATGGGAAGAGGCGGAGCGGCTCGAGGTACAGGTTTTGGAAACTCGCAAGATCAAGCTTGGCGCAGACCATCCTGATACACTAACAAGCGTAGCCAATCTGGCATCAACATACCTGAACCAGGGCCGATGGGAAGAGGCACAGCAGCTCGAGGTGCAGGTCTTAGAGACTCGCAAGATGAAGCTTGGCGCGGACCATCCTGATACGCTGACAAGCGTGGCCAATCTGGCATCGACGTACCGGAACCAGGGCCGATGGGAAGAGGCGGAGCGGCTCGAGGTACAGGTTTTGGAGACTCGCAAGATGAAGCTTGGCGCGGACCATCCTGATACGCTGACAAGCATGGCTAATCTGGCATCGACGTACCGGAACCAGGGCCGATGGAATGAGGCCGAGCAACTTGAGGTGCAGGTCTTGGAGACTCGCAGGCAGACGCCAGGGCTAGAGGATCTCCATACTCTAGACTTCTCCTCAGAGGCTCCCATACACAATAGATATGTGGGTTTGGTGGACTCGGATTCCTCCATTGAAAATGACTCAGTGTTTTCTGCTCCATTCTCCATCCCTAGCACCAGATCATTGGAATCTGCAAGAGGGGAGATGAATTCGCTGTTAATCCAAGAGTTTGCAAACTTGTTGATTGAAGATGGAGCCATGTTTTCTTTACTTTTGATCGGCGTATCAAAAGACTCGGTCGGATTCGAGAGGATGCGAAACAATTTTCGCAGATTGTTGAAACACTTTGCGAATAACCTCAAGGCAGAGATCCTCAATGGATCACACCAAGACCTAAGGAGATTCATAAGCTCATATTCGGCCATGATCACCCGCGAGGTCTTTGCTATGGTACCCATCGACGAGCGGCCAAACATCAAACCTCACGATTTAGAAACAGAAAATCGAATCACATCTGTTGAAAAACGCCTAGCTGACGAGAGCAAAGTGGAATCTTATCTTCAAAGTCTACACAGAAGTGGCGCTGCTCCTCAAACAAGTGAACTTATCCAGGTACTTGATCCTGATGATGAGGAAAGTGACCAAGACTCCGTGGCAGAGGAAGCTGGTGAGGATGACCCGTATGAGGGAAATTTGCAAAACTTGCATCAAATGAAGCATTTTATCTTGGAAAGTACCGCCTATCAAATCCTTCATCGTCGGCTCGGGGATTTTGTTGAACCTTCGCTGAACTCCAGATTTCGGGATCTGGTGATAAGGTGGTCAAATCCAGAACATAAGAACCATGCCGATGCTGTTCGGTATAAATTACGGAATCTTGCTACAGAGTTGCAGCACGTGAGCCCCTTTGGGATTCAGTTTGAACGTGACGAAATCAGTTCTCCATTTTTCAGGTTCATGAGCCACTGTCAGCATTTAATTGAGCGCTGGACTGGAGAGCATTGGGATTGGTGGCCATTACCTCGCTGTCTGAGACCACTTGCAGAATCGGAGACACGATTACGGTGGGAGTGCGTGAGTTAACAAATTATAGAAAATCTTACACAACATAGATCCAGACCTAATTCGTGATCCAGTTATGTGGTGAAGAGCGATGGGCAGAGGTACCAAACACCCTTGTCAAACGCCTCCAGTCCATAATCAGAAGTCTTCCCGTGGATACCTTAGCGACCCAAATTACGCAACCTCCTCCAGAGGCACATAATATATCTGACCCGAATCCTCGCAGCGCCCTAAACACTAGTCTAATCTCCAGCCAGATCTTTTATCAAGATCACAGAGGCCAGCAGCCAAGCGGTTCACCCTCCAACTCTTCACTTCATCGTCCACCCTCAGGACTTAAGGCCGATATGAGCATCACTCAGCACCGCGTCCTCTTTCTCGCGAAGCGGGGTGGAGATTATAGGCTCGCACAGATATGTGTTAGTAATATGACTTGTCATACCTTCTTCAGTACTATGAAAATGGAGTATTTACGCCTCCGAGGTGTCTTACGAGGCTGGTTTAGCGTCTGGAGGTACTCTCATTGTGACTTTTACAAAGTAAGTGTTTTTATTTTGTACTTCAGGATGGGTTTTAAAGTATAAAACTTGCAGTTCGTCAAGTTTGATGACCGCGAGTTCGCGCTCAGAATCAAAGATTCATTCCCCGACTATGCAAATACCGATTACGAGTATCAACCAAGACCAATGGAAAACATTCCGCCAATCTCAGAGCACGAATTCACGAAACGTTTCTACGCCTGTCACAACCCACGACCACTACTTCACTTGCACCATGAATGTAGAAGGCTGGGGGCACATTCCTCTGACATCCTGAAGTTCCTCCCAAAGAAAAAAACCGAACTCGAAGAAGCAGGCAACAAGCGAGAGGATTTCTGGGGGATCTATGCGCGCGAAATCATAAGCCTACGTTGGATCATTTTCTATAATTTTGTCTGTGTTTCACCTCTGCTAGTATTCTTCTTGGCATGGATTGTACCCCAGGGACTTGGCACAGACTTACAAAACCCATCTATCCCTCTTTCCATCATGATCTCAATGCTTTCCCTGTTTTGGAGCGTGTTTCTCAGCAGTCTGCAATTTGGACGGTGTCATTGAATTGTTTATTGTTCATGATATGTTTAGCTGACATAGTATTGACTAATCCATTCGGAAAAGCCCTGCTAATCTCAAGAATAATATAATTGGCAAAGTGAATAAACCCTTCCTAGACTGAAATAATTGCGTCTAGTGACCACACTTTTCTTTAATTATTTTCAAATTCCACGGGGAAATTCACCGCATCTGCGACAACCAGATGGATATAGCCTCACATATTCTCCTGGCTGACGAGCGTTGTTCTGAAGCCCGCTGAACATAACGATTTTTTCAAGCAATTCCTGGATATGCTGTAATTTTCCAGAATAATCTCTGTATCGTAGATTGACTCAGTGCAATTCAAGCGCAAGCCGGAGCCTTTTTATCGTGAGAAACGCCCCTTGCAAGAGGCTTGGCAAGGATGACGGAAGTGGTTCAACCGGGGGTGGGGAACTGCGAGGCGGCAGTATCTTTTCGCAAGGCCATTTCATGTAATTTATAAAACCTTGTGTCACGTGATATATTTTCAATACATTTCGATTCTCGAAGCAAAGCTAAGTCAGATAAAGATTAGCGTGTTTTGGAATAGGGTTTGAGCAAGAGTCTCTATGTTTAAGTGGTGAAACTGATTTCGATCCATCCTGTAGTTCATCTCGATAGCGGAAGAACTTTGAGAATTGAGACATAGATTTAATATTCCAACTGAGGGAGATCGTCATTTATCTTTCCATGTCCCTTTCCCCGGCAAAGACCCTGTAACAGGGCCGATGTAGCAAAGTTTCAAAGCAACCATGATGGTTTCTCTGCGGGTCTTGCTCAGATGTACTTGTTGAAAAGGAGTTTAGCTTCGTCCTTCTGAATATGTACGCTGTTTGTATCTGTTGGCTGTGCATGCGGGGTATGGCAATCTGTGTTGCAAATCCAAGTTGAATATACGGTTGTATTTACGACGAGACTATAACTAAAGATATTGAGGCTGGTGCTTGTTGATGTTTGGTGATGTCTGGTGATGGAGTTATATGCTGCTGGTGAATATAATATGTGTTTAGTGCTTGGTGATGGTCAGTAATAGGGTATGTTGATAGAGCGTGTTGATGGCCCGTTCAAAGATCAAGGGAGTCATAACCTTGGATCACCGTCGAACACGCAGCCGATCAGCAACGCACGTTTACCGTTGCAAGAAACGCTCAGATCACTGCTACCTCTGATCCCATCCCTATTTTGCCCCCCGCTCTTCATCAAAAAGATGAATTAACCTGCAAGTCAGGGTGCCTCCTTGGAGCAACGCTGAAAAGTATCCGCGAAAGTCAACGCGGACCCACATGGCGCTTCGGTGTTTAACCGAAAACTCCTCTGCACTATGTGATTGCCTATCTACAATTAATAATATTTTTAATAATTACATGGACAATATGAATAAACTCTTTCGTCCTTCTTCTATTCTGAGTTACTGCACAACCTTTTTGTTCGCTGGGCATTAGGTGATCGTCAAAGTAGTCGGGCTAAAAAGCTTTAATTTGAGATTTTAGTGATGCTTGGTGATGCTTGGTGATAGCCCTTCAAAGATAGATGGAGGGGGGGAGTGACAACCTTGAAGAACCACGCCCTTAGTTAGAACGTGCAGCTGATCGGTAACGCCCGCTTACCGCTGCAATAAACACTCAGATCACCGCGACTGTTGAATCTGTTTCTATCCTACTGTCGGGCCCCTTGAAAAATGAAGTCAAAGCGATGAATAAGCCCTACTTCACTTGTTACGTCAGTATAGCTCCTGGGAGCCTCGTTGAAATTGATGCCAGGTACTGTATACGCCAAAGCCCACACAGACCCAAATAGCGCATCCGAGTTCACCTGAATCGAAAACCCGCTTTCATTATTCCTTTGCGCTATTTCTTATAGTGTACAATATCTATTTCTTAATAAGGTCTAGCGTATCTGAGCATTTAGGGCATGGGGAACAATGAAAGAGTGTGGGGGGGCGGGGGGGGTGACACCGATTTCCGGAAATACTGTACAAGAACTTCCAGTTTAGAGTACCGACCCGCGGGTCGAGAGTAATATTAGTAATACTGAGTGGGGCCGGTTGCCTTAGACAGAGCTGACGAAGTATCTCGGTTCCAGACCGCCTACTGCTACGAAAAGTATCATCATTTTTTTGGGAATCTGCCGCGATAATTTCTGCCGCATATTTTCTGCCACATACTTTCTGCCACGATATTTTCTGCCAGATATTTTCTGCCGCGATCTTTTCTGCGGCATATTTTCTGCCACGATATTTTCTGCCACATACTTTCTTCCATATACTTTCTGCCGCGATATTTTCTGCCACATATTTTCTGCCACATATTTTCCACTACCATCTTCCCTTATTCGCCTAGTCACCAGGTATGACCCTAATCTGGCTAGTTCATGAATCATCACGATCATCTGATATAGAGACAAAAGTTAAACTGCAACCTCCAGGGTCCGAATCCATGAAATACACTTTTCGGGTCCGGTGTGCCTCTTATGTGAACACCGTATTTGTCTTATACAGTAATCACTTGATCCGAATGTTTCCTTCCCTATCTGAAGAGTAATTCTAAGTCTTAGCTAGCCCAAACATCATTCTGAACTAATATTTGAGGTGTGTTACCAAGTGTCTCTCTTGTGAACTGCTGATTTTATATATTAGACTCGGTTGAAGCTTCAGAAGCAGTCTAGAAGATGAGATATATTTCACCGTGCAATTCTTTGCATTAGTCTTCTTTTGTGGCAATGTGGGAATAATTAGAGCGCAAAAAGAGCCTGTGAAAGTCCGGCTCATCCTGGGATACTGGCGTATGCATTTGCTTGATTGACTTAATGTCATCACATGATCTATCGAGTCGAACTATTGTCTTGATGCTTAGAAGTCTGGTAAAGGGCCTACTGTTTATCACTCGAAGGAAAAAAGTGCGTCAATGATATTTATTATTGAGAAATGAATGAAGACAAGAAGGGAAGAAGCAGGATAAATATTTAGATTGACCTCATCCTCCTAACAGGTTTTATTGGCAAGGTGTTTGTAATACACACCTGATCGCACAATTCGGTCATCCATCCTGTAGCATGAAATTTAGAGATGATTTATTGTTTTCCCTCGATCTTTGTATTCCAGTGCACTTGTAGAGACCCCTGCTTTCTCCCAGGGAATATCCGACTGAACCTCCTGGTCACTTCTGACCAGGAAAGAGCTTGTTCCTTCCGAAGCTTGATGAGAAGGTCATCCTCTTCCGCAGAATAATTTAGCCCTTTCCTTGAGGATGCTGAATGCTCGACCACGTTTATATCTGGGAACAATTCCGTGGATGGTAGAGTTGAAGTTCCTTCATCTTCCGGGATCAATCCTGATGCCGAAGCGCAGTTCGCGATCGATGCAGTGTAGCTGCATTGAGATATAGCACCCTGAAACAGCCAGGACAAGAACTCGAGTTTCGCTTCGACCGGGAGTGAAGAGAATTGATCCTGCAGACGAGAAGATGGTATTGGAACAGGACTACCTGCTCGGGGATTCCGGCCCATTCGATTCCTGTGACGATTGTCCACAAGAACAGAAAGATTATTTCTTCCAGGCTGTGGTCGCCCTGGTTTCATCACTTTCTGCGGATTTTCGCTCACAGGATGGCGATGAATGGATACATCCGATGAACGAGAAGGCGACATAACTTCAGAAATGTCTTCATCTGCGGATGTTTGCGTACTGTTTTGGGAATAAAAGTCCTCCAAAATTTGCGGATCAATTACTGTATCAGGAAACTCGCCATTCAGAACAGAGCTTCCAGTGTTTCCAGCATGAGGGTGCTGGATGGCAGTGCTGGGGAGCCCTGAAGCGCCTGATTGGTCTGACTCAACACCGGGTGATTGCTGAGAGACTTCACCCAGATTGTCACAAACCATTACATGGTCAATTTCTGGGGATTCTGATGACACTTGCGGTGCGGGAGTATCCCGGAAGTCCAACGCCTGATCCTCCACAGCAAGTTGGGGCTGCGTGTTTATCTCATGTTGTAGGCCGTCATTCATGCAAACCTCCACTGGCGGTCGTGGAGGCAAAGGGTGTCGTTCATAGTTATAAGGTTGAACATTGGGCTTTGTTGAGACTGGGTCGCGAGAGCCGGAGGGGGGGCGAGGTAGTGGTGATCGAGACTGGACTTGGATAACGACAAGTATCGAGAGAATCCTGCAGAGCCTGCGCTTTTTTCTGAGAAGGCTTCCAAAGCTGGAAGGACTCTAAACGGAAGCTACCGTTCGACATGTTGTGTAAATAGGGCGGCTCAGTTAGGTTCACGGGATAAGGGGATTGATTTTATTTGTACAAATGTAGCAGACAGGATCGGGACTTTGGGCAGGGCAGTGAGTAAAGCAGTGGATAGGGCAGATTGCGATGATGAAGGGGGAGATTTCAGGGGAGTTGGATTGTAGTTTTCCCATCTGAATGGGATTGTAGTCCCTTTTATAGACTGCGGAAATCGATCTCCTTTGCCGCATAGAACACGAAGATCAACTCCCGCAGCCCAGTCGACTGCATGAGTTACGAAGATACGCAATTTCCGTACCCGGATTCTCCGCTTCTCGCTAATAGTTCGCGAGCAATCATCCACCAGCTCTACCTCGTTTCCGGAGTGATGGTGGGGTCCTACTGTGGCAAAAGCAGATATCTGACACGCGATAGGGCACAACGCTAGGGCAGCCCAGCGTGCTCTATTTTCGCTATTGGGTTGCACCACCGTTGCATGCTGTTGAGGTTTATTGATTGGGCGCAGATCAGTCGGAGAGGCCGATGATGACGACAATTGTGAAGCCTCTAGGAGTAGATCCGCAATGCCAAGGGCTGTTCATTGTAACGTCCGATAGAGCATCAGATGTGGCGAATGAAGTGGAGCATTGAGCATTGAGGAGCAACCGACGGGAACAAGCAAGCCTCGCCAACAAGAAGAATCGCGTAATGTGTTATAGCAGGGTCAATGACGCCTTTTGCAGGTAAGTAAATGTAAAAACAGCATTATCAAGCAACTAGACGGGGCGACTAGATGATTTCAAGCTGACAATTGCAGTGGAAGACTGAACTAGGTGCCGATTTTAGTCCTAGGCAACCGGAGACAGCGGTATTTCCGCGAGATGAAAGGGGCACTACATTGCGGCGAGAGCCAATGCGCAGGCGAGAGCGGGGCTGAAAAAGAAAGGGGCCAGGAGGGTAGGCAGGGTGTATGAGAGGCAGAAGTGCGTTGATAGTTCAATGGGATGGGCGAGCGGCGTTTTATAGATGGATGGCAGATGACCGGGGCGGTAAAAGCGGCCAGCGTAGGCGCTAAGCCTAAAGCGGGTCAGGGGTGGGTTACAGTACCCGAACGGGCAGGGATATGGCGAAATCAAGCAGGCGGTAGAGAGCGGCATATGAATGGTTCAATCACGGCCATTTCTGGCGCCCCGCTAACCGTCACAACAATTACTCCTAAGATATATAAATTGGACTATAAGCTATTTACTATTAAGGGATAGATGGTGGTACTAAAAGACTATATTAAGATCCTGGGTATTATAATGGATATAAGACTTAAGTATAAGGAATATATTATAAGGGTAGCGTCTAAGGGTCTTAAAGTAGTGATAGAGCTTTAGTAACTCCATGGTCTATCTACGGTAACTATGTGGTAGCTATTTATATCGATAGTGGTACTAGTTATGGACTATATCTCTAATATCTAGATATATACATGTAAGGATAAAGCTATAGGACCGATTAACTAAGTCTAAAGAGTAGGAGCGTAAGCTATTGTAGGGACCTTTCTTATGGTTACGACTAGTGTCATAGAGGCAGAGGCTTATATAACTCCTATATAATATTAATTTTAGAAATGAGCTATGAAAATGTGGATAGATATCTATACCTTACTAGAAACTAATCCTCTCTACTAGTATATAGATTAGATTAGGAAGTTTAGAAGATACTACCGCTTACTATTATATCACGTAGCTGATATACTTAAGTATATTAATATAGAAACCCTAGAAATGATTAACCCCTTTATACTAGCCCTATAGGTGGTATGCGTATAGACCGATATTAAAGAATAGCATAAGGCCCCGGCTAAAGTAGGTAGGTGCATATAGGTTGTGGTTAGCAGCTCGGCACAGAATAAGCTAGTAGGGTTTAGAGTAGCTATCGAGAAGCGGCCACCTCAAAATCGAAAACTTAAACATAAAGCGCTATCTATTACCTTAGCTATAAGAGTAGAGTAGAATCTATTCTCTGCGGAACTAGTAGCTATAGCATACGTATTAGGCACAGTGATAGGACTAAAAGATTATATGATCATACTGCTTATAAGTAATAAAGTGGTGGTACTTACGCTTAGGAACCCCTAACAATAATCTGGCTAGGAGTTTGTGTCTTGGATATATAAGTCGATTAAAAGGTTGCAGAGAAATAGAAACTATATCCAATCCTGCTGGATTTCCACTAGCGAAGATAATAAGCTACTAGGCCTGGCTAAAGCATAGGCAAGAGCTGCGACAAAAGAAGACGCCCTTATATAAGAATATGCCCTAAGGATGAAATTAACCATACTTAATCTTATACAGTCTTAAGTAGTCCTACGAAATACCCTACCAGCAGACATCGGAAAGCATACTAAACAAGTAGATACAGCGCTTCTAGGAAAATATATGCGACTGCTGTATGATTGCCTGTCATGGAAGGAAGCGACTATGCTGGCCTAGCTCCGGACTAGCATGGCGAGACTGAATGGATACCTCTATCGAATTAATGTAGCGGATATTGATTAGTATGCGTGTGGACAAGCTAAGGAAACCGTGGAGCATTTCCTCTTTCGATGCCGGAAGTGGACCGTATACCAGATGGATATGCTATAATACACCGATATATACCAAGGGAACCTATCCTTCTACCTAGGAGGGAAATCGCCTTCCAATAATGAAAAATGGGTACCAAAATTAGAGGTAGTACAGGCCTTAATACGATTCGCTATTGCCACGGGCCGCCTCGAGGCCACTTAATCACACCAACAAACATAAATCACCCCCTTTCTTTCTACCTAACTTACCAACTACCTCGTGCTACTTATGGTGGATATGCTTCAACTGCCGAAGATAGGATGTTGAACACTTAGAGAAACACCTTCAAGCTAGTCTACTAACCAAATTACTAACCCACGAGCATCTGTTACGACACTGCATGATGGGAATGACATATGAGGCAAGCTTCTATGTATGGGCTGCAATTAGACACAGAACTGTATATATTATGACATGTATAGTAGATTAGCAATAGTTGCCCTTTCGGCTCAGCCGCCGGGTGTTAATGAATTGTGTGTGTGTGTATAAGCTTTGACCACCTCGTGCTACTCATGGTAGACGCGCTTCAACTGCCGAAGATAGGATGTTGAACACTTGGAGAAGCGCCTTCAAGCCAGTCTACTAACCAAATTACTAACCCACGAGCTTCCGCTGCGACACTGCATGCTGAGAATGACACGTACGGCAAGTTTCTGCATGGGCTTCAATGGGACACAGCAATGTATATATTATGATATGTATAGTAGAGTAGCGATAGTTGCCCTTTCGGCTCCGCCGCCGGGCGTTAATGAATTGTTTGTTTGTTTGTTTGTATTAAGCTTTTAACATTCATGGTTCGCTTGGCAATTGATACACTAGGACCGCTGGTTTCCGCCACTTTGGTTTTTGGAATTCGCAAGAAACAGACGCTTTTTCAATGCTTTGTATTGCTTCATATCTCACATTTAATCTTCCTTTGGCTGCTGAAAATTCTCTGAGCCGGGACCTACGGCAATTAACTTGATTTTCTGATTTTTGAACCAACACTCACGTTGTGTAATCTCTGGCATATTGCATTCACCCTGCCATCTCGCAATTAAAATGAAAGACTGAATTTAATCCAAAAATAGGAAACTCGATAATGAAAGTAGTTACAATTTAAGCCACTCATGCTGTAGCAGTTCTGCGGCCGACTTTCGATTTGTTGGGTCAATTGTGAGCATACCTCGAAGAAAGTCAATGAAAATGGGAATTTCAGCGTCGGACATGTCGTTAGGTCTGAGGAAAGGCCTCTCAGTGCCATCTATGAGTCTTTCGAGACTTGTCGATGTCAGATCTGAGATTCGAAGAAGGCTGCCTAAGGAGAATTAGTAAAGTTAGGAAAACATGATATTGGCATTTGCTTTTTCAAAGAAAGGCATACCATCCGTATTAAAAAATTCTGCAGTTCTGTTTCCTTTCCGAAGAAGCTCAGGCGGGAAATTGCCAAGTATTTCGATTGTCCTTGCGAGCCGGTCATCATCAACCGTCCACGAACCGTTTTTTGCTGCCACTCCAGAGAAAGGCACTATCCCTTGCATAAACTCAATAATCTGTTGAAAATTAGGAAATGAAAAACGATTTGAACGAATATATTGAACACTCACAAGGCAACCGAGGCTCCAGATATCAACCCTAGCATCCCAATGGGCACCGATTGTGACTTCTGGTGCTCGTAAAGCTGGAGATTGAACCACATCCGAAAGATGATTGTCTGACCAAGAAGCTACAGCCAGTGTAAGTGTCGCCTAGAAAGATGACAAGACGAGTGATACGTACCAACACCGAAGTCAACTATTCTGATGTGCAGCTCACGCATTTGAGAGATGAGCGGCGTCCTGATGACCTCTCTGAGTGGCTTTGTAACACCAAACTCATTACTAATCCGTTCAGGAACTTCAGATAGATATTTATCAATGGTTTCTTGCGGATTTTCCAGCTCGAGTAGTATATTAGTAGGTTTTAGATCTGTATATCGACCATAATTAGCGCCATTATTGTGGGTAGAAGGCGGTTCGCAGTACCGGTATGAATGATTCCACACTCCCTATGGAGGAAATCCAACCCCAGTAGAAGCTGTCGCGCTACAATTCTTACTGCCTTGAGAGGCAATCTCCCATCTTCGTATTTTGCGGTTTGAAAATCCAAATGGTGGCCCAACACGTCGAACACAAAGCATACGTGTTGTCCATTTGGCCCTTCGTGTTCGAATTGATCCAGAAGGGGTAACACGTAGTGTCGGCCTCCATGGTTGCTTTTCCCATAAATATCGGATAATCTCGAGAGAATTTCTCGCTCGAAGATGTCGTGCGAGCCACCGTAGCAATCGGCTCTTAGTATTTTGAGGGCCACATACCTCTGAGCCCTTCAGTACTTGATAAGTTGCATGGTTGACAAATGTGGAAAATTACACTCACTTGGAATCCCTAGCTAACCAAACGGTAGAATATTGCCCGTAGCCTAGTTTCCTCATCACTTTGTATGCGCCAGAGTTGAAAGTGTCTCCAAGCGAAACGGGATGGAAGCCTCCAGTAGAATAAAAGTCCGCCTCTTCTGTTGGTTGGTGTGGGTTGGGAGATCTTGATGAAACAGGTTCGAAGAATTTGCCGAGCCAAGCTCGAGAATTTACCCGAGTCAAAACTTTTTTGAAAGTAGTCATCATCTTGAGATGTTATTTGCAGAAATTGTGGCATGAACCTTTTGAACCGCTCGTCGGACAAAATATAAATGATCCCAGGGGGGGGTCGGGGACAGTTATTTTATAAGTTCCAAGGCGCTGCAGTCACGTGATATCTATAGTCAGCTAGCTCGCTCCTGTGCCAAGAGTATTACATATTTTAGGCATTAACGCGTGAGGTTCAGCTGCTGGGTGTCTGTACACGAAGATCTACGATCCAAATCATATCCGGGACATGCAACGATCAAATGTGATAAATGAGGATCTTATCGTAAGTCGACCGCGCTGGCTTCCCCTTTTGCAGCTCGGCAGTAGTTCATCTCCACGGTCGCACCGATGTGACTCAATGTCTCCATATGTCTCCACTCATGCATTCCTCTGTCCATCAAGCATCTCTTTGTAATTAATTATCTAGCGGATTGGGCGTTAATTTTCTTGGAATATTATCTATCTACTACTCTTTCTGCGTTGCTTAAGCTGTGGCTACTGTCGAGCTAATCTACATGGAAATTTATTATTACTACTACTAGTTGCTTTCACAGGCCCAGTGAGCTACTTGTAGGAGAAAGGCGATTTCCACTTTTGGCTAAACAGTATGCGTTTTTCAACAACATAGAGATATGAATGATATGTATTCCATTTATACAAACACCCCCCCCCCCAACCTCCTGGGGGTAGCCAAAAACACTTTTTTCCCCCGGTCCCGTTCCTGTTACATCTCAGACCTCCCGACCGACAATGTTCAATCAATAAAGCTGGGTCCCGACTCATAAGGAAAGCGCAGCGCATATCACAGTTTCATGGAGCGATTTAATCAACATCACATGCGTCTGAGCCGCATAGCAAAGTCAATGTACATCAATAGACATGTCTCTTTGTCACAAATTCACCATCCTCTTTGATCATCTCGACCGTCCAGTGCTCTCCTCTGGGATCCGGATTTCTGGGATCATTGTGTTTCGGTCCCCTGTTTTGGTGAGTAAGCCGGCCTTTGACTTATGTATAAGCACTCACTTGACAACCGCTTCAGAAACTCCTCGTTTCTCCATGCTCTCCTTGTTGACATCGTAGAACTTTTTGATGGCTGTCTCGGCTTCTTGGCGCTTCTCGGGGCTATTCTTATAGATATCTTCCCTGAACCATCTTATGGCCCTGAGGGGGTAGCCTAGAATGGGAGTTCGAAACATGATAAATGTAAGGTTGAAAAAAAATAACTTTATCAATGACTGTCCAAGTTGAAACAATTGGGTTCAGGTTGGACGGCGAAAGACGCTGCTATTTAACTTCTACAATACTTGGTATTTTGAACTTCTTAAAATTGCGCATAAAGAACAGGAATAATGCACTCCAATCACTAAACGCTTGGGCCTTTAAGTGCATTTGCTGATCAAATAAACTAGAGTCAAACTACGGGACAACACGCGACAGGCCATAACATGTCAGTACACGGGACGCCCGTCCCACATTGGCAAATATTTTGGTTACAGCGCGGCGCCAAACCTGTCTGCGGCTTATTCGGGACCCACCACTCGACCTCTAGGCCACCTATCCGATCAACCATTTCTCGGTCTGCCTCGAGAATTAGAAACAACCCCCCCCCCCCTGCCCCCCCTCCCCGAAAGCAGATACCTAAAATAGATTGGCGCCGAGAATGACAGACAATTGAGTTTCCTCCGCTTCCTTGCGAACGCAGACCTGGTTGGTTATCTGGTTGGCTATGCGCTAAGTTTCACTTGTTGACATGATGCTGTTTTGGTTTTCTGTTTTTGGTCTAAGAGACATCTCGGCAGCAGGGTCCTCATATGCACCGCCGCGGAGATCATTGGTATGGCGTTAATACCCTTAGGTCCCTATTGTCTATAGAAACGGAAATGACCGGATGTGGGAACAATACTGCCTTTCCATCCGTAGGCCATCACTCATCAGGCCATTCGAAGTACTTGGTCGCAAAGCCGCAAGAGTTTCAGTTAGTGCCCAAGAAGATCCGCAAATCTTCGCGCTCGGGGCTCTACTGGACGCTTCAGAAGGAGGCATCATTTATTTGCAGCTTAATGTCACCTGTCAACTTAACTTATTTTTTCAATTGTGGCTCTGGCCGCGCGCGCTACATCCCAAAGCCTCGGCAGCAACGAGAACTCATTCGTTGGTCGAGAACTAACACTGGCTACCCCGTATAACTACTCTTTTGAGGCTACTTTTGAAGTCATCACGGGGACCTGGGGCCAGTATCGAATATGAATGTTACCCTAATGTGATTGATGAAATTCGCCCTACGGCTGCCTTGTAATGGAAATATTTACTTTAGTCCGTGCGCGATGAACAACCGCGAAATATAAATGCCGAGCCTACTGACGAACCACAGCCTGAATTGGAATGAGGTGTCTATCCGCGAAGTAGTACCACCTTTCTCAAGTCCCGCAACAATGTTCGGAGGAAATTAAAAAGTTAGTCAAGTTTTCTTTGGGGCGCGCATAACAGCTCTCGTAGCCCCGTACAAACAGAATCATGCCGCAAGCAAACTCGTCCGAGACGTGCGCCTCATTTGGTTGGGCTGTGTTGGTTACGCTTCGTGTCAGTCAGCGGTTCACTGGTTCGCGAGGGTTGCGTGATGGACAGGGTCATGCTCCCTGAGCCTTTGAATAGCCGCCAGGGTAATCTTTGAGTCATGTGCGAGTAACTATTGTTTCCTGCCAACCTTATGTTGCTTTACCAGTGACCCTAAATAGGCCTGGAGGGGTTTTGTCTCGGAACGGAAAAGTCAAAAAATGGCATTAAGAAGTGTGAATGAATCGACACTCTCAAATGCTGAGAGTTATTGCAAATTGATGGCATTTGCTGTGATGATAGTAGCTAATGCACCAATGGAGAAATTCTGTTCAGGCCGTTTTGGGTGCCCAAAAGGTTAAAATATCACGTGATGCGAAAGGTGCCAATTCGCGGTCCCGCCCACATGACCCCGCCAGTGATGCCACTTTTATTGAAAACCATTTACGAACACTTCAACATACAAGTTTGGCTCGCCAAGCCGCAGAAAAGTCATGGAACCAGGGCATGAAATTCAGCAGGCAATAGAGACGCGGCGAATTAATACTCAACAAGAAGAGGAGCCCCAAGCACGAAACATTCAGCAAGCAGTCGATCATCTTATTGCGGACGAAGCGGAACGAACGATCCGAGATTCTGGACAAGACCTTATGTCAGAGAATAAAGATCCAGCAGGGAAGCATTATCCGTTCCGCATCCTGCAGGCAAATAAATACGTCGAGCGTGTGGTCCTCGAATGGTTCAAGGTCAGTGGCTTGGCCTTTGTCCTCGCCAGATTGCTTACAGACTACAGAATCCTGCAAATATCGAGAGAGTAGGCAATCACTTTCGACGCCCGGTGTCTTCGAATCCAAAAGCACATTTACTCCAATGGTTCCTAATATCAACCGCCCACATGCCTCGCCCTGGGACCATGAGTCAGGGCATGTCCCCCGATGACAAGACTAAAGTCATTGTCTGGATTGCGTTAGGGAAGCTTGGATTTGACAATGGACTTCTATATGAGATGGAAAGCGGGCAGGATATGAGTCTAGATGGCCATGAAAAAATAACATTCTCGGGCAAGGCTGGGGGGGCTAGCCGTGCTGCTTTTACTGAGTATGTGAAGCAAAGCGCACTATCGCTATAGATCAAGAATGGGAGTGAATGAACATATGCAATTTAAGTGAGCTATCAACTTGACCAATTTTCGCCGGGATTAAAAGGTGGCAGAGGGTTCGAAAGTGAATCAACGATTGCGAAGTCCTGAAGTGACATTGAATCCGAGAGTGAATCCCAGCCCAATGGCAGATATGTAGGTGTAGCACCTAGTGGTGGCAGTGGGTTGGAGACGGTTTCGTAAAAACCCTGGGCTTGAGGTTGGTGAATTCTTGTCTCGCTTGCCCCAACAGTAACACTCCAATGATTTGCTTGACTAATTCGGTGGAACGGAGGCTCGAGTGCCGAATATGCCTGCTCCCAATCGATAGGACTGTGGAGATTACCCGAGAAGGGTGGAAGGGGATTGAGCACGGGTTGTGGCTCGAGGTTAGTCTGTAGGCTTACTGAGCCGCTAAGCGCTGCGTTGTCTGTCGAAATTGCATGGAGTATTTGATCCGACCTCATCTCATTGACACACCCTTGGGTTTTCGATAGGCTTGAATGATGATGAGGGATTGAGATAGCTCCGGCAGCACCTGTTGCCTTGGTTGAATTTTCTTGGACATCTGCATTTCCCACCATTTGTTCGCTATTGGGGGAATTGAAACATGGAATGGGTTGGTAATGAATTGAGATTTCATTCTGCGTATGAGCCTCTTCTGCACTCGGAGGGCCTTCGCTTTCTGGTGTTAACGTATTGGCCTCGGGTGGCGTTGGCGAGTGCGAGTCGGTGATAAAGGGAGCTCTCTCAGAGTACTTCCCCCCCAACATAATAAGACGTAATAGAGCTCATTGCCCTGGAAAGGTAAGATCGAATCTGATACTGCGGAAGAGTTTTGACATATTGGTTCAGCGCTTCTAACTCAACCGAGGACCAGGCAAATCTCTCGAATCTTGCCAAAAAGTTAGCTAATATCTCACTTTGTGGCGAAGTAACCTACTTTTTGGTTTTAGCATGCTGAAGAGAGAGGACGATTCCAGGCTGAGCTAATTGCATCCATTTCCAACCGTAGAGAGAATGTTCGGTTAACCGCTTCTTTATCTTACCTCTTTCATTCGGTTGAAGCCGGGGCCATAAGTCATGCACCAAGGCATGCATTGCGGATGGCAGAAAGACCCTTTCTCGCTGCTTTCGAGATTTGTTCCTCTTTTCCCTGCCTCTTCGCCCCGAAAGGCGGATTGTCTCTTGTACTTCTCGCACGTGTTGGGCAAGTATTATTAATATGACTTTTCGTCGAAACGGATCGACTTCGTCCATTCTCCGTAAATCTTCGTAGCAACGAAGAACGGTATTTTCGTGGGCCATCTCACCAAACCAAAAAAGCTCTGGCTTGGTTGACCAAATCACTGAGCATGCTAACAAAGCGTTGATCTCTTCTTCTGAAAGCTCCCAATTGGAGGTGATGTGTGCAAGTGTGTTCGATTCTTGAGCTCCGAGTTTTGCGCCATTGTTTGACGTAAACTGCTGAAACCATCTACGACGCTCCTTGAAATTGGCATCGTCTTTTCTTTCTGATTGGCGTTTTAGTTGACTGCGTAGCGCTTTATGGAGTGCCGTGACCTCATCTGATGAGTTGAGTATGCCTTCCAATATATCACAAATATCCTACTTTCTTTAGACTTTCGGCCAGGGAAGTTCATGGGCTGGGCACATACATTAGCACCGGCTTTGAGGAGGAGATGCTTCAAATCGCTTATGCTTGCGTGGATATCTTCCTCAAGCTATTATGTATTAGCAAAGCAATAGCATCCAGCATTCATCCACTGACTTTGGAGATCATTTCGAAGTATGGGAGACAAAAAGTAGGTTGAGAAGAGGGAAATGGGGAGGCACCGGACCACAATGCCCTCTACTATTTGGGCACATGTCAGGTGCTCAGTCCCTCACGCTAATGCACAAGTAGGGGTGGCACTTGTCTGCCCGGGCAGACAAGTGCCACCCCTACTAAATAGAACCTAGCGTCTCTTCGCAGAAATAATTGTCAGACTTGTCTTAGCCGCAAACCAGGGGTACGTGTGAGACGCTATCTAGCAGCGACCACCCGCATCGCGTGCGACCGAACCTGTATTTCGCAAGGATACGTGGTCCTATGAATATTATCATTCAACTATTAGATGAAGTTTATTGAATTAACACATAGGCTGAATGCATATCATTATGAGGTTATTTACCTCATATTCACTGTATTTTTCATATAACCCAAGCGAAATTTCCTTCGCATCATAGTACTAGTTCCTAAAATTTTGCAAAACTCCGAGTTCTTGAAAGCGTCAAATTCTACCAAAATTCAATACAAGATAGGGTACAGTAAAAAGTCGTGCGAGCCTTTGAATTCTTTGAAGGGGACGGTCTGCTTCGTCATTACCTGGTACGATCGATGGACTGCCTCCCAAACTGCATTATCAATCGGCCGTCTGAGAAAACAGCTCAACCCTTCAGATACCGCACCCGATGAATCAAAATGCCAAGTGATGACTGATAACTTCTCAATGGTGGAACGGCTGAGATCCAGCACTAGTGAATTTGCGGTTGCAGGCAGAATCACATCCTCTTCAATGGATCCCTTGTCGACTCGACTGCCTCTCAGGAACTTACATGCCTGTAGAACTAAGCTAGCGTCTTGGCTGAGATCTTCGGGATATACATCTGTAGAGTCCATACGCAAATGCAGCAATGATTCCAGAGCTGATTCGGCTGGGAAAAGAAGGAAGTGGAGATGGATAGCCTCGTAAATATTAGATTCAATACTTACTAGCATAGGGAGAATCCACTTACCATTCTTGAAGTCCATGAAACACGAACTTGACTCATGATGTCCTGGTTAAGGTAGGTGCTCTCTTATATACGAGAGTCTTGCCATCTCAGAGAATTGTTCACCTGCCTGAATGTCCATCATGACCTGCCTACCGTTTTTGCTCCTTCCAATTTGGATCCAGTCTTGTTTTCCCTGTTATGATGAAGATAACTATTTGTGGAGTGGAAGTGACCCATACGAAGATCCAGAACAAGTTATTAACACTGCTACTCAATGCAGGCCAATTGAAGGTGTCGGATATGAACTACGTACCCAATCTGCACCATCAAGCAAAACTACAAGTGCGACAAATAAGATTTATCATTCCCATGCCGGTGAGTGCAAAATAATTTCCAGTGAGCCGCCTTCATCGATTCAACTAACAGAACCTATGCAGCACTTATTCAACCCCCTTACAACCCAGACAATGAGATTCTTGAGCTTCCTCCGATACCTTCAAAATTTTGCGCGTACACTCCCAAAGGCGAGATTGTCAACTTGGAAGAGGGGAGCATCTCTTCCCACGGCGGCAAGGTTTACTTCTAAAGAACAGGAGTACTAGTCAAAGATGCCAGACGGAGACCAAAATTCTGAGCTTCGGGTGAGTTTCTATCATATCATTTTAGTTCGAGTTTTTTGAATTAATATTTTCTTCCGTAGCCAAGATTGTTGGACATCACTTTATTGGCCCAAGTGGAATACTTCAAGGAATTCCTTGGTATAATATACAATCACAATACAGTCAACAGCCCGGATTTATTGTTCTCTGTGAAATACTATGACGGATCTGATGAAGTTCTTCACTGCGGATCATGGATCTGCGGAAGGCCGAAATGTGTTCGCGATCTTTTCTTGTTACATATGAAAGTTTGTCAGGCAAAGGAACTGGTGCTTTGGGGGTCACTGGGGAAAAAACAGAAGTGCAATAAGGAGAACATGCTTCGTATTTGCAGGGGAAATTACTCCAAACGAGGACCCTCGTGTCTGAAATAGCTTTATCATTTTGCTTACTCTGTATACGAATTTTAATTACTGAGGTCTTCAGCGTCTAAAGGCTTGACCCTGATACATAATAGCTTTAAGCCTCTCATACAATACCTAAACCACCCCTCTTCAACGGTCCCCTGCTTAGCTCACCGAATTCTATTCTCAAAGAATGTCGCAGGGAAGTTTTATGCATAACTTTCGGCGAGAAAATCCGGGATAAGAAAACTAAACATTTCGTCATACATCTTTCTCAAGTCGAATCAGACACGACTCTATCAAACGCGACCCTTTGATGCGGAGGTCAAATATGGCATGCTGTGAAGCCCAGATCTTTCGGTACTAACATGTAATAATTAGTGTATGCGCAAAACGATATGAAAAGGAAGATCAAGTCTAAGCTCACTACTTGTCTGGAGACTCGCTTTTTGTTGATGAGTCGAACCTGTGATTAGTACCCCTTCAGGTCGGAAAAAAGATTGAAATCGGTAGTATAGCTACTCTAGCTGTAGGTGTGTCTAAGCCTTGTTAAAGCCGAGTGTGCCTTAGCCACAGAAAGTTCAAACAAATATATAGATCATCAACACACCCCTCTTCCTCCAAACCTCTTGCCTTCCTCTCCACAGTCAACTGGAAGCAAATGACATCTGATCTGGGACCAAAAAGCAAGTCCTCGCACAAATTTCCATCAATGAGGAGCCATACCGACTTTATTTCAAAGGGTGGTCATAACCCAAGTCAGTACCCGGCCCTATCTATCGACTGCATCGTGCTCTCCGATTATTATGAATCCAGGTTCGGACTGCTTCCGAATGAGATTTGCGAAGCATTGCTTGAGAGTTGGATTGGGATTACTCGTCCTCTAGTCTGCCCTAGGGGCGGCTCACAGCACTGGCCGCCACCCGATACTTGCACAACTAGTTTGTAGCCCTTATTTTGGATATTGAGTTCGTAACTAATCAAAGACAGATACTTCCAAACTGGTGCATATAATATGTGCTCCAGTGGTCAATGTTGCTATCCTCGACGATCTTTGCAATACCCTTGAACAGATGCCGTTTCTCCGGAATTCAAAAATGTGCCAAAATGTCATCGCAGGTATATTGATGGTTCGGAAGGGTGAATTAATTGGCTCTCTGGGCTCTACGCATCATAATCCAGTCTTCAATATCCAATTGCAAAGTGTTCCTAGTATTCATCCACACGGACAAAGCTTGATGAATGGGGACTCTCAAGATGAAAATTGCCCCGAGGCACCTTATCAAGTCATAAGAAATTCAAATCAAGGCCAAGTGATCTTCTATACTTGGTCACGTGCGGCTCTGCATCCTGGCGACACAATCATCCCCTGCAGTGCATTTGACAAAGGGATACACCTATGGTGTGTCATTCTCGTCTACGAGCCATTACACGGTCGAAAGCTTGATCCGGAGCATGTCTTCTGCATAGAATGGCAAGGATTCACCCTTGAAGGTCAACCAGGGTAAAGTCAACTTTCAAGAGCAATGTCAACACGAAGCTAATTTATGCCAGGACTCACTTATACAGAGCGTGTTTTACACTCAGCAATAACCGTCTCTATTTGGCAAGTGGCGACAATCATGAGCTGCTTCATGATCCCATGGTTGTTGAAAAGATAGGAAGTAGCGCTGTTTTTGGAGGATTGTATCTAATAGGCGCTCTAAAGTCAGTCAAGTGCAAGGCTTCTCAATTTTTCGTGAAACTACTAACTGGAGTCACTTTAGCCACACTCATGGGAAGACCGAATTTTCATACTACCTGTAAGCTTACTAATCTATTATCAGTTCGCAGGCGTGGGGATTGTGGGCTAACTTGTGGAAGTGGATTCTCGATCAGACAAGGGCATGTTCGAGGTGAAAAGGACCGCCTCTTAGTCGAAGAGGTAGCAGACTCGGGGGCCATACCGGTCATGATAAAGAAGATCATGGGGTAGCTTGTTATTTTTCCAGAAGTGTGAAGAGAAAAACCTCTGGGCCTTCAATACTGAAAATTACCTGATGGAGTTGTGGCATCCCCAGCGTACCAGAGGAGACACGGACGACCATCCAATCCAGAAATAGTAGAAAATCGCTTCTCTATTGAAATATTAGCGAGCTGTTTCTATAATCTCTTTTTCCATCTTCACAAATTGGATAGATTGGCATATACTCCCATTTCTAATGTTGAAGAGTTCATGACTGAAATCGGATTCTACGAGCTCGTAAACCTGTTGTTAGTCCAACTCACGACGCCGGGTATTATTACTCTGATTTCACATCCCCTTGCCTGCATGCGGTCAAAGACTTAGCTGTATCTTGAAGTCGACCACGGCATGCAATACCTGTATTATCTAATTCAGAAAGAGCCGGCGAATCTTGGTTCTTAGCTATGATGTCTTGAAGAGGGTATTTTATCTTGATTGAGCCATACTGAATCTATCGATCAATCTTGATCACCTCACTCCAAGTCATTTTCCTATGTGAAAATCTTGCGCGACACCAAAACAGGGCGGTTGAAGCACAAGAACTAGACATAGGAGGTTAGAGCGCCAGCCATCCTATACATTGGGTAACAAATAAAACGTTCTACATGTACTGCTTTAAAAAAGGCTGATGGTGATCCAAGGCCTCTGCTCTCTCCAGATTTTGAAAATCGAGAAAATCAAACCTGAATATCCTGCTTCAATCGACTATGGACCCCGGAGCTGGCTTTAGTGTCGTGAAAAATACCACGGTTCTATCCCCCTTCTATCACCGTAAGATCTTCTCTACTACTAAGAAATGTCGTCCATCATATACTGACCTTTCCAAAGTGTTAAGGCCGAATCCTGAAGGTACTGGCTTCTGGCCTTTCATCCCACCTGTTCTACAGCAATGCGAGCTCAAATTTCGACCACCAGAACTTTGGTTCACTCCGACTCAAATATTCATAGCCATGGTGGAGATTTCACCAAAAACCGCGCTCGACACCGAAATCGGTTGTGCTCTTTGGACGTGCATAGACCAGATGCTCAAAATAAAACAATTTCTGGACTCAAAGGAAGCTCCTCTGGCGAAGATTGCTCTTAAGCTTCAAAGAGAAGCTGTGGTCCAACCAACCTTGACAGGCCTGTCTCCTATTTACGGAGAAGATACAAAGGGGCTGAAAACTGAAAGATGCATTTTAGAAAAGATTGAACTATATCGTGGCTTGGAATATGAGATTATGGGCTGGACTATCCACTTTACCACCCGCCAATTTCATGATTACAGCGTGTCGCGGAATTTGGCAGACCTTTGTTATTTGTTCATTTGATTTTGTGTCTGCGTCCCATTTTGGAATGTGCTCGGTTTCTGAAGCCACTTACATGTCATAAGCTTTGGGTCCATCTTTTCGGCTTTCAATGCACAGCTGTTTCCCTGCATGATGAATTATCCTGAACAAGAGTTTCCAGCCATTGCTGCTCCAAATAGGCCGATTGAAGGTCCAAGAGAGGAACCTAGTATTATCAGACCTAACTTATCGAACAATAATACAATGGCGATAGAAAAGGAAGGCCATGCCTATTCTGGTGAGTCGAAACGTGTTCTTGAAGGGCTCCTTTACAGAGGATACGTTCTTCGCATTGTCAGTTAACTTACCTGACAGAACACAAGCAACGCCTATTCAACCCCACTATAGCACGAATATTGAGATTCTTAAGTTTCCTCCAATCCCTCCACCCATTCGGAAGTTAAGTCTAAGCTCATTGCACTTTTTCCGAGGAAAGGCGCATCCGGTTGATCAGTCCAACCGAGAGAGCACCATTTAGGGTCCGAAGGAAAGAGTTGAATCAGTAATCCGACTGCATGGATCACTTCCGATCATCTCACTCCAACACTCGTTCCATCATTCAAAGATATTGCGTCCTTTTAAAACAGGGCAACTCATGCACACAAACTGTGTTACTGGCCATAGAAGTCAGAGGCGATAGTTATGCTCTATACTGGGCATTATCAGACGCTCCAAAGCTGGGTTCGTGTCTATTGGAAAACAAGTGATATGTTTTTTTGAGGCTGACATCTTCTTGGATTCTGGAACTACTAGGTCATGCAAATTGCGCCGATTCGATTATTCTAGCGGTCTTTGCTGAATAATTTCATGAAGCTTTCCGGGTCCAGATCGCCATTGAACAAGACACTCTTGTTTCTGACAAACCTACCGCTGACCATATGGACCTCGGTTCCATTCTGACGCATGCCGCCGACGGCATCCCCATTGAATACGCAAGAACTTGCATCTATTTCCATGCCAAAAAAAGCCATGTGCGGAAGTTCTGGACGAAGTACCTATAAGGAAGAAGAATATTAGATTTAATATAAATGAAGGTAGCGAGGATTAAGACACCATGGCCGCACCTTGTCGGCTCTTCTGCTCATTACTGAGAGGAGTGTGGTCTGTAGAATGGTTCTACAACCAAAGCCAACTTATTAGCCAAGATAAGTGAATGTTTGCTCTTGCCTTGCTCGCAACTTGTCTTCTCCCTGGATAGGGCCATATTCCCCACAAGATGCTGAGATGTATCCGGAAGGTCACCTTCGGAATCTCCTTGGTCCTTGCTTTTATCCATCCCGAGTGAAGGAGAACGAAACGGCTATGAAAGCTGGCCAAAGATAAACGGAACTTATCAGAAAATTCTCGTGTCAATTGTTTGCAGAAGATGGACGGCGTTTTACTTAAATATTGAAGGTCTTGCTCTAAAACAAAGAAAGCGTCTCCCGAAAACCGTGGCGTATGAAACAACCAAAGGCAGAATAGGTAGGCTAGTCTTGCAGCAGGGTCTAAGCAGGAAAATCAGGTTTGAAGACTTTAAAGTTTCCCTTTGGGTTCGATAAGTAGCCGAAAGAGACTTGATCATAGTATCAATTGAATCAAGCGTTGTCTGTCAAATACACTCCCGGAATCCGGTTATATGGAGCGCCGGACTCCTGACTGGAGTTCGTTGCGGTTACAATACAGGCAAATAAAGACGTGCGACGTTTAGGTTTGCGGATCCACGTCAGTAAACGGATGGCATTTCCAATCATCTTTTCTGTTTGCTAAGCTTTGTGCTCCAATACACTTGTAGGGAGCCTTGCTTTCTTCCGGGAAAGACTCGACCAAACCGCTTGGTCACTTCCGGCCAAGCAAGCTTTTCTTCCTCTCTGAGCTTCACCAGTAGCCGATCCTCTTCCGCGGACCATTTTAATCCTTTCCTCGAGGAACGAGCGCATTTCGCACCAGCTATTCCGGCACTCATGGTGGAGTGTTCAGACCTGGGTGTCGAAACTTCGTCTTGTCCAGAGACACATGCCGATGCTGAGGCGTCATTTGTGCTGGAGTGCATTTGGAGGCACTGAGATAAGGCGCCTTCAAATAGCCACGACAGGAATTGTAGTCGGTGCTCGACCGGAAGGGCAGAGAATTGGGCACGGACAGTAGAGAACGAGACATTCTGGCGGCCGAGTCCGTGAGTCGAACAACCAGCCCGATTCTTTTTGTGACTTTTTACGACTACTGAAAGTTTGCTGATTTTGGAAGGTTGCTGGCCAGATTGCAGCGTCCTTTTCAAAGCATGTCGCCTGCCGTCAAAGGGAGCATCTTCATTCAAGAAACGAGGTGGTTCAGCCAAAAATATGTCCGGGGGTGTTGTGAAACCAGACATAATTTCTATTGCTTGAGCCTGCTCAACTTCCTGGGAATGGCTACTTCCCAGAATTGCCGGATCGATTGTCGCAAAGTTTGGAAAAGCTCCGGTCTGAATGGGATTTTTCAAGGACCCCAGAGTGCTGATCAGAAGTGAAAGCGAGCTCCAAGACGCCTGACTCAAAGCTGGGAAATTGATCCTCGGGATCTTGCACAATGGGATCAGAAAACATTGCATGATCAACATTTTCAAAGCTTGGTAGACCGTCCGAAGGGAGGACGATGCCCTCCAAGTGGAAACTCTCAGGGTCAAGACTGATAGATGATGCTTGCCCCAGCACCTCCGATTCGTTTTGAGCAATTTGAGCTTTTGGTTGAAGGCCGCCATCCACGCAAACCTCCGCTGGTGGGCGAACTGGAAGGGGATGCCGCTCAAGCCTGGGAGCAGAACTTTTCTGGCCATGTGGAATGGGGTCCGTGTGATCGGAAGGAAACGGTGTAGCAGAGATGGAGACCGGACTCGGGTAGCGACAGATCTCGAGACGATTCTGCAAAGGCTGCACTTTCTCTTGGGGAGGGTTCCAAGACCGAAAGCATTCCAAGTGAAAATTGGCGTTTGACATACTGCGTCGAGGGGTAGGTTCGAAGGTCTTTTGAGTGTGTTTATTGGGAAAGCTCGTCAAATATGACACTGGTAGGAAACAAGGCTTGGGGGTGGGAGGGGGTTGAAAGAAGGGAGAGAGCATAGGCAGGAGGGAAGGGGAGAACCTGGAGGGGATTTGAACTGCAGAATTGCCATTGAGGTGGCACTGCAAGTCTCTTTATACCCAAAGATCGCCCTTGCACAGAAACCAAATTTCACGCAGCGCAAAGGATCCTATTCAGCCCCTGTAGACCAAATTACGGTAATTTCGGCACACGTAACATCACAAACATGCTGCTTTCGATTTCATGGCTAAGGGGTCAGGCTTCGGCAACACGAAGCCACTATCGTCGGCAAAACGAGCCATCCACCGGAGTCAAATGCAGGTGCGGGATTTTCGCTATTGGCCGCCAACTCTGAAATGTGTAGTCTTAGATTCCTGCCGCTGGGGCAGCGGGTCCGGAGAGGCCGACATTGACGACTATCGGGCGCTAACAGGCTCGAGAACAAGCAGGCGAAGGTGAATCTGAGACACCGGAGGGCTTGGCGATAAAAAGGCGGAGGATGGCAGACGGAAAGATAGTTCCAGTGGCGAGGAGGCCAATGCCTTCTCATGTAAGAGCGAATAAGCTCGGCCAAGCTAGAGACTTGGGCGAGAAACGCCCCAAGAAGGAAGGCAGTCTGCATAGCTCCGAACCATAGTCAAGAACGAGATTTTGGCGGAAAGTAACATATCATACGTGGAATCACTCAAGACGGTCGAGTACTGGGTCATCCCAGCGCTTCAACTCCTCGGCGACTGAATTACGTCGCAGCCGAGGCTCGCTGGGACGGGCTGAGCGGCATATCCGGCGAAATCCGAGGTAATTGCGAGGGACTGTGCGCGGTGCTGAGCACCAGTGCGCAAAATTCGGGTGGGGGCGAGAAAAAAAAAGGGGGGGGGACAGGAGGGAGAAAAGAATTGAAAGTGCGTGGTGAAGTTGGGGGGAGGGTGAGCGGTGTTTTATAGATGGATGGCAGAAGGTCGAGGTGGTAAAAGCGGCCAGGGTGCGCTAAGCCTGAACTGAAACGACGCTGCGGGCGCTATGCCGGAACAGGTAGAGGGATGGCGCAGCTGGGAAGGCGGTCGGGGAAGGCGGAAAAACCGGGCAATGGGAGCCGTTTGCGGCGCCCCGCCTGCCGTTGTGTGGAATACGACATATCGCAGCTCTTTTGTGCTAATACATATAATATAAACGTGGCAGTAAGGCTTAAAAAGCACCTAAAGAAGGTCATTTATAATATGACCATACTATAAAATTGATTCAATATACTATAAAGTAGAAGTATATGCATGCTTCTAAGAGGTGATCGATAAGCAAGAGAAGATTCTCTGCATATACCAACTCATGGTCCGAACTGCTATCCATGTTCTCCATACATCTGTCGAGCTCTAGGGGGAATATAGGATATTTTGCTCCGGTGGGTCTAAATAATCACCACAATAAGGTACGCTATAATAGAATAGTCATCAAACGAGCCAAAAGTTGGCTTTCGAGCCGAAATGAAGAAAAGAACAATCGCCTCAGTGGCCACAAAGATCCGAGAAATAGGCCCCGAAGCTCATGTTCGAAGGCCATGAGCTTCAGAGGCATGCCTCCGCAAGTGCATCTCATGCAACACAGATAGCTCGCAAAAATTACATCTTCGGTCCATCAAGTGCGAGTCCTTGAAATGCCTCTTCACTCCATTGTAATCTGAGTAAGCCTTGGGACATTGGAAGCATGTGAGAGTTTGCCTCACGTTCGGAATATCTTCCCCGTCAGAGGAATATCCGTTCTCGGCCGACTTTTTCGGCGTAATAGCAGTTTTGATTTTTCGAGCTGGCGGAGGGGGAACGACATTCTCATTGTCGGATGGTGCAGAGCGTTTGCGTCGTCCTCGAAGGGGTCCACCCTCCTGGAAGCCGCAATATTGGATTGCAGCGGCCACAGCTCTGTTGCGCCGCGTCCACTCATCTTCTAGTGAATCGGTGGTGGGCCAAGTGAAGAATGTTTCCACTAGGAGAATCTGCTCCGACGGCATTGCAAACTCATTCCGTAATACTTCGCGCGCAGGCTCATCACTGACAGCCCCGCCGGTCAACTGTCTTTCTATGTCAGCTACCGCCTGTTTCCGACTGAAATCACGACGTATTTCTTTCCGTCGCTTTTCCTGCAGACGCCGACGTAGATTGTGGACTTGGCGCTTCTGGTCCTCCAGCAATGCTGGGTCGTGAGAGCGGTCATCACACTGGGTCTCTAATTCGACTTGCCAGCGCACGGCTGATTGCAATTCAGGGTCCTTCTCCACTTCCTGCCGGTCAGCGTCGCTCAGGTATCGTGGCCGCCGCCGATCAATCCAGCGGCTCATCCGGGTTACAGCCTTTGAGAACTCTTCGTCGGGGTTGATGCCGCACATGATCTCTTGTAAGCCAGTATGCCGACGGGGGCGATAATGTTTGATAAACGTTCTGCTAGTGGCGTGGGCCATGATCACATTGCACTGTGCTTCACTAACGAAACCTGAACAAAAATTAGCGTGCTGCTCTAGAGAAGGGAGAAACCATAAATAAAGCTTTTAGTCTACTCACCACTCTTGTCAAGTAGGTCACCCCCTCCGTATCGGAATTGATGAGAGAAAAAATGATTTAGAAAGCCATGTATCTCACTGAATGTCCTGAGCTGTGCGTCGAGTGTGCCACCATTCATAGGAGTCTCCCACATGATCTGGGGCTGGCCACAAATTACCTCGACCTTCGGAAAGACATAGTAATCATCCATCTCTTTCTTCAAGGGTAATAGCATTTCTTGTCGGTCCCCTTCAATAAGCAGCCTTCGAAGGTCTTCCATCGAAGTCAAGTGGGGCGCTTCAAAGGCGTGAACGTAGAATAATATGCTGAAGAGCAGAACATGCGGGCTGAAGACAAGCGATACCCCGTAGACGATTTCAGGTAGCGCGAACGTGTTTCTAATGAGCACATATGGGTTAGTGTGATGGTATTGAGCAAGCGGGGGTGGGCCAGACGCATGGCATCGAGTGCTACCTACAGTTTTGACATGCCCAAGACACTTTTCACAAACTGGGGCTCGAGTTCTATCATCGGCACCGGAGGCCCTCCATGCGGATCCCGCTGGAGTGATAGATGTAGATGCTTAAACTGAAGATCAAGCATTGCCTGCTTTCGGTTGATGGTAAACAAGCCAATGGTGTTGTAGAGACATAGAACAATGCGCTGAAATCCCAAGTGAAACCGCTTTTCACGAGTTTGAAGTATTGTCTCATTGAATGGAATCATGTCTTCGATATAAACGGGGACATTGGCCCGCGGCTGTTTATCAAGCCCACGCTTATCCACCAAGTATCTCATGCCCTGTTCGTTTTCGTCAGCACAAACCTCATTGGAGATGACGAGAGGGGAAAATGACGAAGTGTAATCGAGAGACAAACCGTGCGAACCGCCTCACCCATCTCTTTGCTCATCTCGCATTTAGTCACTCGTGTGTAGTATATTCGAAAGTACTTCCAATCCGCTTCAAGGGAGCTGGCCTTCGTGTAGCCTTTCTGACGGCGACCATCGGGACTGTACTCCAGCTTCAGACACCAATTCAGAAATCGATGCATGTCATTTGGAGACGCCTCACGTAGGGCATCCTCGGCATCCTCCCACTTCAGATCAGAGGACGGCTCTCTTGCCTTCATTTCGCAGTACCTGAGATGGGGCATGTCGGTCAGTCGATATTGAGACGGTAACGTAGATACTTTCAGCGATAATAACTTACCAAGCCCAGCGCTCTTTCAGTCGAAGTTTCAGCTTCTTCGTTTGATTGAACCGGCCGTAGTCCTCCGGTACCTGGGCCAGGTCCTCATCCGTGTCATCATCCGGAACCTGGTATCGAGCCGGGCGGACACGTTCCACATTCGAAGGGGCTGCGTGTAACGACTTGACTTCGGGGCTTGGACTTGACTTCTTCGGAGTGGTCTTTTGACGCGCTGGAGATGCACGTTCCGGCTCGGTGAGATCGGTCTCGGAGGAATCGGGCTCGAAAAGTCCATCATTGTCGGTGTCGATGGGGGAAGTAGAAGAGGATTCGCTGGTGATTTGGTGGTTCCTGGCGCTGAGGCGTCTCCGGGAACGCATGCCTGATGGACTTCGCCGGACCGCGAGAAGGAACCGCTATGGAGCTCGGGAGGGTTTAATGCACGACGGAATGGAAGAAAGCACGGTAGAGGATTAGAGGAAGAACTTTGAAGTGGTGGGAGCAGGTCCTGAGTTGAGATGAGGGCAGTGTTTGACAAAGGCTGGATGGGGGGAAGATATTTATAGCCATGGCGACCGGCCCCTGGCCAGCCAGCGGGGTGTTGAAGGAGGCCATTTTTGGCACCTCCCCGGTCGTGATGAGCCATCAAAGGACCTAGGATGCACGCGCCCACGAGGCAGTCGGAGGGGGAAAGCGGTGGAGTGGTACGTGGTGCGTGGTCGCAGGGCGCGGGAGCGTGGCAGAGGGAAGTTGCTGAAAGGCAGCCCCATTTTCGGCATCACTTGCCGCCGAAAAGGGCAGCCAAATAGCAAATCGCAATTCTTTTTGAGCAGAAATGAGAAAATAGCGGATGAATGCGCTGCTACTTCCGAATTCTAATTTTAGCGTAGACATAAACTGTGAAGGCCACGAATGACATTACAGACCCACCCCTCTGCTCAGTATGTGACTTGCCACTGCAACCATAAGCGTAGAGACCATGATCTATCCGCGGGTATTATGAAAAAGACTTTAATGATAACGTGCGTAGTCCATCCCACGGAGGACTTTATCAGATTGTCACAAGATGTCAGCTGCTAATAAGCTGAACGAAGAAATTCCTGGGACACCAAGTCTCCCCCAGGATTGCTTGGACAGCCCCTGGAAACAGCAGGTTTTGTTCCTGGAAGGCCTGATCGAGTTCCTGGGATCACTGATGGGTCTCCTGGGATCATTGATGGGTCTCCTGGGATCACCGATGGATCTCTCACCGAGCGCGTTCGGCGATATAGGTTGTCTTGGGATAGAAAAAACTTTGGCATGTCGCAGGAAACTGCTTATCCGACGAAACATATTGTCGTGGGATAGGAGAAACCGTGGTCTATCGCAGGAAACTGCTTGTCCGACGAAGCAGATCATCTTGGGATAGGAGAAACCGTGGTCTATCGCAGGAAACTGCTTGTCCGACGAAGCAGATCATCTTGGGATAGGAGAAACCGTGGTCTATCGCAGGAAACTGCTTGTCCGACGAAGCAGATCATCTTGGGATAGGAGAAACCGTGGTCTATCGCAGGAAATTGCTTGTCCGACGAAGCAGATCATCTTGGGATAGGAGAAACCGAGGCTTGTCGCAGGAAACTGCTTGTCCGACGAAACAGATCATCTTGGGATAGGAGAAACCGTGGCCTGTCGCAGGATGCTGCTTGTCCAGCGAGATGATTTGGCTTGGTCTATCACAATATATTGCCTATTCAAACCCCGTATTGTCGAACCACATTGGAATTTCATGTCTTCCGGTTCCAGAAACGATAGAAACATGAATAGATTAGAGATTAGAGTAGGGGGAGCGCAACGATTCTGCCAGCTACTTCCGGTTGCCTATCAAAAACGGACCAATAGTCGGCAGCCAATAAGGATTATTCCTTACAGGCTTTAAGATGCCCGCAGGCTTTAGACCAAGAAACTCACCAATTTCAGTCCACGCACTCGCGGTTCCTTTGCCCAATCATTGTATTCTTCAGCTCAGATTCCGGCGTGCGAACCATGTAGAAGATAATTTTATTCTTCTTTCTCATGCAAAATTTCCAAACGAGGTTTCCCATGAAGGAACTCAGAACGTTGCGACCCCTGAAACCGTGGCCATGTTGGGAAAACCGTGGTCGTTGGAGAATACAAATGGACCACATCCTCCTTCGTACATTTGGAATACCAATACTGGTTTTCTCGACTCCATAAATTGGCCTTCCTGCTGTCCATTTCGATCGGTTAGATAATATCCGCCCAACTCGGATAATGGCTAAACTCCCTCGAGAAAAATCCAAATGCTCCCGGGTGGAGAAAAAATTACTGCGTCAGAAAAGAGATCGACGAAAATCAGGTCTGGAAAAAAAGGCCTTAGAGTACAGTGAGATTTGTGGGGCAGATGTTTGCTTGGGTATACGCATTCGCCAATCAGGGAAAGTCTTTATTTTCTCTGCAGACGCATCAGGGTTCTGGGCGTTCCTTCACTCCCATCTCGTAAGTGCAAGTAAAAAATTGCGGTCACAACTTTCCTAATGCTTAACAGGGCTCTTACTATCCCACAGCAGTCGAACGCAATGAGCAGAGTCTCTACGACACGGAGTTACACAAAGAAAAGAGCACCTGATTCTGATTACCCGATATACTACTCTTGCACTGTTGCATGTATCAGGAATGATGGAGATGGAAAGGATGAAGCTGCGTTGTACTGTGACATTTCACTTCCAATAAGCTTGACGGGGGCGCGGTTCTAGGTATCCGAAAATTAACTATTTTTATTCATCGCTTAATGAGGTTTAGTGTAGCTTGGCATTCAGGGCTTGGGGGGGACAATGAAGAATTTAAGGGTGACCGGTTTCCGCAAATACTGTTAAATCAAATCCATTCAACTAGCACGACTTCCAATGTGAATTCCAAATGGCAAAGTTTCAAAGTAGTATGGTTTCAGGCTCCGGTGAGGTTCAGAAAATTGTCCTTGGAGCAATTTTAGTAGTAAACTCAAATCATGTGAGAGCGCTCAACAATAGCATGGTGCATGCTTTATTCCGAATGCTCAAACTGCGTGACTCAAACAACTTTAGAGGGGCCAGAGTGAATTTTGACCGTTGATTATTTTTTATTGTTGACAATAAAGGGCAAGATTGATCAAAGTGTCGGTCGCGGTGAGCAACAGGGATGGGGAGAGATCAATCACTCACCAACATCGTTGAGCCAACGCATATAGTCACATTCTAAACGCATCCTCAAGTCTTTGTGGGTACTAAACTGGAGGGCCAAGTCTAGGAAGGGAGATATTTCCATATTTGGAATTAGAATATGATTATTTCAACTGTCTGCATTGAACGTTCTTTTTTGACAATTTTCGTTTCTCGGATCGTTGATTCAGTGCATGTTGCTGGTCATTCCTCCAATATCATGTTGAAACAGAATGTTGAGGTCCGGTCAAGCAACAATATTGTATTCTATTTCGCCTTTGGGCAGACCTCAACACTTCGCGACTTAGTCGATTGTCCGAACATCGACGAAACTTATTTGTACGAACAGCACCGAGCATAGACAGATTCGACCACAATTTGAGATTGAAAATGATTAACAGAAATTCGATCAAAAGTGGTGAAATTTGGTATGTTGGGTGAGCGTTGTACAAATTGCTATAAATGGAAGTTCTCCGCCAAAACCGAGGGTCCGTGCATCTCCTAATAGTTTCGAATCCCCCAGGTTTCCCAGGTTTTCCATAAATTATTTCAGACGAGTCCGCAAATGTCGGATTCTCGGATTGTATATCGCGTACGGACATCTACTTTCCGTGATCTTTCGGGGAGCTCTTGCGAAGATCTCGGTGTCGAACATAGGGGTAATCTTAGTGCTGAGCATCAAGTCATGAGCAGCGCTTGGCGGCCACATGGCATCAATATTGACTTGAGCATGAGAGGATAAACCCGCCTCAGTTTCCATTTCTCGAGCAATCTGGCTCCTTGTATACAGCCAGGCGAGGTGAACAAAATGATATCTGTTCCATTGGCGATGTACATCGAGCACCTTAGCATAAAGTTGGTCTTTCTGACCAAAGGGCAAGTTCACGATCACAATATCGCCGCGTTTTACTGTCCCCCGTGGAAGAGGTGCCGAGGAAATCCTGTGAGCAAATTTGGCAGTCCCGTCTTTCCTCAAAATGGGACACAATTGCAGTGTTTACCGGACTTTCGGGGTGTGTCGGCCATTATATTCGACCTCCGCTGATATGTCGTTAGGGGCCGAGAATGAATACTGCATACTTAGTACGCACACTCACGTGTAGGATTCAAAATTGCACTGATGCTTTTAGGGTTTTCTGGCAACATGACTTAAAAAGCGAGGAAGATGGATGTGTTTCCTTGTTCGAAGCAAGAGAAGCTCCAGACGTTGCCTTTTTACAGGCTTTTTACCCTGAATAGCCAGAATATAAGTGGCATTGACTAATCTACCTAGTTGACGTTCTAACCAGAAAACTTGCTAGTTTATCGATGTGATTAATTAAGAGAGACCGGTTCCGGGTCTCTAAACGCATGATTGCAGTCGATTGAATTGACAGACTAAATTGACTGACTAAATTGACTGACTAGATTGACTGACTAAATTGACTGACTAGATTGACTGACTAAATTGACTGGTTGAATTGACTGTGAACGAAGATGGCGCTACTACCTTCCTTAACCAACAAGGTGACACGGCTAGCTGTATATTGGACAAGGGACTCATGGTGAGCGGCAAATGTAGTGTTTGCAATACCTGCTCTTTTCGCACCCCCACACTGGCACCCACAACTCTGCGATCCTCGATTTCAACTTTGATCTACCAGGTCCGTTCAGCAACATCAGAGGTGGATCAAACTTCAACTCCAAGATGTTGCCATTGTTCGGTTGTTCCACCATCTGCCATCCCATCGTCTAGCACCACATCATTTATCACAACTTCATTTATCGCAACATCATCTAGCACCACAAAAAATGAAATGGTTACCGTGACCAGTGTTGTTCGGGTCACCGTGCCATCTACAAAAATCACTGTTGACTAATTTATCCGTATGTTGGAAATGGAGAGATATGAGACACCTTTCTATTTGATTGATAGATACGTTTGGGCTGACGACATACGATGATGATTTTTCAATTCCCTGGGTAGTGCGGATTTTCTGTATATTTCAAGCCTTTCAAAACCCGCCTGCTGTTGTGAGTTTATTTAACTACTTCATATTTGATTGAATCAGCACTTGCGGATGTGCATGTCTTGCGATTTGACAGTAAATCTGACGAATTGATTAAGGTGAAACAGTTAGCGTACTTCAGAATAAAGTAATCAGTTATCTTTTTTCCAGCATTTGACAGATAGTACCTGGCCAAGCAGAGTCTAGTGTGCAACACTTGACCTCAGCTAGGGGAGGATAGGAATGCGGTATGTGATTTTTGATCTTTCGATATACCCCCTTCTTGACCATTTCAAACTCATGGCTTCTGTCGCCCGCTAATTGGAGATCGTAGAATGATTCTCCAGTTCTCTGGTTCATAAATGTGGCGTTTACTATGACACTCATCCACCCATCCGTATCACCTCCCAACATTTTCTCAATTTCCATTCCGCATTGACTCGTTCCATTATTCACGCGACTTACTGTAGTCCATTTCATCGTTTTATGTATTTTTCTGAGCGTGTAGAGCGAGACGGTGATTGGGCTCGAAGCGGCGTCCAAAGGAGATCATGGCAATGTCGGGCTGCCCGCCGTCTTAGCTCGGCTTCTTGCCTCTCTCGTTCCTCTGCCTGCCGTATCAGCGGCGCCTCCTTGCGGGAAAGCGCCTCGTAGTCTGTAGAGCTGCTTCCACTCATCAGCACTGATAAAAGAGGGAAAGACGGACCACCCCGACGCGACGGGAGAGTGAGACCTTCTTTCCTGTCGTCACTGTCAGCCGGGCGGCATCTCGGTAAAAGTATTTATCCCCAAATTCCGATAGGGCTGGAGAAACACGTGATCGCAGTCAGCAGACTGCTCAAGCTTGTGACTCCCGGCTGGTGCTTGTGCACTAGGCTCGATAAGCACCCGCACGATAGCAAGGTTACGTAACGCAACATCCGAAAGGGGTAAATTCTCTATGCGTCATGTTGACATCAAGTTCACTGATCCTGGTATTGCATCCATCCCCAATCTTCGATTCACTTTAATCCACTAGGTTTATAAAATGGTCCATTTGTTACCTGCCGTCGCAGGACACACACACCAGAAAATTCAGCTGTACGGAATTGTCATTGAAACTTTACTTTCGGATAAGGCTGACCATTAATAAGCCTTGTTAGACTTGTCAGAGCATAAACGTGGCAAATTATCAACAAAAAGCTTTAGCTTTGAAGCCAAAGAGTGGGGGCGATCAGCTTTTGATACAATTGTGTGCTGTATTTGGATAGATAGCAAATGGACTATTTTTGAAACCTGCTTTGCTCGCCCCTTGACGAAGTGTCCGTCCCGATTCTGACACATAGCGCGAGTCCTTTGTACAAGGGCCTGAAGCTTGAACAGACTAAGCCAAGGTGAGAGATTGGCGTGGAGTCACATGGCGCCAGTGTAGATCGACCGCAGGGTGGCCAAATCTTTCCTCCCAGATCCTTGTCTGGTCATGTGGCCAGAGCTGGTTGCGAAACTCACCAGCACCGACTACGGTTGGATGCACCATGTCGATTCTTGCCACCTTGGGGCCTAGTTTTCCCTTTAGGACTGGCTCCTCAAGGGTCTGGTAGTTGGAACCCCCGTAAGGATTGTATGTGTGTGGTGGTGGCGGCGACAGGACAGTCACAACGCCTCCATCCTGGGCAATGTGGTATGCAAACATAGCGCATGCGCCCTTCATATACCTGCTCCATTGCTTGTTCGGCCTCTGTGGACGACGGCATTGGGGCTGCGTGTTATCCATCAAGGGCCCCATAGCAGTAGTGAGCGTCTGCATTCCATTCCGATCGGCCCATTGCTGCACAACATCCCGCGGAACTCCACTCCACATGACCTGACATCCCTGTTGCCACCGACCAGTGTGAAACTGTTTGCATATCTGCGTGGCTTCTTCAGCCGAAAGGAACCTGCGAAACTCCTCGATCGAGGCCGATGAACACATGGCCCTACTTTGTTTGCAATTCTGAGCGATGCTTTATGGTTGCTGCTCCTTGTAATGGAGTGCTTTGATGATAGGATCGAGATGTAATGTGCATGCTCCAAGGTGAACTAGGCTCAGAGGTGTGGGAGTGCCCAAGTTGTAGGTATGGCCATCATGTGCTGAGACACTGATTGGTCACTCCAAAGGAGGGTCACGAGGCGATCTTTTGTACTAGCGAATCACAGCTTGCGGATGTTCTGATCAAAATCAATTTGCGATCTACCCAAGTGCAGAAGTCACAAGTTGGCTGGTTCTGCTGTGAGTTTGGTACGATGATAGAATATTTAAAACTTCTTTTCCGCGCAGCGGTCGGAGATACTAGCAGATTAGCTTAATGGTGAAGGAAAGATGCGTGGCCATGGTCGGTATGAAGCATAATTTGCCTCGATGATTAATTGATACGATAATCAATGGAAATAGATGAACGGAAAGACGCAGAAGATTTGCAGGCTCAAGAATCGCATAAGGCTCATATGGATCCCCGAAGAACTGCTTTAAATAATATGATTTTCTTCCTGATCTGTACAGGCCTAAGACCATCCTTACTTCACTATAGAGAATGCAAACGAGTTGATCCAGTCAATTAACCATGAATGTTGTGATCCGAGACTGACGCATAGCATGCTCTCACTGGGATAGACAGACGGGTGATGGAACTTTGCTTACTTTTATTAAAGATTGATCATAAATACATAGATCAATTTTGATTGTGATATCATGGCCTCACCCCTACCTCTACTTGATCTCCATTTGATCAATTAGTCGAAGAGCGGTGGACTACTGGAGATAATATAGCCCCCAAAAACCTTGCTAGACAAAGCTGCTGGTTTTAGTCAGCTCCTGTTACAAAAGGAAAACACCTTCCTGCATCTTAAATAGTTACGAAAAACCACGAACTTTTTCTGCGTCCACTCTCAACATCTTCAAACTCATCTCCAACGTGAAAATCTTGCATGTCAAAAATCCTACAAAATGGAGGAAACGGTAAGATGCGCCCAAGCCCTTTATGACTCGCTTTCTAATCAGGCACAGGAAATTCTTCGAATGATATCGACTTTCAACTCGCGATGGGCGCTGTCGGAGCGCCATCTTGCCAAGTATCAGCAAGAACTATCCACGACCCGTCATACCCTAGCCCAGACCAATAGGGACCTACTTAATTTTTAACCTTTATGCCTGACACCGATGGCTTGATACATGCGTCTACGCGTAGACCTCTTGCCCCCAAAGGACCTAGTAAAATTGGCAAGCGAGTGGCGAGAGGCGGTTCAGCCCCTGTCAAGAAGCAACGTCGATCATATTCGACCGACGAAGACATTTTGCTTGTGAAGTTGAAAGAGGAAATCAATCTTTCATGGGAGGAAATCACAAAACACTTTCCTGGACGCAAGTCATCTTCGTTGCAGGTCCACTACTCTACCAAATTGAAATCACAAAAACCTATTCGAAGAGGTGGACAAGAGCGGAAAAGGGCAAAGCGCGGAAGACATACACGACGGGCTACAAATGATTAGAAGCTTTCTGGCAGTACTTCAATGTATTTAGTCGTTACCGAGGTCAACATACAGAATCCAACCTAATTCAAAGTAAAATCAAAGAATTGCCTGATAGTTGACAATACCTGAGGTTCGTAGCAAGCACTTGGGCGATTCGAAGTCGCAAGTTCAGGAAGGTAAGCCGAGTCAAACAGTCCTGATTCACGTATGGGCATACAACACTTACCAGCGGCCAGAAGTTGTGGTTGCCGCCCGGGCGCGAATGAGGTGAGCGCCGCTTGGCCTTACGTCACTGGGGTGAGAAGGGGTGAGATTCAATCACTTGCATACACCCACCATACGCACCCTCTCAGCTGAGCCTATGCATACATGTACCTTGCTTCATGCCTTCGATTTCTGTTGAACTTAGGCCTATTGTAATGTTCAGATAATGAATATATTGGAGCCGAGGGTCGAGTCAGCCGGTAAGGCGAATTCCACCGGCACCTGATTTACCTGTTAGCAAAGATCGGAGAAACTAGATACTGAGTTTCCATTGTCGGTTGATGGAAAAAAACATACCACTGGGGCGGACTCGGCTGACTCCTTGCTCGTTGGTCGCTGGCGCTATACAAGAGCAAATGGGACATCCTCTTGCCAAGATATCGATGGATGGCAACAGCTCCCCAGGCTACAAATCTCTTTATACACAGGCGGGAGAATGCAGTCAACAGAACTCTTTCACAAAGCACTGCTATAATTTAATCTTTCATCAGGTGGGAGTTTAGACACCTTCTCGCTCAACCTCTGGCAAAATACCCGCCCCGACTGGGAATTTGGCCCAAATCGGTAGGAACATTGGGATGATCGTTCAGACCAGCTGCTAAGAATCTAATTTTTTTCTGCCAGTATCTACAACCAAGACCAGAGCGATCGCCACGCTTCTTTTCGCGACTCGATTGCCCATTTGACCTCGAGGCCCTCAGTGGTGAGAAAGATCTCGAGGCCTATGAGAAAGATCTCGAGGCCTATGAGCGGGAAGAGCATGTCCATGATTTAATAGTAGGGCTATGAGTACGTCATTAGCGTCTGTTCCGTAGACTGATCCCACGAATGATTGGTAGGCAGAGCTTAATTGAGTGGGTGATAGGCGGCCGTAGTCTAAAATTGATTGGTAGCTAGGTCTTGTATGATTGCCAATTGAGTGGACGCCGAACTCCATCATCAGCATTTCAGGACCTAACCACGATTTGCAAAGCCAAGACTCCCAAGAGGTAGCCTCCAAAACTCTGTTTCAGTTGGGTTTACCGCAAATATGAGAGGAGTTTTTTTCGGATATCCAACAGTGACGAGTCCCTGCGATAAGTTCCCATAATATTGAAGAACCACATTGACACCAGTAGGAATGGTTAGAGGATACCACGTGCAAATCTGGACTGTTGTATGTTTTTGCTTTTGTTAATGTGTTCTCTAGCACATGGGAGGTAAGACATTAGAGAAACATATTAGAGAAAGACGCGAGGAAGCCTAAACTTCGAAAGCGCCCACCATACTTACATATCTACAAAGGAGCTCGGGCTATCGGAAAAGTTGAAGATTTCAGATTTCAGGCTAGCTGAAATACTCTGATCAGGTAAAAAGACGGGATAGACTTGGAAATTTAAAAGCATTTCCTGCAAAAACGAAGAGAAAGAAACATCGTGGGAACGGGGAATGGGGAACGGTGAAGTTTAGCTAGCAGATCATGTGCAATAGTCTCCAGTGTGTGGACATGCCAGGGCTAGTGCAACTTTGAAAAGCTTCAGGTTCCATTCAAGGGCTGTCGGTAATGAATACCGTCGACTGTAGTGGTCAAAGTACCATTGGCGTAGAATTTGTTGTTCTCGATATCGATATCGAAGTGGAATCCACCAGGACTCGTTATTTTCGAACTTTCACTGATTCCAGATGATCGCAGATCCGAAAACCAGTCCACGTGTATTGAATTGACGTTGGGAGTTGTAGCAGATACCTTTTCAGTCCCATGGATGAAACTTTTGCCATCATCTGAAACGTGGTGGTAAGTTGCAATCACGGTTTTGAGCGTGTTTCCAGTGCTGTCAGGAACGAAGGAAACTTTCGCATGACCACCAAATTTGCCAGCCAGGGTGAAGTTGCCGAGAGGAATAGATAATAACTGGGGAAACGCGCTTCCTGGTATGTATGGTTCCCCCCATGGAATTGTATCGGAAGCAATATCGATGGGTTTCTATAGAATTGGCTCACGGCTTGTCAAGGTTGCCATCATCAGCCGCGAGCGGCGTTGTCCAGGCTCGGTGGAATTCGGACACGGCAGTGGATTACTGTCTCCGCAATCGGGGGATGTGACTAGACGCTGGAAGTATGCGATCTTGGTTCCGTCAGGAGACCAGCGAGGGTCGGCGCCGCCGTTCCAGAGAGGGTCATTCTTCTCCTCGCCATTGATCTGCTGGCCTTGGTAGTAACGACCATCTTCGTAATACCGGGCACCATATTCATCGACGAGCCAAGGTTGGAAGAACCCGCGACCGCCATTGCTTCGAATGGAGGATATTGCGCTTGTGATGAGAGTGTCGACCAGCGGGGGAATGCCTCGCATGCCTGCCAGGAACATCATTCGATGAGATGTCGTGCTATCCATGATCGCTACCCACTTGTCGTCTGGAGACTTGTCGATAGGATCGACGTACTCTGGGTCGCTAGTCACGCGAACAACCTTGCTAGTCTTCAAGCTCACACTGAAGATATCAATATTGCATGATTCGGTGGGAAAGCCAACATAAGTGATCTGGTCACCCACGCTATTGATACCTCGTGCTTCTCCCACCGTAATCGATTCTATGTTGATAGAGAGGTGGCTTCCATTGGTTGAGAAGGTTGGTACACCCGATGGAGCATGGAGCAACGTGACATTGACTAGGTCGTATCGTGGTGTGTGGGGCAGACCCGTCTTGGGGGTAGGGTTGAACTGTAGTCGTGAAAAGAAAACATGTTAAGATATAGTTGCACCTGTAAACGACATGGCGTTGAAGCTCAGATGAACATCATCTGGGTGCTTGCGCAGCTCCCGTATGGTGCCTCCAGACCCATTACCATCCGGAGAAGTATTCCATCGAATGGGATAGATGTGGATCTTCTGTGGAGTACATTCCGCACTGGCAAGCTGTGCAGTACCACAGTCGATTATGTATGATCCTGCCAGGATTCGAGTTCCGTCATTGAATGCCTGGGGGTACTCATAATTCATTGTCGAAGTGAGCCCATACTGCTGGTTTTTTGGAACTCCACAGGTAATACATTTCCATGGATCGCCGTTGGGGAAAGTTGTTCCGTTGGCACGAACAATGATCAAATGCAGCCCATTGAAAGCGCTGGCAGAGTTCGGAAGCGCAGGGGCTCCCTTGAAGACGACAGAGGCCGTGATATGATCTCCGTCTGGTAGAAAGCTTCCGCTTAGCAAATCAGACGATTTCACACCGATACATCCCGTCCCACGTGGGTTAATTTCTCGTGTACAACCGCCTTCGGTCTCGTTATGGGTGACGGGGGGAAGCGGAAGGTCGGTGATCTCAATCGGCTCGGGATCTGGGGGCGCGGGTATGGTGAAGTTGCTCAGACCCGAAGTCGGAGAATTCTAATTGTACTGCTGAGCAGTCGCAGTGAGAGGCAGGATAAAGAAAGCTGCCCCCTGAAATCGCATAGTGAGGCCGGGGAGGTTGTGATATAGTTTCAAAGAAAAAGTTGCAGGCTTCCATCAGCCTGGGGGCTCCTCTAGCTCCGTTTAATATAATATACGGTGGGACCACTTCACAGGTTGACAACTGCCAGTAATGATCCAGAATCTGATATACGTGGAAAGACTGCCTTGTGATTGGTTGAGGTTTCTCATTTGAAGTACAAGGTTAGAGCATCTTGGAACCAGGCTTCCATGATTTTCAAATCCTGTGTTTCAAAGAGCAAAATAATGTGTAGATCTCTTCAATGTTGGGAACATGAAGGGTTCCAAAGTTAGAGCACTTGAGGTTGGCCTCACTTTAAGTTCAAAGAACGGGCCCCGCTACTCCACATGGCAAGAAGACTTAACCGGGCATGTGGAAAACTGATTAAGGTTCATTAGTCTTCGTCCCAGTTGACGTATGTTTCCATTGTCTGCAAGTGATACGACCACAAAATGCTTGGTTGAAGATTACGTTGACGAAGATCTCCAGGACTTAGGAAAGATCCCGGACCAGCCTGATTTCAGGCACCTGGGTAGCCCCACTTTCCCTTCCAATTCAACCTTAGAAGGATCCACGGTTCCGCATTTCGAGGTATACGAATACGGGTTAGGGTCATGTGGAGCTAGATAAAGATTAAAGATTTTAACCTTTGGTGCAAATGTCCAGATGTCTATATTGAGGTATATTATCCAGAGGTAACATTCAAGCACAAAAAATGTTTTCCATAACCTAGGTCTAAGTCGAGAGAAATCCTGGCACCTGTCAGTGGGCATCAATATGTATTCATTGCAGCCTGAGGCACAATCGAGCTCTACACTGGCACCAGTTCTCCACGCAAGTGACACTGAAAGTCAAGAACAGTATGTTTAGTCTCACACAGTCTGAACAACCTATCTTCTAACATAAAATCGAAATCACAGATCACTAGATGCGGGGCGCGTCAAAATCAAAGCAAGTTTCCTGCTTGCACGGCCGGTACCGAAACATTCGCTTCGGGTCTCTTCAAAACTTTTATTGCAAGTTCAACAACTGCCAAAAGATCACCGACCAGTTCCTGTCCTTGAAATAAGACAGCCGCTTTTGTTCAAATCAAAATTCACCCGTGGATTTCAACAGGATGTCAAGTTACGATCGGGTGATCTCTTCGCTCACCTCATTGAGTCCTACGTCAAAAGTTCTCCTGCTGGGCGAAGTCTCTCCAATTCGGAGGACCAGACCATACACGGGAAGACTTTTACGGCCAATAAGGTTGTTGGGGCCATCTGCCACAATGAAATGGCTTCAAAGATATTCTTTCAAGACGCGCGGTTCGGTTGGCAAGGTCGTGCTATTGAAGTCGTTGGACCTCAGAAGTCCAGAAAGTGCTACAGATTCGCAATTAACAACGAAGAGAGGGATCCTGCATGTTCAAGTGGAATCATATTGCAATGGGAGAAAAAGAATGAAGACGTTGAATCGGCTGCTTTGCTCAACGGAGAAATGTTTACCCTATTTTTGATTGATAGGAGAGCAAGAAGAAAGGCCAAAATGGCGACTATAACGAACGATAGATTCGAGATGAATGTTCGGAAGAGTTTTGTTCGAGAGAGCCTGCAGGACTGCTTTGATCTGATGGGGTATACGGATTCTGAAACAGGAGATCCTCGTCATGTTTTCGAGTCGCGTCTATATACTTTGACTCTCACGCTGGGGATTTGGGTGGGCTTTCAAGAAGCATGGTTCAATTAGCAGACCTACGAGCCCAAAAATTTAAATAGATATGGCCTTCAATTTTAGCAACTACTTTCATCACTCAGAAACGTCACGACGTTTAAAGGCTCGACTTTCTTGCACTTCAACTTGCCTGGGCAGCAGTGACATATCATGTCTTGTGAGAAAAATCCAGGGCATCGATATTCCAGTAGTGAGTGGATAATGCGAATCAATTGCAGAATTTCTCAGCACCGTATTCGTGTCGACATCAAAGCGATTCAATAAGTTTCAGGGATATCTGGAAATTTCCTGCGGACCCACCACCCTAGCCGCGAGAATTCTTACACTAGCTCGGGCGAGAGTTGTCTTGATACCGGACAAAAACACTATCTAAGTAGTCAATTTGCCAAAATTCCAGGCAGTTCCGTTCCACGCCCTATAAATAGATCCCCTGAATACAGTCGGGAAGCTCCATAAATGGCGATTAGTTTAAGTTTGAAACGTGGCTTGCTCAGCCAAAGAACAAGACTTTACCATCGACACTTTCCTTAAATTCAAAGATCCATGGCACTTTCGACATGCTCAACATCACTCTTTCAGATCATTCTTTTCTGTCGTTCACGCGGTTTTCCTTGTTTTCCTTCATTAAATCGACCTGCTTTCTTATGTAACACCCTCTCTCCTTCCAGCTAACCTTCACCACTTCAATTTCGCCATTATGTCTTCCGGCTACGTTCTCTATAACTACACTCCGTCAGTGGCAGCTGCCGCTATTTTTGTCATCATCTTCGTCGCTGCTACTTGCGGGCATATCTTCCTTGCTGCCAAGCATAAGCTCAGGTTCTTGACGGCTTTCATCCTGGGCGGTATATTTGAGGCCATCGGCTATGTAGCCCGTGCAGTCAATGCGAACCAAACACCAGACTATTCTGTCATGCCTTATGCGCTACAAAGTCTCTTCATTCTTCTCGCCCCCTCATTCTTTGCGGCATCTGTCTATATGATCCTTGGTCGCATCATTCGCCAAGTCGATGGGAATTCCAACTCTCTTATCCGCGCAAGTCGATTAACAAAGATTTTCGTTTGTGGCGATGTGTTATCCTTTTTTATCCAAAGTGCCGGTACGAAACCTCCTTTCAAAACCTACTCTTCTATTTTCTAACCCTTTTGTTTGATTAGGAGGTGGAATGCTTTCTAGTGCCAACTCGACAAGTAGCCTTAACTTAGGTGAAAAAATCATCGTGGCCGGTTTAATCGTTCAAATTCTCTTTTTCGGGTTCTTTGTCATTGTCTCGGTTGTCTTCCACAAGCGTATGAATGCGCATCCAACTTCAATGTGGCTCAGCTCTTCGATCCGATGGGAGCGATATATGTACGTGCTTTACACTGGAAGCACCATGGTTATGGTTCGTTGCATCTACCGAGTCATCGAGTACCTTCAGGGATCATCGGGCACTCTGCAGAGCCATGAGTACTTTGCGTATATCTTCGATGCCACTCTGATGCTTTTGGTTATGGTGATTTTCCTTTGGAAACATCCTCATCAAATCATGATCAAAGATCCTCAACAGGCAGATGAGACGGAACTTATTTATGGACGCCTAGGCTGATATCAATCAATAATCGTGGACATTTTTCGATTGTTGAAACAACTTGAATTCGCGTCCTTCGATGTTCTGTGTTGTTTATACTCCGCGGGATCGTCATATTTTGTGATTCTAGCTACCTTCCCACTAGTGTTGAATAGCCTCTTCTATCCCATTCTGGTCTTCATTCCAACCTGAAAGCGACCCTTTTCATCTCAGATGTTGTTCCATAAGTTCCAAGGTTGTTGTTGGCACTACACGCCGCATTTCCCTCCTGTATTCAGGGCTATAGACCGCGTACAATTCACATACATGCAACTAGCCAACCCCTCTCTGAAATTCCAAATTTGTACTTGCATTACCTCAACACGTGTGCCAGTGCTTTGGGTGATCTGTTCCTAACTTTCAGTGTGGCATTAGCAGGCTGCATAAGCGTTATTTGGTAATATAATGTATCTGGGTGTGGATAATGCCCATTCAATGGTCATTTTTTCGCGGTGTTAATGAACATCAAACCTGATAAACAAAACCTTTGCAACCTTGGAGGGGAATTTTAAGGTTGATCAAAAGGGTACCCTTGGGACATTTCCATGGCCCACTCTTGGCTATCCGCGGAATGAAAGGAGCATGATTGGCTCGGACTGATACTGAATCCATTTTATTCAGCAAATCAGCGACCTAGAATTACGCGTATACAGGCGACGCTTATACGCAGCTTTTAACCGCCTCCAGGGCTCCCAGGTTGGTACTATCGATACAAAGATTGAATACGCGTACTTGGGCTTTTATGGTTGGTCGAAAATTGAGATGATGCGTATTCAATAGGGTCATCAGAGCCGTATGTACCATTTCACCATGCCTATTCACTAGCTCCATCCACATGCCCGGTTGAATCTTTTTTTTTTTCTTGGAATCCATCACTGAATCAATATATCAGATTTCAGTGAGGTGTTTGTTCTTCAGATATCCCGTCCGATGCGTATACCTGTATTTTTGTCAAGTTCAGCTGATGGAGAAGGAATTCGGTGGGAGTGCCCACGCGTGCACATCAGAATGGTCATTTGAAGTCTCATATTAGGGGAACATGTTAGGAGCCAATGAACAAGAATTAAGTATTTGATCAGATTTTGAATGAGTAATTTTAAAGTTAATACCTTAATAAATCCATCGAAAAAGTGCAGTCATTGCTGCTGTTGTCAATCATTAGCCGGATTCAATGAATTAAACATTCGAGTCTGTGATGAAAGATCCTGTGGAGGTGGTAAGGGACCCTCTAGGACTGGGCATATTGAACAGAGGATGTGATTTTAAAGCTTGTAATTACGGTACACATATTATCTTCATCGTTCAAGAAACCTTCCAAATAGTGCCTCGAGAAATTTTTCTTGAATGAAAAAGCTCTCTTATCTAGTTATTTCTTCGAATTTGGGATAAGTTAATCAGCCTCGTGGTAAAGTGGAAGGTCGCGCGATATGCAGTGGTTCGCTGTTTGAAGTACGACATTGAAAAAAGATTATCTATTTCGTACCCGATCAGCTCGTGATCAGCTACTAACAGCAGTGTCTTGACGGCAGGCGACTTCAAAGTTGTGGACGATCGCCTGGCACTCGGTTTTAGTATCTGATCTTTCAGCGAGGTACCTTCCTTCTGTGACGCGTGCCTGGAGAACAGCCTTGCGTGTTTTAGAGTGCGTCACAGTATACAGGCTCTTCATCATTCCATGCGCAGGATACGCAACCAATCCAAGAGCAGCTACAAGCAAACAGTCAGAATTTTCTCCCTGCAACCCTGGATCGAAGGGAACATACCAGATGAAACCTTAGTCGTCAGGCCAATGGCCCCCTTGCCGATTCCCTTCACCACACCCTTTGCCCCCTCTTCTTGACCACCTTTGTAAGGCTGTGTGAAGATGTCGCTGAGCCCGTCCGCCATCCCATGCACGAAGTTTTTCCCTGCAAAGGAAGCTCCGGATTTCCAATCTTCAACTGGTCCATGATCTTTCACCTCGTCGCCGTATAGACGCGGGACGGCCCGGAGTCCTTCACTGGCTGCTAGAGGCATGTCTATGAGCATGCCTCTATACCAGTAGCCGAGGACCTTTCCAGCGCTTTTTGCCGAGCCTCCCATTGCAACTCCAGTGGTTCTAAGTTTGGAGGATTTCTTTGTGCCGGAAGCTGTGGAAGATGCGCTCAGCTCAGAGCTAAAGCTAGGTGAGCGAGACGCGGCCGATTCTGGAGCTGAAAGCTCTGGTTGGCTTCTAGGGACGCGGCGGAATTCTTGGTATGGTCGGTAAACAATGTCAGTCGTCGCTTTTAGGATGTTAGTAGTGGTGCCTAGTAGCGATGAGGCTGTTCCTGTGACTGGGTCCCATCGCTTGTTCTGAATGAAAATCGGGTGAACCAGTAACCTGACAGGTATTAGTATATCTTTACGTCAGATTCGGTAATCGCTTTGATTGGGTCTTACGGTTGTAGATCACTTTGTTTTAACCAACGATGATCTATTAGGACTCCCGCTGCGATTTTAGACAGAAGCAGTGGTTTTTTGGACGATTTCTTGAACCGCCACGCGGCGGGTGCGGAAGGATGGACGTCGCATTGCATGTTTGTCACTGGGAGATTGCGATGGAACGACGCAACCGCGGTAGCAACTCCATTCTCATGACTCATTCGGTCCGCAACATCATGAGCCGCCGCCTGTGCTTCCGGCTGAAGACAAAATTTAATCGCTTCTGCCAACTTATCCGACGTGAGAGATCGATAGGGGATCGGTCGAGGGCCAAGTCCACATGACGCGACCATGTTGCCCCAAAAAAGTTGACTAGTTAACATTAGTGGAAGGTACCAGGTATGGTTTGTAGTCAGGTAAAGCATACTCTCCAAAAAACGGAATAATCGTCGTCGTGCGCCCAAAGCGTAGGCCACATGCTGTGGTCCCCGCGCCTCCATGGTGCACAACAGCAGCGACATGTTGAAATAACCATTCGTGTGGACAGTCTCCGAAATAGAAGACTTGATCATCAGAGTCAGCTTCCCCCAGGTTGCTCCAACCTCGAGATATGATCGCACGAATACCAAGTGACTTGACGGCCTCGAGAATCATCTTGGTCATGGCGATCGGATCGTCGATCACAATGCTGCCAAAACCAATGTACACGGGAGGACTACCGCCCCGCAGAAATGACTCTAAATCGGGGGGTGGTGTGTAGTTTGGGAGCGAGCGAAAGAAGAAGCCACAGACATCTATGTTCGACGACCAATCGAATGGCTTCGGTATGAGGCTTGGTGACCAACAGTAAGTGAAAGGAACTTTCAGTGTGCCCGCTAGACAGGGCCCTTCCATTCCGGGTACAGGCTCTAGATCAAGTGAAGCTCTCCACTCATTAATCACATCACCAAGTCTAAAATTAAGTTAGCATCGTCATTGGCAGCACAGAAAGGTTGCAAAGAAGGAATTTACCCTTGCCATGTCATCCATTCGACAACGCCGTATGAGATGTAGTTGGCCAGCTTGGGCTCCGTGGTAGAATATTTGAGGTTCGCCAAGGGGTGTGGAAAAGCTCGTGTGTTGCTCCAGGGCATAGTGAACATGAGATGCAATGGGATGGCCAAGGCTTGCGCGCAATGAATATGAGCGAAGCTTGGAGGATTGGCAATGATAGCATCAGCGACAAAGGGTGCTTTGCTGACCGGATCTTCACTTATGCATGAATCCCAGCAACCCCGGAGCATTTCAGCCACCATGGCCCGCTTGCGTTGGATCTCCCCACTCCTCAAGCTTTTTATTTGAGGGATTAGGCCAGGATTCTTGACCATATAGGCCATCAGTTCCAATGGATCACCCCCCGATGGGGTAAAACTCCAAGCCCGATTCAAGGACAAATGACTCGAATACTCCGTGTGTCGCTAGTCTCACACGGTGACCATAGAGCTGTAGCTCATTGCCCAATGCAATGAATGGCTGGACATCTCCGCGACTGCCGACAACCTGGATAACAATGTTTAGTCGAATGTCACAGGTGGAAGGCTGTGTGTAATCTGGCACTGGTTCGCGTTTCGGTTCCTCGTGCGAGATCGGAATCAGCTTCGCCACAGCCCTACAGACTTTAGAGTCAAGATCGACCTCAATACGGCCATCGTCTGCTGGTGATTAGCATTTCAATACGCGACTGGTCGGATTGACATTGATCAATGGTACCGTTGACATTTGCTCCGCTCTGAGACCAAAATTCCTCCGGTCGGTCAATGTACTCCAGCGTGGAATACCGCGGGGGTAGATCTTCTGGATCTTCCATCTGGATACTGTGGGGAATAATTCTCTACCGTGGAAGCGTTGTGCGAGAACCAAGCTCAAATTGGATTTCCTCAGCCTTTTAAAATCAATCACAAGTCGCGAAAGGAGGGAATGGGCAGCAAAATCAGTTTCCCACGCCTGCGATATGCAATCTCCCCCGCTATGACGCTCTGAAAGAAGTATGTAAGCGGTCGACATTCTGACCAATCAGAGGACAGCTTCGGAACTAAAGTCAATAGCGCGACTCAAAGTGTTCATCTGTTGGCCGTTGACCTGAATCTAGTTGCGATTTATTGATCCATTAGAGTGGATTCCCAAGCGTGTTTTGAAGGGACTGATCCAGTTTTCACTGTGAGGCTAGCAAACTAGCGTAAAAATTGATAAGAAACCCCACCTATACTCTTTGGGACTTTTCCAAATAAGACGTCTAAATACGAGTACGCACAAGCAAGCCCGGCGAATGTGTCTGTGCTATGATCGCCACTAATTATTTCTGTGCCAATCTCGTGGGCCGATTGATTGGCCATTGGATAGGCTCTACGGGGGTAGAGGTGGAAAAGAAACAAGGAATTGGTTACTTCTATCCGTAAAAGCGGAGCCGATTTCCAGGGGTGTTGAACTGTGAGTAACTGCCCAGATAGCCATGTGCACCTTGGCAGCAGCCCATAAGTGCTGGATGGGTAAAACAACACCCATTGAGCATTTGATGTGGCCAATCCCGAGGTCGCCGGCTCCGCCTACCACCGGAGGAACAAGACCAACGTGGCGATGTTTCCTCTTTTTCCGATAAATGCAAACATCGATATGCTTGAGGGTGTTTCGGGGCCGGGCGGAGTTGCCTATCTAACAATAAAATTTGCTCTCATAGAACCCATTATCGAACATTGAAAATTTCCTATGTGGATCCTTGGTGGAGCTGCAGAGTGGGGATGCAACGATCCGTTGATACGAGTACGCGTATTCAGGGCACCACGATTGGTCGGTTTAATTAGACTTTTTAACCTTTTTAACCCTTCAACCTGGCTCCACCATCTTAAATAGCCATTCAACTATAAAAAAGCGTCCAGGTTAGTTCAATTCTTTACTTTCAGTATCCACTGATCAAATCATCTACTCAAGACAAAAAGAAAAGAACAATGGCCGAGTTAGAGCCTTTGCAGAGTGGCTACTATGTCTGGAAATATGTCCCCTCTATGGTCGCGGCCGTTATTTTCTTGATCCTTTTTCTTATTGCAACACTGTTCCATTTCTGGAAAATCTTCCGAGTGAGGATACGCTTTACACTACCGTTCGCAATTGGCGGCATATGTGAGTGAACGCATTTTGCAATATTCCAATGTTGTGTCCTGCTTGTACACGAGCTAACAAAGTTCCTCACAGTCGAAATCATCGGCTACGCGACCCGAATTGATTCCCACAATAATACCGGCAAGTTGATGCCATACTGTATCCAGGCAGTGTTCATTCTCCTTGGTCCGGCGCTTTTCGCCGCATCGGTGTACATGGTACTTGCCCGCATCATCCGGAGTGTCCATGCAGAACAACACTCCGTCCTGCCATTGAACTGGGTGACCAAAACGTTCGTACTGAGTGATGTTGTCACCTTTTTGGTTCAAGCAGGCGGATCCGGAATGATGGTTAGCAGCAGTCTTACGCATATTGGCCAAGGAATTGTCATTGCCGGACTTGCTTTGCAAGTTGTGAGCTTCTGCCTTTTCATTGTCACAGCATATGTGTTCCAGACACGTATGCGGCGCAACCCGACTGCGGAGGTATTTGACAATGACGTTCCATGGAAGCAGCATCTTTACAGCCTCTATGCTATAAGTGCTCTAATTGTTGTCCGGTCCATATTCCGCGTTGTGGAGTATGCTATGGGCAATGATGGCTATCCCTTGACCAATGAATGGACATTGTACCTCTTCGATGGTGTTCCCATGTTTGCCGCAATGGTGATATTTGCTATCTGGTACCCAAGCGACTTGAAGTCTTTCCTTGTCGAAAAGCCACTCCCAATGAGTGAGACGATTCAGAGCAAGGCATGATCATAAATGGGTTGACTTCCAGATCAACCTCCTCCAACGATCTTGTTTTTTTCCTTTCATTGATGCCCATGAATTTACGCCCATGTACTCATTCTCTTTGTTTTTGTTTCTTTTTTTTTTCTGGGCCAATGTCATGGCTTTTCTGGCTTATATAGAAGGAATCATAGTTGGTCGAAGTGCGCAGTTATCTGTGGTTCGCAAATAAGCCTGTCTCTGGACACAAATCGTATATATTGAAATTCAATTTCGCTTGCACAATTCTATTCCATCCAGGTTCCCACCTCAATCCAGTCCTCGGTCCTCAGATGCGCGATATCGGAGAGGACGAGACTGTTCATTCCAGATGTCGACTCATCCTGAGGTCCATCAGAGTTTTTCTTCCTATCTCGCTTGTTTTCCCGTACCGGTGAAATCACATTTGAGGTCCAACCTGCATATCATTGCACATCTGCGGGCCCCTAATACTGTCTTCTCCGTGATATACTCTTTGTGTCCACGGTATTAATTGGGCGATGTATATTCAAATGTTTCGAATCGTCAACTGATTCAACGGGCTAGCCGAATGAACATCTGGATGGAACATTGACTCGGAACCTTGGAAAGTTCAAACTTCAAATGTTCCAAGTTTCAAATGTTACACACACACACACACCGATCAATCAAACATTGTGCAAATGATCATCAACATTACCGCATTTATATTTCCCGTGGTCCACATCAATGGGAACACAAGTTCCGACTCGGAGGCGATCATTTGAAACCTTGGAACATTGAATGATTGCGACATTTTGAGTACATAGTATAGGAAACATTAAATCTTTCATCAATTGCTTCCACTTCAATGTTGGAAAAATATCGGTCGGCAAGAGGCCCCATCGTTGGCGATTATGTGAACCTCCAAAACACCTAATCCAAAGCATGGGCGTGAAATCTAACCAGTTGACAGGTCATCTCGGGGACATGGATCACTACTCACTAATGGGAGGCTGGAACCATCTGGACTGTCAAATTGAGAAATTCCAATTCTCAAATTATACTTTTTTGCTACCATAGTTACACTACCATAATTACACCATGCCATTTGCTAAAAATTAAGGTTAAACCGAAAAAGGCGATTTCGCCAAGAGGAAAGTGGATGAGTCAGCATTTTAGGCACGCGCGCCCGGAAAGAAATTCCATATCGAACGCAGAGCGGTTTATCCCTTGTCCACAGCAGAAGGCTCCAGGAGCCATGAAAATGAAAAACGAAAGCTAATCGACCTGTTCTTAGCTGAAGGGCAAAATATGGTCCATCCTAGAAAGACACATAGGAAATCGAGGCATGGCTGCGTCGAATGCAAACGTCGCCACGTAAAGGTATGGTGCTCGACCTTCATGCGCTGGGAAATGGCCCATGCAGGTGAGCGAGGGCTCGACGCTGATCCGTATACAGTGCGACGAGACACATCCAGAGTGCATCAACTGCAATGTCTCCCAACGCTCCTGCTCATATCAAGATCTTGTCTCTGCAGCGAGTGCTGTTGTGCAACCTTCGCGACCGAAATCCAAACGCGCAGAGAAAAAGAAAGACACTCGAATCTCTTCAGATGAAGTTCAGCTAGGAGCCACCGACTACTCTTCCCCGGTCAACAAGCTCCATTTAGGATTATTTCACCACTTCCTTGCCGATATCCGATCTTTTCTTGGTCATGACAACTTCTCCTACGAGGGGTCTGCTATAGATATCACTTCGCAAATATTGGCTGCGCCATTCCTGATGAACCAAATCCTCGCGTTTTCCGCCCTGCATCGCAGCATCACTCGACCGGAGAAACGGGAGTACTATCAGTATCATTCATCGCAACTTCAAACACACGCCCTTTCCGAATTCAATGGCCAAGGACTGAACGTATCCGCTGATACTTGTATTCCGATGTTCCTTTTCTCCTCATGTATGGCCCTGCATATCCTGGCTGATAGCCTCTCCTTCCGCCCAGCTGGCTTTGAACCGTTTCTCGACCACTTCATCCAGTCGCTGAGGATGCATCGTGGTGTCCGTGCCATAACGAACCAATCTTGGCGCCTGCTGTTACGTTCGCCGCTCAAGTCCCTTCTCGAAAACGAAGCATTGAGACTAGATCACGGCGCGCCTGGCGATGAATGTCTAGAGCTATTAACTCATGTGGATGCTATGCCTGACTCGGCAATTAGCTCTATTTATCGGCAGGTCACCGAAGACTTACAGAAGGTATACAACGCAAGCCGCTCCTCTCTCTCATAAGACTTCTCCCAAATTGGCCCAATCATGTCCTGGCCAGTCCTGTTTCTTCCGGAATACATAGATCTACTCTCGCAACATCGACCCGAAGCGCTCGCTATTCTTATCCCACTTCGGAGTTATACTGCACCAACACAAAGACATATGGATCTTCGGTGACGGTGGGTTCTATCTCATTTCTGCAATCAAGAGCTTTCTTGGGCCGGAGTGGGCAAGTTGGCTACAGTGGCCAAATAGGTTCATATAGATATTTCAACCTTGGAAACGAGTGACCAAACTACTGGAGCGAGACGAAGAAAAAGCGAAACTGTTCAAACCCCTTTACAACTTGGGTACTCTGCAACTTAATAGGTGATCGCATACAATTTTGCAACTCGGACATGTCTCTGAGACATCGTGCTAGTGCTGCATCCGAGGTCTTGAAGCTTTGGGGATGCGAGGGTTGCCTTTACACCACAACATGTGTCAACTGTCACTTTCGTTGTAGAGACAAGTTTTGCGACTTCTATGAAGCCCCCTCTGACCAAGACTCCACGAGGACCCTCCTCAAATAACCTCAAGTAACTACCCCCTGTAAGAAAGGAAGAAAAAGGCAACCAAAAGAAAAGAACAATTCCAAAGAGTTACTACATACTGTCCTCTCTGCCGAGTGCTCCACATTTCCTTGAAAATAGTCTTGAACTATATCGGATTGAATCCTTGATCCCCAACAATGATAATATGATTGGCTGGGCTGCCATTCGGGGGCGGTTATTCAGAATTTTGACTCCGCATTACGATTAATGATTGGAAGGCGAACTGGATCGACATTCGTCCTCCTAATGCAGGAAACAAAGAAAGTGACCAACATTTGAAGTGGGTCACATGAACTACGACAACCCGTTTGACACTCCTAAAGTTTCTTTCCCATCTCCGGCCCGTTGCTTTCCCCGATCATTTCTTTCACATTTCGCTTCCCACACCCACAGCAAGCCACCCAGGAATGGTTTCAGGGCAACCGGGGGAAAGCCATACATGTCGAAAGGATGCATGGACTGCAGAAGGCGGAAAATGAAGGTAATTTGGTCTCCCCGCTCTCCGGACCTGATGTTAAGCATTGAGCCAGTGCGATGAACAAAGACCGGAATGTGGCCGGTGACTCAAATCCAGGATCAAATGCCAAGGATGGGAGATGCACCGAAATTTTATCGGGGTTGCCTCGATACTTGAAGCAAGAAAGCAGCAAAAAATGATTAACAGATCGGAGCCGATCAGGGAGGCGCGTGCTGACACGACACAATCAAGCTCGGCCCCACCACAGCCGAGGCTACCGATCGTTGTCCATTACGCTCAAGCCATGCGCGCTCAAGTCTTAGGATCCTTCATGGCGAACTACCTTCCAGGTGGATCTATTGCTTCGAGCAGCAACTTTGATGCTTTTGTGTTTCGCGGCATCGAAAGTCTAGCCCCACAGGAGCCAAATAACAGATAGAGCCTTATCCGCACCATCCTGCCTTTATCTAGGCAAGGCGAATCGCAATACTACGATCTACAACCATGGGCTATACTTGTATAACACTGCGATACGACAGCTGTCCAATATGATACGCAGAGGGAGTTATGCCAATGAGGTTTTTTAGACAGTACTTTTGTGCCAGGAGATTGACGTATGGCCCCGTATCCCTCCTTGCCCTTTTTATTTATGGTATTGTTCTGTAATTTTCGCCAATCGCATCAAAAAACATAACTTGACGCCGAGCTGAGATTATCGAGAGCTAGGGAAATCCAACATCATAATCAAGAACTTTGGTATCGATGCCAAAAGACTGTTTCCCTAAAGTTGGTCCTTTGAGTTACTTTCAGTTCAAACTAGAGACAAATTTTACTGAATTACTTTCTTCACAGCTGCAGCTGGATAATTCATTCACGGGAGTTCGGTAAGCGCTTTAGATGATCACTTACAAGAATCTAATCTGCAATTGACTGCACTCAAATTCCCGTGGATTCTTTAATATTTCCATTAATTACTTAATTAGAACTATTAATTATGAAATCATATAATAACCCTGTCCGCTTAATAGGAATAGTGTTACGCACTGCTCGTGCGAAGTCAAGGGATATCGTGCGTTAGGTCCTCTTACCTGGTGGATGCTCCGTCTTCGTCGTCTCGATCTTGCAACCGTACCGTTACCAGTTGACGTTAGGCTTTACACGGGCTCGGGTCTATGGGATAGACGTAGAGATGCTTCGGGCGAGGGCGCCTAGTCAAGCTATACTAGGTGTCTGAGTCAAGGGACTTAGAGACCAAGGATACCTCTCCTAGTTAGGGGTTTGTCTTGTACGAACGAGGTTGGTGATTAGAACTGTTGGGTTCCAAGTAACAATGTAGGATTGAACGTGAAGAACTAAATACATCTGGGTAATGAATGTCTTATATATCTAATCCTCCTGGTCCCTACTCCTCGATATACCCGTTGGTAGATCTGGGAGTCACTCGTATACTCCTGTGTATACTCCCGGGTCGACGTAGAAGTCGACGGTCACGTGATGTTATCCTGCGATCACTGATTTCCTGGGAACCTCCTGTTCCTGCGATTGGCCATGGTTTGTTGTAAACCATGCCTTGTCTTCGGACGTTAGAGTTCCTGCGACATGAACTGCCCTGGGATCCTGCGATCCTTGTTGTGTCCTAGGATCCGTCGCATCCTGCGATCGGTCCTTTCCTGTGATGTGGCTTGTCTTCCGATGCTAGAGTTCTCCCGATACTCTTGTGTTATTCTGTATTCTGGGGAACAACGGAATGGCCATGGTTCGTAGAACCGTGGTGTGCACGTGACCTGTGTTTCTCCGCGAGCTGCGGGGATCGATTGGGTCTCGTTGCTTCTTAAGTCGGGACGGCCCCTGCGGGTCCGTAACACCTTGGATCAGTGAGCGCGGGTGGCTCCTCACGTGTCTGCCTGACGTTTCACAGCTCCTGGGAACGGTTGGTTTAGACCTGTGCAAAACCCATGGGTTTTCCCATGGGTAAGGCCCATACCGCCCCATGGGTTTTTGGACCATGGTCCATGGGCCGGGGTTATGGCCCATGGGTACCCATGGGCCAGAAAAAAGTGGGCCATTGCCTAATTTGGATGAGTTATGAAAAAGTGGGTCTGGACTTCCTAATTTAGAGGTTCAACCCCTCCTAAATAGGTAGTATTCTAGAAATAATATTCTAGAATATTCCCTATTTAAGTTAGATCCCTTCTAGAAGCCTTCCTAATTAGGCAACGATGAGTGTAGATCACACAAGTTGGTGGTCCTTGAAAATATATATATCAACGACTGGACTTCACCACCATTCTAACCACCACCACAACATATATATATTTTCGGAGACCTGTAAATCTACTAAGTTAAATATGCTGATTCTTTTAGTAATAAAATCAAGTGAAAATATCGATATTTTTGGCTTATGCACATTAATTTATGCAGCTTGGATCCACCCGTGGTTTACCCATGGGCCGCATGGCCCATGGTCCAAAAACCCATGGGCTTTTTACCCATGGGGATTTTTTACCCATGGGTTTTGGACCATGGGCCATGGGCCATGACCCTAGCCCATGGGCCACCTTTTGCACAGGTGTAGGTTGGTTCTCAATTCTTTTCTTGAGGGCCGACCGAGTGGGTCCGTAACACTTAGACCTATAGGAGTAGCTTTTAGAGTATAAGTAAAGTAGTAGCCCTTAGTAGTAAGTCAGAGATAAGCTACTAATTACATTAAGTTATAATTAAGTTAAGTTATAAGTAATAATAGTAAGAGGTAATAGTTAAATAATAAGTTAGCAATCTAATTATAAGTAGACCTGTGCAAAAAGTGGCCCATGGGCCGGGGTCATAGCGCATGGGCCATATGGGGCAAAACCCATGGGCCAGGCCTTTAGGGACTTTAGCTTTAGGCTTTGGACTATAGGCTATAGATCTAGTATCCTTATATATAGAACCTCTATTAGACCTGTGCAAAAGGTGGCCCATGGGCCAGGGTCATGGCCCATGGCCCATGGTCCAAAACCCATGGGTAAACCACGGGTGGATCCAAGCTGCATAAATTAATGTGCATAAGCCAAAAATATCGATATTTTCACTTGATTTTATTACTAAAAGAATCAGCATATTTAACTTAGTAGATTTACAGGTCTCCGAAAATATATATATGTTGTGGTGGTGGTTAGAATGGTGGTGAAGTCCAGTCGTTGATATATATATTTTCAAGGACCACCAACTTGTGTGATCTACACTCATCGTTGCCTAATTAGGAAGGCTTCTAGAAGGGATCTAACTTAAATAGGGAATATTCTAGAATATTATTTCTAGAATACTACCTATTTAGGAGGGGTTGAACCTCTAAATTAGGAAGTCCAGACCCACTTTTTCATAACTCATCCAAATTAGGCAATGGCCCACTTTTTTCTGGCCCATGGGTACCCATGGGCCATAACCCCGGCCCATGGACCATGGTCCAAAAACCCATGGGGCGGTATGGGCCTTACCCATGGGAAAACCCATGGGTTTTGCACAGGTCTAGGTCCGACCGGGAATTACATTAGTTAACTAGTTAGTTACTTACTACGTACTTACTGATTGCTTAGAGATATTTATTAAGTACTCATACTACGCTCCATCTATACCTAAAATAGATTTTGATCCCTAAAAATGCTATCGAACTATAGACTATATTTTAATTTTAAAAGCTATGTATGCTCTTAATTCTAGAAGGTTATATGCCATGATATTCTTGCTTATTTCCCCTTTCCCTACCCCAAAAGATATGTATTTATATAGGATAATATAAATTTAGGGGTATAGGCTAAGAATATTATATATAGTTGGATAAAGAGCTCTTCTAACTATAGGATTAATAATATCTGTCACGGGTTGAACCCTCTTCGTACTATATGGCCTTGCCACATAGCCTTCATCGCTTACTGCCGTTCTGCCGCCGCCCTACCAGCTATTGTTTACCGATACACAGCTTACTCTATTCCTTCTCTCTTTAAGCTTTTTGTACACAGATCTGTTACGGACCCACTTGGGGGGGCCCTCAAGAAATAAAGGACGGAAAACCAATCGTTCCCAGGAATAGGGATACGACAGGCAAACACGTGAGCAGCCACTCAGACTCACTGAGCGATCAGATGGCAGGACGAGTTTGGAGCGGAAATCCGTTACATAGGTTACTCCACGAGATAGATCCCCGCTCCCGCACCAAGCCGACCGCCTTTACCCTTTTGGGCCAGAGACAACATCACGTGACCGTCGACTCCCACGTCGACTCCGGAGTATACGCAAGAGTATACGAGCGACTCCTAGATCTACCCTCGGGTATATCAAGGAGTAGGAACAAGGAGGATTCGGTATATAGGACAGTCATTACCTAGATGTATTTAGTCTTCACGTTCAATCATACATTGTTACTTGGAACCCACCAGTTCTATCACAGCATCCTTCGTACAAGACAAACCCCGACCAGAAGAGGTATCCTCAGTAGCTTGTCACTTGACACAGTTACTTAGTATAGCTTGACTGGGCGCCCCTAGTTCGAGACACCCTCTACGTCTATCCCATAGACCCGAACCCGCAGTTAGGCCTAACGTCAACTGGCAACGGTACGGTTGCAAGATCGAGACTACGAGAACGGAGCATCCACCAGGTAAGCGTACCTAACGAGCGATACGTCCGGTAACGAACGAGGAGTGCGTAACAAGATCGTGGCCTAGTTAGAATTGAATCTAAGTTCTGCTTCAGCCCTTCACATAAAGATATATAAAGCTTTCTATAGCTTAATGTCCTAAAAAGATATATATTATTATAGAATAAAAAAGGAGTATTAGTTCCTTTATTAAGCTCTAAAAGTTAAAGTATATAGATAAGACTCTCATAGGCTCGGGTGTTGCCGCTCCGTCGTCTCCGCCCCTGTAGTGCCACAGTTACCATGCCGTTCGTTCCACGGAGAAATTCTCGCCGTAGAGACTGGCAGTCGGTCATCCGCGGCATCCGCCTTTGTCGACTCTTAATTTCTCCCGTAAAATTAAAACTCAGCATTCTTGCCTCTCCACGTCCCCTCCGCGGACTACTTGCACCTCGAAGATGCGCCCGTCACAGTGTTTGGTGGCAACCCGTGCATGTGACTCTTGCCGACGCCGGAAAGTCAAGTGCGATGTACGTGGGCATGTCCATTCAATAGGGTCGTGATAACACGCGTGAGGCAGGCAGCTAAGGTGTGTGCTAATTGTCGAATATCTCAGTTGGCGTGTCGTTATACTATAACCCCGAAGAAACGGGGTCCAAAAGGTCCAAGAAACCCATTGCCTGCACGGGAAGGCTGCCCCCCCCCCCATTGCGAAACCTCCGCAATGAACAATCGTATTATGGCCCCTTTGTGGTCAACTCCAGACCCAAGGAGACCTACTGCAACACCACAAACTGGAGGACGAAGAAATGCGTTGGCTCATCCATTGGCTGAAACAGAACAATCCCTTGCAGCCAAAGCATGACAAACTATTAGGGACGATTTGATGGACGTGATGAGCTTGGCGTTGCCGTCTCTGCCAGCGTTAGATGTTATGAACCGCTGTATGTAACTTTATATGCAGTACGTATTCCCCACGGCCCCGATCTTGCACAAGCCCACTTTACGGAAATACGCCGTGATCTTCTTCGGGACAGGCACCACGGAGGTATTAAGAGCACGCAGCCGCCAAGAGGAGGTTGTTAATATGCGATCCTTTGCGCTCCTCAGTAGCCTATGTGCGTCAGTCGCATCGATAATACCCGAGTCTCTATTGCCCTATCGTCATTTAATTGCCAGGCCATGTCTTGACGCATCACGCGAGATGCTCAGGCTGTTTGAAGACTACGACGTGGAGTATCCGACCTCAACGTGAATCACCACCCGGTTACTGTAAACTGTGGCCGTGCAGAAGATTACCGGAAAGGCGAGTTTGACATATCATATCCTTGGTCAAGCGGCCCTCATCGTCACAAGTATGCGCCTGTAGAGTAAGAAGGCACTCAGTGAACATGATGCACTTGAGAACCATATTGCGCCATATTTACTGGCACATGTATGCAGCCGATCAGGCATCGGCATGTCTGTGCCAACTCCCATTTCAGCTACATGAGTTGCTGTATGATGAAGAGCCAACAACTTGTAGCCCTGAGGGCGATCCAGTAACCCCTCAGCTTGATATGAGGCAGACACGGTACGATGGGACAGTTGAAGGGCGCCTACTGATTGGTTTCCATTTTATTATTTGCCTTTGGTCCTCGGCGGCCAGGCTCATCTTCGATATGAGAGCCCATGGAAGGGGAAGTCACATCGACAAGACACGGCTGACACGGCTGACACGGCTGACACAGGGATACATGGACTTCATCGGTATTATGGATGGCCTTCCGTGTTGGTTGCATGCTGCGAATTTTATCGCCTCTGGCAGCGATGGAGACGTTGTTCAATACCAGAAAACCGGTTTTTGGGTCCAAAGATGTACCCATAGTAGTGATGTTACTATGTGCGACACCGCGAAATATATACTTCGGCCAGATCGGCTCTATCAGCCATAGCCAGGTGGTCGGCTAGAAACCGGATCAGTGCATATCTTTCATTCTTCTCTATTCTGTCCTCCATCATCTTCCTCCAACATTCACTTTCCCGTTACCAGATGAGCCGAGCCCTAAGACAGGTTGTACTTGGGAGCTTTGATGGGGCAACACGACGATGGCCACGCATCCGAGGCGACGGGAGCACGCACAGCGGACCAATCAGGTTTTCGGATGAATCCAATGGGGTCGATCTCAGAGGCGCATAGGGTATAGGCTCGCGCCGGGTTAAGATGAATAGGCTTCTACGTTAAAAAATTGAACGGACTTATGTGCTAGTAAATCGAATAGACTAGCGAGTAGGTAAATCGAATCGGCTAGCGGGTAAATCGACCGGGCTCGGGTACGGGAAAATCGAATGAACTTTAGTATGCTAAAGAACACTTGTACCGCGACAATAGTAGTTAAACTAGTTTATATAATATCCGAGGGTCTAATATATACTGTAGAAGACGTCTAGTATCTATAATTATCTAGATTAGACTACTCGAATGTAGGTCTAAGGATAGTATCTACACTGCTACATAGAGCCTCTGAAATCTGAACCGTCCTTTCTACTCTCTATGTAACTTGGATACCACTAATGTAATGTGTATATTATTTTGTAACGTGTTTCACTAGTTTAATTAGCGATTTAGATTAAATTGCACCACTTTTTTAAACCAACTATTGAGTGTTTCCGCATTTTATGCGTAATGATGGTCGGTGGATGTTAGAAATATATATTTCTACTAGTCGCATCTTAATAGACGGGTAGTTCCGCAATCGCGCCCTATCAAAGAAACCACCATTTTGAAAACTTCACCACAACCTCAATTTAACTTCAATTCATCTTAGCGTGCAATATTATGTATAACACTACTAATTCTCTAAAATAGCAGATCTAAAAATCATACCTTACCGGGAAGGTTAGAAAGAATGGAGTGGAAAAGAGTGCAAAAGACTAAATCGAATGAACTAAAATCGGAAAAGTAGGGCCTAACAAAACAAATCGCGTCGACCTGATCCGATTTACCCCTATGGGATAGGTGGCGACTGGTTATAAGGGATCATTACCGATGATTTAACCCTTTATCTCTTACTAAGTGCGCCCTCACTATTTAGCTGTTATGATATACTCTGACGTGAGGTTATTCACAATGTTAGTGCCTGAGGCTAACCGTACCTGCCTGGTCGCAAGGCCCTCGGTGGAGGACCGCTATCCTTTCGCTTCTGGCACGTCTACAAACCCCTGCAAGGAAGATCCTTGGGGAAGGCTACGCAAGCCTCGTGTCTTTCCCGCTTCCCCTCATCCTTACATGGATATATCTCCTTCCTGTTTGACGAATGAAATTGTATGTAATGTCGGCCACGGAGAGTAGGCTTTACGCTCCTCAAGAAACAATCTTTGTCCGTTCTGAACAAATCGACTTGGATCCTTTCTCCTACCTGATTGATAGGCCTCTATTGTCCAATATATATATGCCGGTATCTGCCGCGTTACTAACGATAATCTGGTGAGATGAAGGAATATTCTAGAGCAATACCGAGTTGATCCACAGAAGCTTCATTTCTACCAGCTTCCAAACTTATGATTAACTTTTATATACTGGACAGGTCTGATATGATATTGGTGGAATTGAGAATTTTGTTGGGCGAGGCAGGTTGCCCACGGTCGTACAACGGACCCAAGGGTGCGGGAGCACGCACCACTGGCCAATGAGATGTCTAACAATTGGTATTGGTAGTGCATACTAATTGACAATAGGGAATAGGCTAATGATATTTGCGAAATTAACGCATTGGAAAACGGCGCTTGCACTATTGTGTAGTTTGTTCAAAGTAACCTTCATCCTTTGTCATCCTACCGACCCGAGTGACGCAGCGCTTGCGACCAGTCAACTATTTATGAGGCGATGTTTGAAGACCTTAGGCGGCGTTGGCGGCGTTTCGCATCTCCAGATCCTCTGCCCCGGCTTTCATTGTATTCACAACCGTCTGGGAAGTCTTGGGTTCTAAACTCTTTTTGACCGGGTTTGGAGCCGAGAAAACTTCCTCGAGCTCTTCGAGTGTTCGGCCCTTGGTTTCGGGCCAGAAGAAGTAGATGACTGTAAGTTCCAGGAGATCCCATCCTATGAAGATAAGATAAATGTAGTACTTCAGAGCGGCAAATGCGGGGGATGATGAATAGGTAATGACTGTTGAGGCCACCGCAGTGAACAACTGAGCCAAAGATTTTCCCTTGGCTCTGGTGTTGGTATCGAGCACCTCAACAATGTACATAGGCGAGAGGGGAGCCCATGCCAAATAGATACTGAGACCAAAAAGATAGATAAAGGCGACAGTTGTATTCGCGATGGCCGAGTTATGTGGATTCTCAATGGCGAACTTCGACGTTGGAACGATGATCGCGAAACACACAATGCAGAAACTTAGGGTGCCCAGAAGAAGGGGCCGTCTCCCAACCTTGTCCATCAACCTGGCCCCGCACAGGTTCGCAAGAAATGTGAGTACGGTAAAGATACCGTTTAACATCAGCTTCTTCTGCTGGGAGGTAATTCCGGCGTTTTCGAGCATAACCGGCAGATAGGCGCTGGTAAGGGAGCTTCCAGACCATTGACCAAAGGTGGCCATGGTCAGCACACAGAGTAGCCGGCGGCGGGCAGGACGAGTACTCCAGAGCTCTCTGTAATCCCACCACCTCTTATCAGATCCCACCGTTGAAATTTGAGCTTCCATCTCTGCCATCTGCAATTTGACAAGAGGATGATTCGAGTCCCCCTCCCCGTGGTAACGGACCAGTACCTCTTTGGCACTGCGAAGACGACCTTGAGCGACCAACCATCTTGGGCTTTCCGGCAGAGTCCAAACAAAGGTGAACAGAATGCCTGATGGGATCAGTTGACACCACAGAGGCAAACGCCATCCACTCCAGCCGCGATACTGAGCCGCATAGACTACCCACGTTGCCACGATGGACCCGATTCCACTAGGTCATATATTAGCTCTCAAACTACAGCAGTGAGTGATTCTAATGAGACGTACCCAAAGCTTGAGTAAATCCCCATCAGTGTTCCACGCCAGTATGGGTGAGCCATTTCGCCGACATATACTGGGGCACTGATGTTGCAGAAACCAACGCCAAATCCTAGGATAAATCGCCCTCCAAGAAACATCCCAGTGTTGAGTGATTGTGAAATGACAAGAGTTCCAATGATGACAATAGTGGCTCCGGTAAACATGCCAGCTCGCCGGCCAAAATAATCGTTTACAGGTCCGACTAAGGGAAGACCAGCGATAGTTCCTATTTCGGAGTTAGACAGAACACTAGTACATATTATTCCATTAACATCCTCACCAATTCCGTAGATGGCGAACACAAGACCAGTGGAAGCGGAAGCCGTTTCCCTATACAGAAATTAGCTAGAAACACTGTTAAGAGTCTTCAGGCGAGCCTACATATTGAAGTACTGCTGATATGAAGCCATAGCGTTCAATCCCCTGTCGAGAGGTCAGTCACGTTGCCATGTAGCAGTCGTGGAAGCCTTCTTACCCCATGACAGAGCCATCGTAGCCGTTTGTGCCCGCGCCGAAGTACGCGCAGAAAAGGACTCCATAAAGACGTAACATGCTCAGCGTCCACGGCGAAGGCTTGATATGATCAGTATTTTCGGCAACGTTGACCATTTCGATTTCCAGAGCAGTAACATCGTCGGCCTGGTCACGCTTGTCAGGAGAGGCTGGCATCCCGGGGGCGTGCCCAGTTGGAGTGCCAACTTTGTTGTTTGATGACATATCGAGGAGACTTGGGACGAGAAGAAGATGGGGATAAAAGTCATTGTCTCGAGAAGGCATGGAGGTATTTCATGATATATAAAGTCTCAGATCCCCCACAAATTCCCCAGAGTGTCGCCCAACATGGGGTTCTACATGTGGGGCTGCGCGAATCCATAGGCCGGCAGTAGTTCGTCGCCCGCGTGCCATCGTACAGTGTCATACCCAGAAGGGATTATTAACCCCCCAACCCCACCCCCTCTTTTTTTGCCAGCTGGCCAATCATTTTTTTCTCCGCGGAGAATGGCCCAGTATTTCGCGGTTGTATTTCCTACCGGGAACACACTGGGATCGCATTGTGATGTTGGCTTTCAGTACGTAATTACCCATAATTCCAGGCAAAATACATATTTGACCAATCCCGAGTCCACGTAATGAAAATGGGCCCGCTTTCTTGACACTTGGTCAACTGAGTTCCGACGTCCCCGCATTTGAGCAGTCCACGGAATAATAAAACGTGGTGCGCAACACACCGGATTCTCTCCATGGCACATTTTCCCCTGCACTTTGCCAATCAAGTAGAGAACTCTCCGCGGGGGATTCGATATGCCCAACGTCCGAGCCTGCGATGCCTGCAAGCGCCGCAAAGTCAGATGTGACGCAGGCAGCCCTTGTGCCAACTGCCGCATCTCCCAGCTCCGATGTGAATACAGAATTGCTCCCCGGAAGCGCGGACGCAAGGCAAAGGAGCAAGTTACGGGAATTGAGATTGCTGGAACTCTCGAGCCTACACAGGGTGAGAGTCACAACAGCCTTCTTCCGCTAGAAAACCACTTTCCTACACGTACATGCTTCAATGGGCAGCCCGAGCAGCCCTCGTCTGGTTCGCACCCACAGCCCGAGAGCCCGCCAGTCAATCTCGGCCAGACGCATCATGCGAGAGAAATCTATGTGCAACTAGTTGCTTTGGTCAACTCCATGACTATCTCGGGGTCCATAGAAAATGTCATCAATATCTGCATAGATCTCTTCGCTCAGTACATCTTTCCCAACTCGCCGGTAGCCCACCAACCCACCCTCCGTGCAGCTGCGTCGCTTTTCCGAGAAGCAAATCATCCGAACTGGATGGATATGTCGCCATTCTCCGAAGGGAATCCAGCGCTGTACAAGATCAAAGCCTTCACGCTCATCACTGCCCTCTGCGCGTTCGTTGCATCCATTGTACCCGATTCGCTCCTCCACCAGCCACGCGCGCTCTCGCAGCCATTCCTGCAGTCATCGAAAGCGATGCTAAGAACGTACGAGGAACATGACCTCGAGTATCCTGACTCGACTTCATTGACGATCCGGATGTGGTTGTCTGCCGCCTCACAGAACACCACGGGCAAGCCCGGCGCGACGTGGAATTACCAAGGAGAGGCAGTTATGTTGGCCCAGAGGCTCCGGCTCTACGATGAGCTGGCCGTCGCTCGGGACACGGTGCTCGAATCTCAGCTACTGCGTGCAATATTCTGGGCGCTATATCTGTCGGAAATGGCCACGGCAGCTCTTGAAAACCGCCCAGTGATGATGCATGAGCTTCTATTCGATGGCGAGTTGACCCTGCTCGAGCATGGTGAACATGAAGAACCGCTACTCGAAGAGAGCAAGTTCAACCAGGGGCATCTACAGAGTCGCCTGGCAATGGGTTTCCAATTGAAGCGACGAATTTGGTCTTCGGCAGCCGACCTGGTTGTTGACATCAAGTCATTGAAACGCCGTCAAAAGCAAGGCCGAGTGGCAGAAGCTGATGCAAGGCTCGAAGTAGCCAATTTTATGGATGCGTATCTAGACTTTGCGGGTTTGCTAGATAGTTTGCCTCCGTGGTTACGCGATCCCGATAGCCCGGTTGACTTAGTTTGTGATGACAAAGAGGTTGTGGAATACCAGAAGACGTGCTTCTGGTCGCAAAGAAGCAACATTACGAATGTTTTCTACTGCACTAGCCTTGTTATTCTGCAGAAGTGCATCGAAAACAATGTTCCATCCATCATGGGACTCGACGATAACCCACTTTCATGGGCAGCAAGGAAGCTTGAGATCGTTCAAAACTTTCTTCAAGAGTTGCAGCGAGTACCCTTCGTCTGCCTGAAGGTCCAGGGAGAAGCAGGTGTAAGCAATGAATCTCCGGAAAAATATCATACTCTCCGCTGGCCGCTTGCTAATACGGACACGGCCCTCAGGTTGAACGAGTCCGACGCGTTGGTAGCCTCCTCCTCGAAATGGTGCACAATATCGGGAAACAAAGCATTAAGGAGCGCGCGAAGTCCCACGTTACACAACTGCTGAGCATTCTGGCAAAATTAGACTCGAAGGCTTGCGATGAACTGGACGAAGTGGTTGCTATGTGACTCAAGATTGGCATTACTGCTATTGCCGATAGTGTTCCCAGAGCCAGTCGTCGCTAAAATTGTGGGACAGACTTCGAAATGTTGGTCTTTGCGGCGATGCCTCAGAAGAGTGTGAGAGTAGATGACCCCCAGTCCAGTCTTGATCGGGCATCTCGCCTGAGCTCAGCACTCAAGAAATTGAATCAGGGTTCAGCTTGGGGAAATACGGCTAACAAAAGACTATAATACCACCATTGATCACCCCGTATAACGGAGGTCATTCTGCTGCTTCAAAATCAAAATCCTGACCTAATATCTGAACAAAACTTAATATCTCAACAAGTTTCTACATTTAACAGCTGCAAAAATGGATTACAAATTGTTCAACACAATGATCGAAATCGATCGGCTTGGTGGCTCTGGCTAGGCCAGTCGCCTTGTTCCGGGAGTGCAGCAGATCCCTATATATGCAGCTAGGATTGAAAACGACCTTCAGTTCAATGTCGGACCCTTTTGCATTAAAAGTCGGTTGGTTTCCCAGTGTTGACATCAATATACTCGCTTGGATGGTTACAATTCACTTCTACTCATGTGATTGGCTAATGTGAATACTTGGAGGGTCTGCACAATTCTCTACCCACCCTACTCAAAAGTCAAATTACGCATTTATTCAAGTATTTTAGAATAGGAAGGTATTAAGATTTTCGATATATTACGATTGTTTATTCAGTTATTCATACTAGATTATTTTCAGGCCCAGGGAAGAGCTTGTGGTAGCGTTCGTGATAGAAAGCTCAATTTGCGTATCAGCTTTAGGCTGTACGTAGAGATATGTCTAACCTGGTTATCAGGATTGATTGCTGATCTCCTTGCTTGCGAAAACAACCACAAATTGGCTCTTCTTCCTTTTTTACAACACATATTTTAAAAAAGCTGTGCCATCCGTTTCTATTGGCTCGTTATGAGAAAGAAGTAGATTTGACACTTCATGCAACTCTACTCCATGTCATCCAGAGTCACCAATTGAACTCTACTGCAGTTTCCATGGACTGGATTAGCAGGCTTCGGGGCTAGAATTGCGGCAGCCATAGGATTTAGCTCGGGGTCTTTCGCATCTTCATTCAAATTCTTGTTTATGGACCGAATGTTCAACAACCTTCGCATGGCTGATGCCATGAAACACCGTCAATAGAGCTAACCAAAGTGCCATTGGCTGCGAAAAAGTTATACGACTCGTCAATCTCCATGTGGAATCCATCTGTGCTGGTGATCTTGGTGCCATTGGCAGGACCAGTCGAAGTGATATCAGAATACCAATCCCAGCGACCATAGGTGAGATTGAGTGAAGTGTACGTAATATTTTCAAAGCCATTAACCATATTGAAGCCGTCATCCGAGAAGTGTTCGTACTGAGCCGAAATACTCCGTATTGCTGTATTTGCAGCGTTCAAGGCAATATGGACGTTGGCCAGCCCACTCACTTGACCATAGTGGATATAATTTCCCGCAGGTATGATTGAAGGGGCTGGGAGCGTCGCCCCAGGCACGTACTTTAGGGCCCAAGGCACTTCATCTGTCGCCTCAGGGACCCCAATGATCGGCAACGGCTTCCGACTCGTGAGCGTCGCAACCATGATGCGCCCTTGTCGCCCATCGGCATACCCCGAGCTCCTGCACGGAAGCGGATTTACGCCTCCGCAGACAGGCGATGCGGCGAACATCTGGTAGTAAACCACACGGGTTCCATCATAAGACCAGCGAGGATCCGCGCCTGCATTCCAGTATGGATCATTGATGCTTCCGGGGCTACCGTCCCCTGCTGAGTTGATCTTTTGACCAAAGTACAAATCTCGGTCGCCATTGTGGTCCAATAGGTAAGGCTCAAAGAATCGTCTCACGCCATTGTTACGTACGGAAGAAACGCCACCAACAGTAATGAGGTCTGTAATGGGAGGGATGCTGCGAATGGCAGCCATGAACATGAGCCGATCCGAACCGCGAGTGTCGAGGACAACTTGCCACTTGTCATCTGGTGACACGCTGATCGGGTCCGCGTACTCAGGGTGTGAAGTTATGCGACGTACCGCACCGGTAGTTAAATCACATGCGAACAGGTCGATATTGCAGGACTGCCACGGATATCCTACATAAACAATCTCCTTTCCCGTACCAGTAAGGCCACGAAGCTCACCAACTGCAATTGCGGAGCGGTTTATAAAGAGTTGGTTCCCTTCAACAGTGATTGTCGGAGGTAGGTTTGGGTTGCTTAGTATGTAAGCATTAATAATATCATATCTCGACCCAGTGGCATTGAATTGCAGACGCCCGAAACCGGTGAGCTCTCCTAAGGTGCCTCCGCTCTACGTGAAGCTGTTGAATGTTAAATGCACATTGTCTGGATGGAGTCGAATCTCGCGGAGAGTGGCACCAGCCCCCGTACCATTGTCGTCTCCCGTATTGCTAAGGCGTATAGGATAAATGTGTGTCTTGTTCGGGGTGCAGTCCTCACTAGTGAAATTGGCGTTGCCACAATCGATGATGTTGATTCCAGACATGGCTCGCTTGCCGTCTCGGAACGTCTGCGGGTATGCTGACAAATCCGTCGAAGCAACCATGTTCGTGGCTGGGACACCACAAGTAATGCATTTCCATGGATCGCCATTAGGAAAGGTAGTATTGTCCGCTTTGATCAATATCAACTGGGTACCTGTGTAGATGCTCGCCGGATCAGGAGCAGCAGAAGCCCCGACGAACATGACTGATGCAGTAACATGCTTGCCATCGGGTGTAAAGCTGCCACTATTCAGGCCCGCCTGGGCAATGCATCCAGTGCCTCGGTAATTGATGGCTAAGGAACAAGCGCCCTCAGTAGTATCAGCTATGAGCGGAGGGAGGGGCAGCTCGATGATATGGATCGGTTCAGGAGCTGGCGGTGGTTTTGCTCCTGTAACAATGTTACTGAAGCTTGTCAGCACTGTTATGACGGCTGCAATGAATAACATCGTGGCAGGATTGACTGTTGCGTATAAACAATTATAAAACTGTTAGGACTACTGCAGGACGGACATCATGCAACTTGTGATGATACCTATTATTTATATACTTATCTCGAGTACGGGCTGTCTCACTGGGGACCCACTCAAACCTCTGAATCCCAAGATCAACACTTCCCAAGATTGGTGAAAAGACCCGGAATATTAACCTAACTGATTCAAAACCTGGGTTAGGTTTTAAAGACGCGCGGGGAAGAACGTATGTCTCGAAACGCTTACCTTGATGCGACTTGTGTAATAAGACCGAAAGGTGCTCCTTCAACACCTGGACTGACTCCACAGAATGACGATGTCGGATCCGCGCAAATGAATAGCTTCTATTGGTGAACTAGGCTTTCGTATTCGCCCAATCAATATTACAGCCTATCCGTATTACTTCAACACATATTTCATACATTTGTCCGGGTGGCAATGTGGGGAGACAAGGCTAACGATAGGGATGACAGTCCCTTGTAAGGAAGAATTTTCCGCGGAGAAATGCAGATCCACTTGCCAAGGAATGAACAAAACCAGTCCTATGTGGCTGTACAACCAGCATTTAATTGTGATTGTTTCCATCCAATCCGACGGGTTAATTGTTGCACTAATCTAGCCCCAACAACTCGGTTTGCCTAGCCAGACAACGAAAATAGGCTAATAACAAAATTCAAAAGGAAATGGATTTAATGTCTCGTCCAGAATTAGCCACAATTTCTGGTCCATACCGAGCAGAGTTCACAATCTATAACTGGTGCAGTCAAGACACACCCCCGAGAGTCTAGGGAGGCCTCCAATCTCAACGTCCTCATGTCGAAGCCTATCAGGTATTAACGAACGACAATACACTATTCCCGGCCGTTAAATTCACGGCGAGGGGAAAGACAAGCCATACCCGATACCAGCTATCAGCCATGTGGGCCTACGTCCTCACACATCTTTCTTTACGCGTATTCCACGTTCCTACGGCAAGCCCCCTGTATTGGGCTTGATTGCGCTCATTCTGCTCGGGCAAACTGTGACTTTGTCCCGAGTGATGATCGCTTTAAGTAAATCTTTCCTAAGATAAGCTGCTTTCGTGCCCAAACTCGCTTGTACCTGCATCAATAAATAAACTCCGACGATGCGCAACAATGCTGGTGCACCGGACCTCAAGAAATGAGTTCCCGTAGATACTAGTGCTCCACACTCACCATGGGGGTTGACTTGAAGACCCCCCCTAGTATGAGATGCTTTTCGCAACGCCTTGGACTTGGCGCAGAGCATTAGTCTAGAAATGGAACCTCATTTTCTAGGAGAGGTTTTAGGGATGGCGTGGAGGAATTCTCTAAGAATGTGGAACCTGAACGAGACCAGGCTATCTCCCCACGGCAATTAGTGAGGTAAAGATGGTAATCTTCCACGGCAAAATTACATAATGACCATAGGAGAATCGACTTCTACAGGTAAGCACTAGTCGATGAGAACCTGACATCGGATAGATAAATATATTGGAATGTCAGAACAGCAGATCAAACAGATGTCCAGTATTGTTGTCCGACACAAAGCTAAATCAATGATGGTAGACAGAATCAAAGCCAAACTAGATGAGGCCGTGGAGAGTGGAATGTTCCTAGGTATTGGATATATTGCGATGCACAAGAGTGGTAAGATTAACCAATTCTCAACAATCCTATCGACGCTGCATTTGATCCGTTTGTCTGACTTGGTGTAGGCAAGATAATATATTCTGGTGCTCATGGAAGCCGGCACTTTTCAAAAGCCGAATCTATGACGTTAGAAACGGCTGGTTGGGTGGCCTCAATGACAAAATTATTAACCTGCGTTGCCGTAATGCAACTTGTTGAGAGAGGCCTCGTTGGCTTGGACGACGATCTCGCAAAGATTGTTCCATTTTTAGGCAAAGTACAAATTTTGACCGACTTTGATGACAAGACTCAGAGGGCAAAGTTTCGACGTCCTACACAAAAGATCACTTTACGGTTTGTGACGCGTCTGGTGTCTGTTGTCGAGCAAATAGCTGATTATTGATCAAGTCGTCTTTTGACACACTCAAGCGGGTTTATCTACGATGGCGATTCCCCCCCATATCTTCATAAATGGGTCATTGCAAATGGATTGGAAGGGAAGGACCTCTCAGGTGCAATTGTAGGTTGAATAAATCCTATACATATTTATGCATTTCTATTAATAGACTCATTTGCTAATGATACTTAGAGTGGCTACGAGCTCCCTCTCGTCTTTAACCCTGGCAGTAAGTGGGCATATAGTCCAGGCATAGACTGGGCTGGGAAAGTAGTTGAGGCCATCAGCAAACAAACACTTGAGGAGTACATGCAGCAAAACATATGGTCAAAAGTCGGCATGTCAAGAACTACCTTTCACCCGGAGAATCGTACAGAATATCCCATATTAGAGATGGGTATACGTCTTCATGGACCTGAGAGCCCTCTTACTCCTGGATTAAATCCATGGGGTAATCCCGCACATGACGATCTGGGTGGTGCCGGCCTCTACACGACAACTGAAGACTATGCAAAGATGCTAGCTGCTTTGCTACTTGATGACGGACCTCTGTTAAAAAGAGAAAGTCTAGAGGAGCTTATACGGCCCAATCTATCTCCAGAAAGTAGGGAATCGTTGCGAGTGCATCGATCCAACCGATATTACGTCGAAATTCCTAATAACTACGAGGTGGACCACGCTCTTGGCGGTCTTCTTGCAGTGGAAGATATCCCAGAGCGCAGAAGGAAGGGAAGTATATCTTGGGATGGAAGGTCGAGTCCCTCTTGGGTATGATCTCTCTTCACTAATAGAGTTACCGAGTCCTGGAAGAAATATAATACTAACTAGAACAGATGATTGACCGCGCCTCTGGGGTTGCATGCGTTATGCTTGTTCAGATTTTACCCACAGACATGATTACTACGAAAAGGTTATGGATCGAGCTGGAGACAGAAGTTTACAAGTTGCTCGAGTAGCAAGGGGTGCGCGTGTGTTACTTGCTAGTCTTATTTTTGGGTTGAAGACATTGGTATTAGTACAGTTAAGGGTCGATTGATTAGGAAGAGACAATTCCCTAGAATGTGCTCTACAACGCTTGTGATCAAGAAACAAAAGTTGAAGGCTGAACGATGTATACTGGAGAATGTTGGGAGATGTACCAAGAGAAAAATGCAGCCATACCTTGGAATCACACTTCGCTGCTTTGGACGAACTTTCATAAAGAGAACGTAGCGCCTAAGCCCAGCTGAGAGCAGATATGTATGCATTAAAAATGATTGTCTATGTCCAATCAAGAGAGGGGCATCGGATCAATGTGCAAACGGAAGAGAGCGAGAAATAGTAGCACACCTATGGACGGATTACAGAGAAGAGATGCTTCAGTGCCCGAAAACACTACGATGAAACCTTTCATTATACTTAGGCGGCCAGTCGCCGTCGAATAGCGCGAAATGGAAGACGAATATGAAACCTGTACGAGCAACAATAGGGTTTGTAATGGTCACAGGCCGTCCCGATAACTAACTCCCTTTCACCTAACACCAACTTTCACCTCATGTCACTTTTAGCTCGCGTCGCTTCAGCTGCCGTAGATAAGACGTTGAAAACTTGGAGGAATGACTTCAAGCTAGTCCGCAGATAATAAATACCTACCGCATGAGAAACCATAGTAAGCCAGGACATCAATAAAAGAGAGCCGGAACCAAGTGATCAAGAGGTATTGGCCCCGAGCGCGCTGGCGAAGTCTTCGTGGAACGGATCGCGGAAGGCTGCATCTGTCTACAGAGAGAGAGAGACGAAGTACGGCTGAATCTTCGGAGCATTCTCTCTCAACAGCAATGGAACAAAAGGTGCCCCCATCGCACACAGTACAACTAGACGTGCCAACTGGAGTGCATCCAGTGCTCCATATAGATCTGATGTGATACTAGGGAGTTGCTGCTCAGAAGTGAAGCCACCAAATCGGAAATCATTCCTGCCCATCTATTCCAACCATTGAGCGGGATAGTGCATCAGCTAGTAGGTTCTCCGATGAAGTTAGTGGTTTATTGCGAAGGAATTCTATATCCTCTTTGCCCAGACCCTTACATATTCTCCGCGGAAAATTTGAAACCCCTGCAGTCCACTTTTTCGTAGCCCCGTCCCTCAGGCTAAGTGGGGGGGGGGGGAATACGAATACGACTTAATCAACCTTTTCAGCCGAAACTTAAAGTTCAGTTGAATGATACCTTGCGAAATAATGCAACTACTTAAGCAGACCACAATCGACCCTCTAAAGGGACTAAGAAAACATGGTTGGTAGTTCTCATCCTGTCAACATCAATTTCCCGATAATTCCTATCTCTTTCATTCAGAACATCCAATTCTGCCAATTGATTCTAACTGAGGATGAAAATGACCGCTGTTAATCCAATTATTCCTGGCTTTGCGCCAGATCCTTCTGTGGTGAAAGTAGGAGAGTGGTACTACCTTATAAACTCTTCTTTCCATCTTTCCCCCGGATTGCCCATTTATGTCTCCAAGGATCTACTATCCTGGCATCAGATAGGTAAGTTGCTCAGATACGAATAGTCCAAGGGGATGCTGACGAACATGACTACTTAGGCAATGCAATCTATCGGCGGGATCAATTAAGCCTAGCAAGGTCGAATACAAATTTGAGTACTCAGTCACCCACTGGGGATATACTGCTTGCTACCGGTGGTCTGTATGCGCCTACGATCCGACATCACAATGGGATATTCTACGTGGTTTGCACCAACGCCATTCGTGCAGACATATCGTCACTGGACTCCAATTCTGTGAAACAAAACTTCATTCTTTCAGCCAAAGATATCTGGGCAAACGAATGGAGTGATCCTGTCTATTTCGACTTTCACGGAATTGACCCCAGCCTTTTCTTCGACGATGGTAAAGTGTACGTGCAGGGGGCTGCAGCACAAGGGATCAGCATGTTCGAAATTAATCTTCTCACGGGGGAGAGAATTTCTCCTGAGCGGACAATTTGGACTGGTTCCGGTGGCCTCTATCCCGAGGGACCCCATATCTACAAGCGGAATGAATGGTACTATTTGATGATCTCAGAGGACGGTACACATGAGAATCATATGGTCACAATGGCCCGCTCTAAGGATATCTGGGGCCCGTATGAGACGTGTCCCAATAATCCTATTCTTACTGCTCGCGGAACATCTGAGTATATACAACATGTCGGACATTGCGACGCCTTTGAAGACGGGGAAGGGAAGTGGTGGGGAGTCTCTCTTGGGGTGCGAAAAGCCAGCAACGGCAGCTGCATCTTGGGCAGAGAGACTTTCCTCACTTCTGGCAGATGGGATAAAGAATGGTTGACCTTCGATATGGTTAAACTGATTCCCACTGACCCGGTACGACGGGAAGGGACTTATGATCTGTCTGCCGCACCAAATGTAGACTTTGTCTATATACGGGATGCAGATCTCAGCAAGTATGACATCTCAAACGACGGCACACAGGTCACCCTTACAGCGTCGAGAACCGACCTGTCACATCCTAGCCTATCCCCCACCTTTGTTGGAAAGAGACAGCGTCGATTGACCGGTGAAAGCATCGTCACCCTCCGTCACCCGTCGGGCGTCTCGGCGTTGGATAAGCTTAAAGCTGGTCTCGTTTGCTACAAAGACGAGCACCGCTATATTCGCTTGTTCTATGAGGCATCAAACTCGGAGATTGTCTTTGAGTTTTTGAACAACGCCCAGAAGACCGTGAACACCGAAAAGCACACAATACACTCCTTCGAGCAATTAACACTGCGAATGACATATACAGAGCAGAGCTATTGGCTATCATATAGAGCTGATACCAGCTCAGATAAAGGATTCACGCATATTGCATCCGTCGATGCTTTACAACTCACAGATAGAGATTTTGTTGGGCCAGTGCTCGGTATATTTGCAGTTAGTGAAGATGATGGACCGGTTGTCAAGTTCACCGACTTTTCTGTAAAATAGATTGGCGTCTGTAGGAGAAATCCTGCGACTAATCAAAAGGCAGATGATTCTTTGCACAGATTAATGTCTTTCTTTGGCAATGCGTGGTGGGGGACTTTTTTTTGAGGCCGCTGCAAAACACCCTCTCCTGTGAACTGTACTTGCCAGGGTTAGCTATGGAGGTCGGCATGTATCATCGATGAGCTGGAAGCAAATATCGGTAACACGCATTTTCTCCGTTCCTGTTGCTAGGATACTGGTCTACGGAGCGGCCGGCTGCTAGCATCTGGCTCGGAGGAAGCTGCCATGGTGCGTGCCTGGGACCAGGCGACGGGCGCGCCCCAGCAGACTCTCAATGTCAGCGGAGTCCTGGATTACCTTGAATCTGCACAGGATCGTTCATATTTGGTCGTAGACTTGGGCGTCCTTGGTGTTTAGTCCAGGAGTGAGAACCATACTTCTAAATTAACATACAGGAATCTGTGGATTTTCATGATCAAGAGAGGTGGATCAAAGTGAACGACAAAAAATGTACTATGGCTTCCCTCTGAGGAACCATCTTATTCACCTGGTGTAGGGTCAGCTTGTTCCCATCCGCCAGTATACATACTGGTCCATACAGTATGGACCGTACTGTATCAGCGTTCTGTGACACATATTTATCGGTGACTGTGATATTATATGTAGACCTACAAAGGCTATATCAGGCTAATAGAGTGTTGATTGATTGATCAATTGATTGATCCTTACTAATACTGACATATTCAGTAAGTTCATCGGTCCCCTGTTGCGGTATAAGAGAACTGGGTTGGCTTTTCTTCGCTTTTAGTAGACCTCGAAGCGTGTCTGGTACTGATTCTTGAGGTGGTTGTCGAGACTGGGTCAAATAGATTGCTTCATATAGTCCGTGACAAACTGCTTTATAGCTTCCTTAAAGATACGCCGTAAGGTATAATCATTTCCATATACCTTCCCTGAGAGGAACTTCAGTTTATGCTGTGAAGCAAGGATGGTTCCAATAGCATATAGATTGCCGTCGAGTTCTTCCGTTCTGCTATAGTAATTCTTTAGTTTCTCCCGTCCTGTCTGGATAGCCAAAAGCATTTCACGTTTCCAAGATACCCACCTCTTCTTTAACCGATCAATAGATCTACCAAGGTGATCAAACATCAAATTGTAAACTTCGAAAGCGTTGTGAATAGTCACTTCTTTTGTTTTTGATAGCGCTTTAGTAAACTGATAGAATATCTCCGTCATACATAGAAGATAGCCCATCTTTCTCCGGTCGGTCGGTGTCAAGGCAAACTGTGATCCGGCATGGGCCTTAGAGTATTCATTAGACGCATCCTTGAGACGTTTCCCACGTCGGAGCATGAGATATTTTGAGTTCCCGCGAATCCGGATATCCTGGACTGGGGTAAGTTTGACTAGATTGTTTTGCAATTGGAGGACCGCCTCTCGTCGTTGGGGGCTTGCGTTGATGTAGACTGCAAATGATCGTGTAAGGAAACAAATTAGCATAATCTGATATATACCTAATAGAACAGACCTTTGTAAGTTTATACTTAATGCTCTTCTGTGAGTGACTTTTCTGTAAAAATTGTGCAAAGGTATCAGACCAGAGTCGGTCAGGATTTTCATTATCCGGATTGAGTTTAATCTGACCAAGAACCTCACGGAGACTGAGGTGAATGACATGAGTTAAGCAGGGGATCCGAACGAGGACCCCCCTATTTTAGAAGATCTAGCTCATTGATCGACTCTTGACAACTCTCTATAAGAGTCATATCTCGAACCTCATCCCATTTAGGGTTTGGATTCTTTGGGGCCGTGCGGAAGACTAATTGAAAGGACATATTGCCAAACATAGTAGCCTCCCTTCAAATACTCCAACTAAGTCATATTTGGCGAAGGCACGTATGGTAGTATGGAATTATGTCAAAGGTGCAATAAGTCGAGTCTAGGCAAGCCTGTTCATTGAGTCAGGTTCTAGAAGTTTTATACCTATTTTCAATACTCATGGGCTTGGAGAAAAAGCGCCCCGCGGATTTACAGTTCTGGCTCACAATTCCACCCTGGAACGCCCAGTTCTTGCTCAAGACCATCTTTCTAGTTGTTCCCTCGGGAGCACCGATAGTAACTGTGACAACACTGTTCTTCGCCGCCCAGGTAACGCTCAAAGCTCCACGGGGTGTGGGGACCATGGCGCTCACTTCATCCAATCCAAATCCCGCGTAATCCGGATCCACAACCCACGATTTATAATCAAATGTCACCAGCCGAATACCAGCCACGTAGTTCGTAAGTGCATATGTCGCAGCTCCGCCCTAAGGGTGGCTCAGAGAGGTAAACTAACCATAGTCTTGCTGGGATTTCTGGTTCACATACTCTGAGCTAGTATCCGATTTGGTAGAGTCATTGCTGACCATTGCGCCCCAAACGTTGTCCAGCAAGACTGCGACAGGAGCTGCCTGCTTTTGCTGTGGTAGGGCTGGGAGAAGGACACCGTTTGTGTTGGGTGAAAGGTTCGCGCTCGAATCTGATGGGGCGACCAGACTTGAGTCACGAAATTCTGGTCCCCGCTTGAGGGAAGGTAATTTAGACAACGTACGGTTGATTTGAGTGGTATTGGCTGATCCGGACGTGATGGCAAAGCCAAGAGCGAAAAGAGAGAAGTTCCCGAGTTGCGACTTCTGGATGAAATAGACGCCATATTCCTCACTCCACAAGTCGGCATTGAGGGTTCCTTGGAGGGATTTGGCGATTATAGCCCACTTTTTAGCCGATGAAACAACTGAGGCCATACCCTTAAACGCATCGACAGAGGCGGTCTTAACCACCGACCCAATAGTGAGGCACAGGAAGGCATTGACGAATAGTGAAAAGTCAATGAGTCTAGTAGAGTCGCTGCGATACTCTGAAAACCAATTGGGGGCAGCCTTCCATCCACCCCAGTACTCACGGGCAAATGAAGTGTCATTGGATTGCTCCATGTAAGAGATAAAAGAGATCAAGGCGAGGATCTCGTAGTCCGGCGGTCGGTATGCGACACCGCTGATTGCAAACGCCTTGGGTGCAATGTCTGGTGAGTAGTCAAGGGATGGGGCCATAGGCAGCTGGCCGGTGGAAAGCTGATCACTCAAAATAACTTGAAGGTACCAGGGATATGGTTGCTGCGGTTTGCTGTGACTCTGATGGTTCTGGTGGTATGCCGGAGGTCTCTAAGCCAGGCCAAACGATCGCGCTTCGTGCCGTCCACACAAGTTGAGAAGTATTTTTCATGCTGGCCACGCTCGGCGGAGGAATAGCGGCGGCATTCGTCATGGAGTTCTGGTAGACCAGATTACTAGAGTTATCACGGGCAGAGACTCCACGAATGTAGGCAGACTGATCTTACCATGCGCCAACAAAAGCACCGGAAGTTGAGATTCACGATGTGCCGGCATAATAGGTAGAAAAGAAGACATTGAATAGTTCGGACTGGTTCAAGCTAACAGCCAAACGTCCGGCTCTAACACTAGTGAGGATTCGACACCACACATCTCCTTCTACATCAAATGGAACCCGAAATAAAGCCAGTTTGTAGGATGTCAAGGCGGTTTAGTTGACGAAGTTTACTCCATAGGCCAGTGTAACCGAGGACGGGGGAAACAGTGTCTTTGTTTGTTTTGTTTATGTTGACGTATGTTGTCACTTCTGGGGAGTTGCTGGCCAAGTTGAGGAGAACGCCTCCCGAGGAGCGAATGCCAAAATTGTACCCAACTGACCAGATAAATCTTCTTCGGGTAATCTTAGCATCGAATTCCATGTCGTATTCGGTGAAATTGTAAGTTGAAGACGAGTAGTTGGGGACACTGCAGGACCCCTTGGATCCTTGGCGACTGACCTTCATGGTAGGCTTCTGTGATCCTGCGTCGAAGGATGCCAGGAAGGCTGCACGAGCACCTAGACTCCGGATCTCATTGTACAATTTGTTTCACAAGTGCAAAGAGCCAGGAATATCGTCAATGTCCACCGCACCGACAGATAACTTAGAAAAACTGAATAGATTGCTACCGTGTTCTGGATAAGCAAGCGAATGCTTTGCTACTGCTGGACTCCCTGCAAGAGTTCCCAGCTGAACTTTCCAGGACTGGTGATATTGAAGATTTCCACGCGGAAGGAGTTGGCGAGACGTCTAGCCACGGACAAGCTGGGACCGTCGCTGAAGGGCTCGGCTAGTCCACTAAACTGCTTAGTATATTTGACCTCAATCTGTGTCGGATCGTCAATATTGATGATCTCAAAGGAAGGGAAACCGGCGACCTCAGCCCCGTAGTCGAGGGTTGAGTAAGGTGAATCCGGTGTCAACGTGAACCCATAGTAGGGTTTGTTGGTATTTTAGAAACTCTGGCTCAAGGCAACATATTAGGTATTAAAATTGGGTCTAGCTGCAGTATTGGAGTGATAGTGGCAAGCGTGGGTGATACTGCGGCTGAACTGGTTAGCTGTGGCAGGCTGACCAAAAAAAACTCATCTGGACAAGTACGGCTGAATCGATACGATACATATAAATAGTCATAATGTAAGTGTCCGGTAACATTTCAGCAATCCGGACATTTCAATATCAGTGCCCGTGCCACAATACAGCCTGGAGATAAGCAGTGCGGAGTATACAGTAAGCAATTAGATTGATTGCAACTAGCGACTGCGTGAAAGACGAACAACCAGGAAGTCCCACAGAAATAGCATGGGACCTTAGGAAGGAAAGTAGCATGCCCTCCTCAAATACCACATCATACCACGCGGATGAAAGAGGCGACCTCGCATACATAACGATGCCTGATCCGATGCATATATTTGCCAGTAGATATGACGCAGCAATTCGCACTCGAGGGGATCATGAGACTGAAGGGCGTCTTTCCTGTGTAGACTGTAGACGCACGTTTGTGATGAACAGCGCGGCTTGACGGCCTTGTTTTGCCGGTAATATTCTATGGGGAGGTGGTATGAAAGATTTGCGGGACAATTGAAGGTGAATTCGGGTTGTCCACATCATAGTCCTAAAACACTCTCAGCATTTCGCGTGATCCATCAATACATGGCTTGGCGATCAAATGCGGATAAGGCAATAGAGAGCTTGATATTACCGACGCGACCGACGCACATAATTCACTGAGATGAGCAAAACTACGGTTATGCGCCGGTTCCTCTTCAGTTGTGAGTGCGGCGAATAATCTCGTGCTGGCATCAGAAAAGAAGGTGACCGCGTACTCCCGCAGAGTGGGCTCATGAACAATCCGATCCCTGGCGTGCGGATGGGGATGCGGAGGTCTTCTCCATTCCAGCCAACCACAGTGCCATTTTTCCTGGCTCTCCAGGGGATGAAATCACTGTATTCTCTTCGATACTGGACTCACCTACAGCGGACCCAGAACATGATTGTCCAATGCAGGCGCTGCGTTTTGTCTTCCCGAGGATGTCTTCTGGACGCTTTTGGGTCCTCGCCTTTTTGGGGACTGTCGTATAGTGCCATAAACGCTCAAATGTTTGGAAATTTGCACAAATTCCCGTGGTCTGTTTTCATGTTAATTCGATCTCGGAAAAAGTGACGCCGCACTCACATCGTATTTGACCTCTCGACATCGGTAGGGATCGCATGCACGGGTTGCCACTAGACGCCGCGGGGGTGACATGTCAATAAATCCTCCGGGGGCGACAGAAGATGAAATGGAGAAGTTGAAGGACATTCCGCGGAAAGGTGCGATTTCCCCATAAACGCGCCATAATGCAAAATCCAGACTTTTTCTCCATACCCAGCAGCGGCAGTTACTGGACTGGACCACACGGCGTATTGGACATCTCAAAAATCTTGGGATAATGTCCTATAGCCCCCTCTATTCGTTGAGTGTCTGCGAACGCCATGAATGCCCAGCCTGAGATTTCAGACTGCCCACGCACATATAATGGGATAAGTGTGAATACGTAAAGACACATAAATATTGTCGACTGTATTTGAAATGATCATCTCCTACGATCGATGAAGGTATCCCGCAAGTAATATCCCGAATTCTTCATCCTCCGCTCCAAAGTCTCAAAATCAACATGAATAATTCCAAAGCGAGGCCCGTAACCAGCAGACCACTCTACATAGACGAGAGTATGTTAGCCCAACAGACATTCCTTGGCTTTCAGAAAACGCACCGTAGTTATCCATCAAACTCCACGCATAGTATCCATCAACGGCAATTCCATCCTCATATATGGCACGAGAAATCGTATCGAGGTACAATCCAAAGTACCACTGTCGGAATTTATCATCAACAGCTATGGATACATCGTCCTCGCCTGGACAAGGACAACCATTCTCTGTGACAATGATAGGAAGTCGGTACCGCTTCCAGATCCAATTCAGCAACTTCCGAAAGCCTTCTGGTGCAACCCGAAGCCAAGCTACCCCCGAAACAGGCCCGATCTCTTTACCCTCACTGTTTACTGACAGCTCCTCCGTGTTGCCGGTCCAGTCGTCATCTGCTGGCGGATCAGATAGCGCACGTACGTATTTGGTGGAATAGTGATTCATCCCGTAGTATGTGTTGATAGGTGCAGCTCGCCGGAGAAGCTCGCGCTGCTTGGCTGTGAACGTAGGAAGACGGGCGCCTAAGTAAGCGCGCATGGCAGCAGGATAGTCCTCTCCAAGGAAAATAGGATCACCAAACCAGGCGATATAAAAGACCAATCGGCGCTGGGCGGCGTCTCGATCTTGGCTACTGGCTTGATTGTACGGTTCGTAATAATGACTGTTCAATACGATGGAGATCTCTCCATTTTGGGACTCACGGAATTCATTCGCGTATATCAGAGTAACCGTGGCGTGGCAGAGGATGATGGTGTGTCCGACTATCCAGGGTTCTGTTTTTGTGTCGGTGCCGACCTCACGGCAGTGTCCCGGAGCCAGAGTTCCATTGAGGTAGGCAAATATAGAAATGATATACGGCTCGTTGAATGTCACCCATTTTCGAACGCGATCTCCAAACCGACTGAAGCATAGACGCGCATAATTTTCAAAGTCCGCTTGGAATTCTTCGGTGTTGAGAAAAGCTCCATACCGGTCGTATATTGCCTGAGGTGCATCCCAATGATAGAGGGTCACCACGGGTGCAATATCATGGGCCAACAGTTGATCGATCAGATTGCTGTAGAATGAGATGCCTTTTTCGTTGATTGGGTCGTTGCGGCCCCCCATTGGAATGATACGGGACCATGCAATCGAGAACCGGTACACGTCCACTCCCAGGGAGGCCATTAACTTGATGTCCGACGTCGTTTTGTTGTAGTGGTCGCAGGCAACATCTGCATTCTCCCCATTAGTGCGAGAAGGGCTCAGGTGAGAGAACGTATCCCAAATGGATGGACCTTTCCCATCTTGACTGGCACCACCTTCGATCTGATATGCCGCTGTGGCGGTTCCCCATTGGAAATCATGTGGCAATGGAAGTCTCTCCACTTCCAGATGAAATGCGTGCGTGTCATGAGCTGTCACTATATCACCGGCGCTAAACATGGCAGCCTCTTGAGACATGGCGAACGTTTTATTCGAACTTAACGAGGGGACAAGATCTGGGAATTTATAACAGGCACTCTTTTATTTGCACAAGCGTACCAAGGTACACGCACATCCAATATTTCTCCATGGAATCCAAAGTCGATGCTGACCGAGACAGTCTGGGAGTCTCCACATAGTATGTAAAGCCCTGTTTAGGGGCTCGGAAGCCGTTGATTAGAAGAATATAATTCAAGTTCCCGCACGTGGTCTGGTCGGTTGTATTTCTCCGCGGAGAAATAGAGCCCGAAGGTTTGGTGGCGCCGTACGGAATTCTCTCACTTTGCTTGGATGCAAACACCCGAAATTCCAGACCTTGCATTCATCATGATGCGGGGGTGGTGACGCCAGCTCTGGAGATGGATGACCATAAGTATATACCATATCATGCGGAGAAACTTCGTTGAGATTTCGGTGTCTTCGATGGCTACATGTTGTTGCATGTGTATATTAGTTGTATTGTTGTGGAGTTCTGCGGGTCACGACCCAATACTAAAGATACAGGTCTAACCCTAATGCATGACTAGTGCGTATCAGGGTAACAGGACAATACCATAAATACAGGTGCTCCAACACTACATGCTGTCCGATACACACTAAGCCTTATATGGTAAGGCCTACAGTTAGGAAGCGTGTAAAGCACTCTTCCACTCAGTTATCTTAGACATATTCAATAATACTCACTTGCTGGTACATGCTATCGCTCCTCCTAGTTCCTATCTCTCCTCATTTCAACAAACCTCATGTTATTCTCATCCTTATCTTTAATAGTGGCAATGATCTGGGAAATGGGTGAAGGCGCCCAGAATGCTGAGCATTCTAGCTCACCTTTTCAAGTCGATATTGATGAGGCAGTTGAGTTGTCTAATGGTGTTGGGAACACGAAATCCTCTCCTTGGACTCTGAGCATGATTTGCTTGGACGGTTGCTTGTTTATTGGATACCTCTGCGCAACAGCGAACGGCCTCGATGGTGCTGTCATGGGGTAAGACGTCTGCGCATGATGATCTTAACTCATGAAAATTTCAGTGGAATCAATGCTATGACTTCTTACCAGGACTATTTTCATGTGAGCCCCTCCACTTTGCGTGTCGTTGGGTTCGCTTGATTTACAATATTTTAGGGTGAGCGCATCCTCCATCACTAGTATTATATTCGCCATCTATAGCATCGGTATCTTCAACCATGTCCGGATGTGGAAACCGACTGTAATAAAATCTCACACGTACTGTGGGTGCAGTTCCGTTGGTTGGCCCCGTGAGTGATCGCTGGGTAGACCAGCTGGTATGTTTGTTGGCGCGACCATCGTCATTCTTGGAACGATGATTGCCTCTTGAGCGATCAATCACGTAATGTTCACGAGTGGGCGTTTCGTCCTGGGATTCGGCGTCTGCTTTGCCAACGTCAATAGTCCGGTATATGTTGGCGAGAGTGGCCCACCCCGTTTGGTGTGGTCCATTATCCGGTCTTTATAACTGTTTCTGGCGAGCAGTAGAACCCAACTGAACCCCAAAATACCATTACCCATTGTTGTTCAGGTACATCGGATCTATCGTTGCGGCATGGGAGATATACGGAACGCAGACTCAGGCTAATGGATGGCGCACTCTCCTGTACTGCCAGTTTATTGCAAATGACGACATTGCTCTGGCTATCTAGTTCTTACCAGAGTCCCCTCCATGGCTAGTGAACTATGGAAGAACCGAATCAGCATGCAATGTTTTTACAAGATACCATAGCGAGCGTCGCCTAAAGCACCCTATCGTTAAACTACAGATGGCCGAAATAGAGCTCTAGATCTCAACTAAGAGATCGGACAAGAAGTGGTAGGACTATAGAGGGTTGTGGAAGACAAGATCTCACCATGGTCACTTGGTCTGTGTTCTCTCAATGGCTCTATTTGGCCAATGATCCTGCAACTCATCCTCCAGCTATTATCGTGCTCGAGAGCACAGGTGTCACCTCTGGTAGCCGAGAGCTTCTGTTGAACGTAATCAATGCTCCCCTTTACTTCATTGCTTCGATTACAAGGAAGATGCTCCTCAAAAAGGCCGGTAGAGGTCCACTCCTCATGTCTAGTCGCATTTACTACATCGTTTTCCTCGCCATCTTGAGGCTTCTTTCGAAGGTCGCATCTGAGCACCCAGAACAAGGGTCAGCAGCGAGCGCAAGTATCGCATTTATTTATCTCTTCGGCATTAAATGTTCGTTTTCGTGGACTCCGTTGTCTCCCATGTACGTCGTTGAGTGCCTCGACACCAACACGCGCGCGAAGGGAAAGACCCTGGCCCTTCTTCACAGCCTGTGCTTCCGCCAACATCCAATAAGCCTTCTCTCCAGCTTTTGAGCACATGGAATATTACTTTTATATCGTCTTTATCGGTTGGAACCTGTTTGAGGTGGTTTTCATCTACTTTCTCTGGCCAGAAACGAAGAAAGGACCTTGGAAGAGCTTCACGAGGCCTTCCAGGCACCTAATCCTGTCAAGCGGAGTCTCGGGGCTAAGGATCTTCAGGCCGTGTTCAACACTCTTCATTTCGGGCATAATTATTCGGAGGCTTGAGTGATCAATCTATGGGGGTGGTGAGGGGGTTCTCGAAAAGAGTGATGCCGTGAACATTTGATGTAAAAGGAAATACAGGTGGTTTGGGTCATAATCTTGACTACCTTCTGCTTTATGGATGTTTAGTTGTCGTGGACGCCAGCGCAGCGGAAGGACGCTTTGTATAGGGACGTTTCATAGTTCACCGATTGGACTTCTCCAATAAGTGATTGCGACCATGGGGTACTTTCACCGTCCTTTGTGCCAAATACTCACAGTATTGATGCAATCCATTCGTGGGCATCTTGGAAGGACAATATGCATAAAATCAGGTCTTTCTGCGGCTCCGTTGGTACAACTTCTTGCTTTCTTTGATCCTTATCATGCAACACGCGTCTCTTCAACTCATGTTCAGGTTTGTATGGCATGTATAGATGTGGAGACTGTTTTAGTCCATATGCAGATCGGCAAGATTGCCGTAAGTGATAAACTGTCTACGCTACAACACTGGCGCGATGAGTACCTGGATGAAAATCCTGACTGGCTACCATAGAGATGCCACTTTCCGAGTAGGGGAAGCAAGACACACGCCATGTGTTCTTGCTATGCCCAAACCCCCGCCTGATAGATCTACGACTGAGGGTTTTAGGCCTTAACCCTTTCCAGTCGCTTGTATATTGGCCGATGCAGCTAGATTCATCCGTCAAAGTAGTCACCTTGATGATGCAAACCGGGCTACTGGGTCATTTCAGAGCCCTACCGACCACATACCGCGTCACCCGGGACGGGAACACGTGATGCGCCAGTCTTCTGCGCTCATTTGCCTAACGGCATTATCGGTTTGCACTGCGAGCTACTATCTAAAAGAGAAGTAATGGCCTGTGTATCCTACGACACATAGAAGCGACTAGGGGATATATGGGTATCACTGGAGGGGAGGGGGAGGGGAGGGGGGAGGGGTGGGGGAGGGGTGGGGGGGGTAAGGTGGTCCAATATCATTTGATCAAGGGCACCCAGCTAATTAGTATCCTGCCGGGAAATCTGGTTCACCGACTGACAGATTCGTGTACGAATCCAACAACAACAACATAGATGTGTGAAGGCTAAGATTACAGAAGATAAAACTGCCCTTCCATTCTCTGTTCTATTCCAAAGTTATTACCTTGGTTTTGGTGTCATCTCATAGGATTAAAACTGGTCTTCAGTGAAAGTGAGCATTACATGAAAACCACGAAGTATATATCTGGTCTTATTTGTTAAGCACAAGTATAATGCAGACTGACATAATAATGATATAAAAACTAAAAATTCCATTCAACCCTCACATTAAAGTCGGCTGGAAAACAAACGCGAATCTCGTCTCGCGACATGGAACTCGGTACTTGTCAAGCGTTGCAGGGCCACATCGTGCAGTTCCCAAGCCTGCGTGCGCGACATCAAGTCGAAGAAACACATCCTCCCGCCTTTCCAGGTCTGTTGGATGGCGTGCATCCGTTATATTGCTGGCAGTGTAATGGAGAGCCGCGAAGTCAAACTCCCCCCCTGCATTCCCAAATTCATCCACTCGCGCAACAACCAACCCCACATTCCGCTTACCTGCTAGCCGAAGCCAGCGCGTCCCTGCACGATTACCATTTTCCTGTGGGTATTCATATGCCGTATATAGTTGATCAGGAGTTCGACTGTGCAAAGATGCCTTTTGAGAATTGCGCTTATCGGCGTAGGACTCCTCCGGCCCACATCCAAACCAATCCACGGTCTCGAAATCAGGGGGCAGCTGCATATCAAGACCTAAGCGGGGGAGGATAGGAGGATAGAACCCACGAGGACGAATCCGGTGGTCGATGATCATTGTGCCGTCTCTGTAGATCGAGTACGTGATTGTGGCCACAAAGCCCCAATCCCGAATGACAGCCCCGACATAAGCCTCGATGATAATCTTCACACCGTCAGTGCTGAGGGATCGAAGCGAGGCGGAGATTACCCTGCGTTGGAGATTGTCCAGGGCGTAGTCGCCCCATCGCGCCGCGTCGTACTTCTTGTCATTTTCTGTTGGAGGTCTCCATGCTCCAAGGGTTGGTGCTGACGTGAACACCGATTGATCACCCAGTATCCAGTCGGCTAAGCAGCCTCTGACACGGTCAAACTGAATAGAAAAGTTGGACCCTGTGACCGTCCAGGAGGTCTTAGATTCTTGAACTTCAATCGGTATGTGCTGAACCACAGTCGGTAAGGTTGGCCATTCGCGTCTTGTGACTAAGTGTTGGCACCATGCGACTTCGTGGCCACTTTGCGCCCATACTGTAGGATTATCTACCTGAAGGCTTATGGTCATCTGGCATTCCAGAACATCTTTCTCGATATCAGGAAGCTCTGGGAGAAGCATGGTGATCGTCTCGGAGGGCCTGACGGTAGGACATGGCTTGCGATCCAGAATAATTGTCTCTTGTTCACTGCTTAATGATTAGTACCGTGAGTTGAAAAGCACGAGTAAGACTTACCGGCCGTTGAATTTTAATAGTTCCACAACAAGTGTAAGATTGTCGAGGCAATCAAAGTCGTGTAGGTTTTGAAGTGATATATTACCATCGGCGACCTTGATTTTAACCGGCTCGATGACTTTCTTGAACTCGATCATGCCACGGCCGCACGAGTGGTCGGACAGGCAAAGCCCGTCCAAGGCGAAGGTCGCATCGTTTGGATAGTCCCCAAAGTCTCCTCCATAGGCGTAGTAGCCTTTGTCTTCTTTCCACAACCCGAGATTCGCAAACTCCCAGATGAATCCTCCTTGCAGTCGTCGATATTTGTGAAACATTTCCTGGTATTCCTCCAATGCTCCCGGTCCGTTTCCAAGTGCCATTCCATACTCACACAGGATGATAGGCTTAGTGAACTCGTCACCTTCAGCCAATGCCTTCTTTTCCATATGTTTGAGTTCAAGGTACATATATGAACACATGTCTGTCGTTTCAGCCTTCCTGTCTCCCTCGTAATGGACGAGCCGTGTGGGGTCATGCTTTTTGGCGTAATCGTACATGGCGACTTGGTTGCAGCCATACCAGGCCTCATTGCCGAGGCTCCAGATAATGACTGAGGCGTGATTCTTGTCTCGTTGAAGCATTTGTCTAATGCGGTCTAGATATGCTTCCCGCCAAGCAGGGTTGTCACTGGTATACTTGGCCAATGTAGGACTGAGATACTCCTCAATTGAATCGGCTCCGTCTTTCTGCCAGATCTCGTTAGATACGTTCTTCATGCTCACATCGCCTCGAATGAATCCGTGGCATTCTAGATCGGCTTCGTCAATCACCCACAATCCGATCTCATCACAGAGGTCGTAAAATCTAGGATGGGAAGGGTAATGGGAGCAGCGGACAGCATTGATGTTGTGTTGCTTCATCAAGATGAGATCGTGCCTGAGAAACTCCAATGGCACGGCGCGGCCTCTTACAGGGTGGAAGTCGTGATGATTAACGCCACGGAAAAGAATCGCTTTGCCATTCACCGTGATATTTCCATTCAGAAGCTCTACCTGGCGAAAGCCGAGCTTATGTTGAATAACTTGACGCTTGCAATTTGTGGGAATGAGAGTAATTTCAAGGTCATAAAGATAGGGTGTTTCTGCTGTCCACTTCCGAGGACCCGACACAGGCAGTTTTAGCTGTAAGGTTGGAGATCCAGCAGATACCGCCTCTTGCGTTTGTCCGATGAGCGAGGAATCATGGTCCTGGACCTTGATATCGACCGTCGAAGTAGTTTCGAGTTGAAGCTCAAGATCAATCTGCAATGTGGCATCTTTGTAATCTTCATCCAACCAAGTCTGCACAAAAAAGTCCTCGATTCTCGCGGTAGCTGAGAAAGCTAGGAGGTAAACATCCCGGAAAATACCTTAACTGTGTCAGTAAGGAAATTCTATACTCAACGATGGTTTCTGACCACCTACCTGATAACCACCATTGATCCTGATCTTCAAGATACGACCCATCACAATACTGGTATACCCGAACGATAACTTCGTTGTCCTCCTCGAGAACGATATGATCGGTAATATCGAACTCCGCAGGATTTCGACTTCCCTGGCTATATCCAATCTCATTTCCATTGACAAACAGGTGGAAAGCACTGTCAACACCATCAAACCTCAGTCGAATCTGGGAAGGAATTGTCCAGCTCGGTGGAATCCGGAACGACCTTTTGTAAGTCCCAACCGGATTTTCAGTGGGAATAAACGGTGGATCAATCGGGAACGGATAGGGGACGTTGGTATAATGCGGCCTCCCATAACCTTGCAATTGCCAATGAGCCGGCACTTCAATCGGATTCCACTCGGCAACTTCATGAAACGGCGTTGGTGCGTATTGGAAATCCCAGCTCCCATTCAAAAGAAGAGCATCTTCAGGGATCCAATAAGATCGCGTGGGCAAACGATTCCGCTGAAAGACCTGCTCATTGCAGTATTCGGGCGGTTCTGAATTATATGAATCCATAGTTGCGATATTTTGACTGTGATCCGTGAAGGAGCCGTCACCTTTAAATAAGCTCTGGAGAGCTTGGAACTTGCAAGTTTGCCAATATTGAGGATAAATGCCCGCGGAGGAATCAGATGTCACTGGAATACTCCAAGGCCATGTGCAAAGATTGCAGTTAACTGGTCATGTCTCCAACAATGCCAGCGTTTCATGCATAAGAGTATCGCCAGCCAGAAATGCCACACCGGGGCCCGAGCCCCTGTAAACTCCCCACTTTTTTCCACGGGCTCAATTCCCCGCGGAGAATTGATGGAGCAGAACATCCAATAACACCGG